CGGGGGTTTGCTGAATTTCCGCGGTAGGGCCCTATTCTGTGCGCGCGTTCTATAGCTGGGGGTGAAAGACAGACACCCAGCCTGGTTTCACAGAAGTTAATAGCTTTCTCTTCCGATTGTTTCCAGGATTCACCGGGGACATCGGGGATATTGTAGAGCAGAAGGTTATTTCTTCTCGACTGGTTTTCGAGGTACTCGCATCTTTGTGTTAGCAAGTCTAGGCTAGCAGAGTTTTACTCAGTTCTGGCTAAAACCTTCACAACCTCTTCTTTAACCTCTTTTAAGCCAGCACACTCCTGCTTGATTTCTTGTATTTGAGCTTTAAGAGCACCCAACGCTTTGTCTGTCTGATCCTGCCTTTGCTGTAGGGACTTAATTTCATTCAGTATTGTTTGTTGTCCTGCGTTCAGTTTGGTGAGCATAGGCAAGATTAGATCCGTATTTGCACTGGAATCAGAAACAGGGCCCGGATTTGTTTCTATGTCACCGCACAACAATAAAAGTTTCTTCAAATAACCCACGACACTATTTCGAACAAGGCAGACACGCTCATACACTTGTCGAGGGCACGACACCGCAATGACAAATACATTATTGTCATGATAAGAGGATGAGTAACAGACCTGTGATACGTTATGGCCCCCTTGATAGATTCTTGACTTTGTTTGACTTCGTTAAGTGTAGCAATTATACCCGATTGAGCCTGATCCATCCTAAGGGAGCGCTCGTTAACGACTGTCAGCATTGAGTGCATCTCGTTCATCGGTCTGGGATTAGATTCTACGTCTCCGGAAGTTTTTAGTAGAAGGTACACCACATCAACTGAGTCACAAACAGTTTTTTGAAACACTTGTGAGCATGGAAACAGCAATAACCATATATCGCTTGTTTTTTTAGCGTATAACGAGGGAGGTGGACCAACCTGTTTGAGCAAGATGAAAAAATGAGTGGTTCGCATGGTTCGGCTGATCCCGTGCTCGCTCAAGGGCTGAAGACGTTCCAAGCTGCTTATATGGGCGTTTGTAGGCGGCGCAGATGTGCTAGATGACAGTGTCGTTGACGATGCTCGGTTGATGTCGAGGGAACAACGAGAGATCGCTTGCAGATTATCCCACAGATAGGTGGCAGCCTGCCGATGTCGAGGCAATCCAACACGATGATCCGAGGAACCGCTCACGAGAACGGCGGCGTCACGGCTGGGCAGGGACTCAGGCACCAGAAACTGGAGGGCCGAAATCTGTACGAGCAAGATGACAAAATGAGTGGTCCGCATGGTTCGGCTGATCCCGTGCTCACTCAAGGGCTGAAGACGTTCCAAGCTGCTTATATGGGCGTTTGTAGGCGGTGCAGATGTGCTAGATGACAGTGTCGCTGACGATGCTCGGTTGATGTCGAGGGAACAAGGAGAGATCGCTTGCAGATTATCCCACAGATAGGTGGCAGCCTACCGATGTCGAGGCAATCCAACACAATGATCCGAGGAACCGCTCACGAGAACGGCGGTGTCACGGCTGGGCAGGGACTCAGGCACCGGAAACTGGAGGGCCGAAATCTGTACGAGCAAGATGACAAAATGAGTGGTCGGCATGGTTCGGCTGATCCCGTGCTCACTCAAGGGCTGAAGACGTTCCAAGCTGCTTATATGGGCGTTTGTAGGCGGCGCAGATGTGCTAGATGACAGTGTCGCTGACGATGCTTGGTTGATGTCAAGGGAACAAGGAGAGATCGCTTGCCAATTATCCCACAGATAGGTGGCAGCCTGCCGATGTCGAGACAATCCAACACGATGATCCGAGGAACCGCTCACGAGGACGGCGGTGTCACGGCTGGGCAGGGACTCGGGCACCGGAAACTGGAGGGCCGAAATCTGTACGAGCAAGATGACAAAATGAGTGGTCGGCATGGTTCGGCTGATCCCATGCTGACTCAAGGGCTGAAGACGTTCCAAGCTGCTTATATGGGCGTTTGTAGGCGGCGCAGATGTGCTAGCTGACAGTGTCGCTGACGATGCTCGGTTGATGTCAAGGGAACAAGGAGAGATCGCTTGCAGATTATCCCACAGATAGGTGGCAGCCTGCCGATGTCGAGACAATCCAACACGATGATCCGAGGAACCGCTCACGAGAACGGCGGTGTCACGGCTGGGCAGGGACTCGGGCACCGGAAATTGGAGGGCCGAAATTTGTACGAGCAAGATGACAAAATGAGTGGTCCGCATGGTTCGGCTGATCCCGTGCTCACTCAAGGGCTGAAGACGTTCCAAGCTGCTTATATGGGCGTTTGTAGGCGGCGCAGATGTGCTAGATGACAGTGTCGCTGACGATGCTCAGTTGATGTCGAGGGAACAAGGAGAGATTGCTTGCAGATTATCCCACAGATAGGTGACAGCCTGCCGATGTCGAGGCAATCCAACACGATGATCCAAGGAACCGCTCACGAGAACGGCGGCGTCATGGCTGGGCAGGGACTCAGGCACCGGAAATTGGAGGGCCGAAATCTGTACGAGCAAAATGACAAAATGAGTGGTCGGCATGGTTCGGCTGATCCCATGCTGACTCAAGGGCTGAAGACGTTCCAAGCTGCTTATAGGGGCATTTGTAGGCGGCGCAGATGTGCTAGCTGACAGTGTCGCCGACGATGCTCGGTTGATGTCAAGGGAACAAGGAGAGATCGCTTGCAGATTATCCCACAGATAGGTGGCAGCCTGCCGATGTCGAGGCAATCCAACACGATGATCCGAGGAGCCGCTCACGAGAACGGCGGCGTCACGGCTGGGCAAGGACTCAGACACCGGAAATTGGAGGGCCGAAATCTGTACGAGCAAGATGACAAAATGAGTGGTCCGCATGGTTCGGCTGATCCCGTACTTACTCAAGGGCTGAAGACGTTCCAAGCTGCTTATATGGGCGTTTGTAGGCGGCGATGCCACTGAAAATTAAGGAAGTATGTACGGTTGTTATTTTCTTCGGATGGCCAAGTGCTATGTGCGAAGAGTAGGACTGCGCGAATATTCGAATTATCAAATAGTAGTTTCATATAATATGCTATTTGATATTCGCTTCAAAATGAGGTGCGATATTCACACTTGTCGAAATGTTAATTGGGGCAGGCCAGAGCCGTATATGTAGAGAGTTTGGCCATTCGTTGGGAAGTATAGGAGACAAATGAGGAGGCGCCATTGGTCGAAAGCGGGCTGGCCGTGTTCCAGGGCGTCTTCAGATATTCGAATGTGACCAACCAGAAGCCGGAAATAATACCCTGGCGGTGGTCGCGAGAATCAAACCTGATAACTCCATTGGAGTAACTCTCAATGGCTGAAAATATGAAACTCGTGATGTTTCAGTCACGCTCATCCAAAATGATCGTGGAAGAGTGCGACTAGCGGAACGATCGACATAATCCGTACGCCAAACGCCGAGGGCCGGGAATCGGCCGTCCGAGCGGTCACACACTGTCCGCGCAAAACAGAGTTGAGCGGCGCATTCGTTTCTTACGTCTTTCTGCATGATCATGGTCAAAACAACACGTGCACCCTATTTTCAACCACAAAGAGCCACTACACTTCTCTTACGCTCTTATTAAAACCATATACGAACATAGACCTTTGATCAGAACTGTTTCTCGCTACCACCGCTAGGGGATTCTTTTCGGCTTCTGGTTGGTCAAGAGAGCATGTCAGGCCCTCTTTCCGAGTCTGCCGTACGCCCTGACTCAGCCCGCGCCTCCCATTGACCAAACTCTACATATGCTCTGGGGCGGGCTAGCCCCCTTGAGTACGCTTCTTTTCGAACATCGGTGCACTGCGGAGAAGCAATACCCGCGGAGCTGACACCGCGATCTCCTGGCTCGCTTCGCCGCAACACAACCACATGCTTAGGCGAAAAACATACCTTCAAAATGGTGTGGCGCACGCCCGCGCCTGGTGTAATAAACGCCTCTATCGAACCAACGCGCAAACATGATATGATTCATCTAGTCCATACATTGGAAAAGATACTCTAGCAAATGAACCATAACGTCCAACGTCTCCAATCCTTGCGCAGGATGGTACTGCGCCTAATAAAATCACTTAGGTTGTATATCAGTAAGTGACCGTAAATGGATGACCAACTCTAGAAAATTATGAAGTGTGAAAAATAATTTTCTAGCTAAAATAGTGCTTATTGCGTTTAGAGAAAACTTAAAAAACTCGTGATTTTGATTGGCCATGCACTGAGATGTCCGTGCACTGAAATGTCCTTGCACCGAAAAGTCCATGGATCGAAATATCCGCGCACCGAAAAGTTCCACATCGAAAAGTCTGTGCACCGAAAAGTTCACGCCAGAATGTCCTACACCGAAACGCCCTACACCGAAAAGTCCTAGACCCGTTTTATGCCCACGTAGACCAACAACCCTTTTTACAAACAAGTCCGCATTTGCCGACAACGGGTGTGGGCACTGCGCACATACAGAAACCAGATGTATGTGATATGAAGCGTCTTTGCATACGTGGGGCCAACAGCAGCACCACCGCTGCAGCGTGATGTTGGAGCCACGTGTGAATTTATCGCCATTAGAAACATGGTGCATAATGGGACCGAGGGAGGATATATAGCCCCTTAATGGAGCCCATTTTTTTTTAGTCTTCGTGGCGCAGTGCCCGACATGGGAAGGGATTCTGACTTCCAGTTTTGTAAAGTTAATGTGTTTTATTCAGTTACTGTTGTCTGAAATCACCCAGCTGTGGCTATATGTTGCATGCTTTTATAGGGTGATATTAAGATGCTTGACTTTAGTGTGACTGCTTCTTTGAGTATTGTTACTCAGAAGTTGAGAGTTGTGGCTGTCATTTTTTGTGTGATCTAACGGTGTGCAACCTTTCAGTTGTAGGAGACGCAGTTGAAGTCATTTGCAGTGATCTAATGCAACTGCCCCCTAGTTGTAAGGTTCAAACGGACTGTCACAACCTACAAATATTGTTTGACCTTCTCACTAAAGTTTATGCTTGCAATTCCCAGGTCCAGCATTCTTCCTACGGATGTAGGCAGTCGCATTGGAGTTATGTATGTGACAAGGGGTCAGTCAGCTGACATGCACTTCATCATCAATGGGGAAGATCAGCTGTATGCCACCGACATTCCTCACCGTGACGCTCCACTTTACGCCGTTGTCGACGTCTACGGCACCACCAAGCATGTCCGCATTGTGCAACTCTATGGAGGTATGCCTGTTAGTAATTCGTATTGCAATAACCATTACGAATTTTTCCATGTTAGTGATTACCGTATTTACTCAAGTTATAGCCGCATTGTTTATAAAGAAAACCTGAGAGTTTGCTTTTCCGCGGAGCACGCGGATTACCTATAAGCGCGATCGACAGCATGATTTTAGCTGTTTATAGGACAGAGATAACGTCTTCGCGTGAAGATACCATCTGTGAAGATTGCATTTGTATGGAGACTCGTGTTCTCAATCTACTTTTTTGCTGTTATTTATGCACAACGCGATGATTGGCTGTATATGTGCTTTGCAGGAAAGTAGACGTTAAGGCCTTGTTCATAAATAGCGTGGCTATTACTCGAGTAAATACAGTAATTTGTCTGTGGTCAACACATTCAGTTGACTTTTTCCCTTACACATTTAAAATATCTGGTGCAAAAGAACTTGCCATATTTTATGGTCTATAGGTAGGATTCCGTGTTTTTGGAGTTTATTTTTCGTCAAATTTGGAGGGTGTTCTTCGGAGTTTATTTTTTTTTCCAAAAATTCGGAGTTTATAGGAGTTTATTTTTGTTTGATTTCAAAATATTCAAAATTCTTACCTTAATTTCGCAGTGTTGCTTATGAAAAAAAAAAAAAAAAATAATATCCGGGTGTATACGTATGCTAGATGAGGAAAAATAAAACGCACTTATATCAAATATTTCTTTAGCTGGATTTAGTGTTGGTGCCATTGCCATTGGCAGTGGCACCAACAGGGGCAGGCAGTCCCTGTTGGGGACTGGCTGGGGCAGGGGCAGGCAGGCAGGCATGCATGCAGGCACTTGTAGATTTTAGCATCCCACCCCAACCCCCTCCCCCCAAGAAATGGCGGCCAGTCCCTAAATTGCAATACTCTTTGGTCGGGAAACGGATCCCATGGTCCCGGAACAAATGGTTCCAGAATAAATGGTCCCGCAACTAATGGTCCCAAGTACAAACTAGGAAAAAATGGTCTCGGATAAATATCGCCAATGTGGCTTCTGCATTTTCGGATAAATCCGATAAAATCCAATAATACTCTCCGAATTTCGAGGCTGCCGGTTGCACAAACTCGACTGGTTTTTATATTTTTTCTGGGAAGCTCAGAAATGTTTTGCACTATGGAAACCTGATGCACTTATAAAGGTATCAAGCTCCGCTCGTGTGTGCTACCACCATGCGTCATGGTGAGATGGGAGTGATTCGAGTTTCATGGCTTAACAGCATGACCCTAGGGGGAGGCACTCACTTGATCGAATGACGTTTTAGCGAACGCCCATGTTTCACCGAATGACACTTTAGCGAATAGTCGGCCGCCATGAAGCGGCGTTTACAGGTGGGCCAAGTGGGTTCACATTTTTGTAATGAGCCGCCGCAGACTGTCGCCGCAAAGAGGCGTAAGCTCAGCGCGGGGTGGGTGGGTTAACACGCGCCCCCTTTATTTGCTGAAACGTCCATTCGCTCGAATGTCGCTGTTCGTTAAAACATCAATCACTCATGCGATATGGACCCGACTAGGAGTACTCATTTTTTTTGTTTCAAAAGAGCCTACTGATATCACAAATATTCTAAAGCCCCTTATATGAATATAGTAATAACTCATAATATTGTATAAGGTCACTAAATTAACAGTTACGAGATAATTGTTGGACAATATTCATTTCGAAAATATTCTGACTATTTCGAATAAAATTAAGTTCAGTACCCAACCACTTTCTTCGAAGCAACCAGCCTCAAAATATAGACGAGATCTTTCATTCCACTAGGAAATCACTGATTGCATAACGGATGAAGTATATTGCATGGTATATCTTAGTTTCAAAGCAGTCTTCTTACGGGACTATTTTTTTCTACCTTGGACTTGGGACCATTAGTTCTGGGACCATTTGTTCCAGGACCATTTATTCCGGGTCCACTTGTTCCAGGACCACTTGTTCCGGGACCACTTGTTCTGGGACCATTTGTTCCGGGACCATTTGTTCCGGGACCATTTGTTCCGGGACCATTTGTTCCGGGACCATTTGTTCCGGAATCATTTGTACCGGGATCATTAGTTCCGGGACCATTTGTTCCTACACCCTCTTTGGTCACATTGGACCTCAGTGAAGCAACATGGGTAGATTTTTCATTGGACAATCGAGAGCATTGCTGAAGTATGAAGTTGATCCTTTTTATGATTCCCAATTGCATGTATGCAGCTCCTGTATTGCTTTGGGTTGGTACTTATTCGTGCTAGTGTATGCTTTCAGTATGCCATTGAAAATACTCAAGTATGCTCAACTGCAATTCAGAATGGCAGGGAAAATCACTTGCTTTCTATTTCCAAATGGACATGCATCACTAAAGCTGCAAACTCTCCATTGCCAATCCCATATCTATGCTGTGTGCAAGTTCATCTGCTTCTTTTGCAGGGGTTGTGGTGGTGTCAGAATGCCCAGCTCTGATTGGCTCTGATTGAAGGATAGTGGGTAGACCTCAAGGCAGCTTTCTTTGAGGTCTACCCACTATTCTTCACTCAGAGCCAACGAGAGCTTGGTTTTTGACGTCACTGCAACTCCTGTGCAAGAAGCAGATGACTTGGTCTCCGTATAGTACACCGACACCTCTATTGTTTCAGTTTTTTTCCCTGTCGTTGGACATTTTCTGGTCTCTTAAGTTGATGCTTACTTTTGCGTTGAGTTTTTTTTCTTCGTGGGGTGGGGGGGGGGGGGCGGGGCGGGGGGGCGAGCGGGCGGCTGAGGTGGCTGCGATGGCTGTGATGTTCATGACTTGGGGTGCGGAGGGGGGAAGGCGGGCCAAAGTGCATGTGTATATTATAGGGTCGGCTGGATTTCAGGGAGGGGGGCGGGGCGGGGCGGGGCGGGGCGGGGCGGGGCGGGGCGGGGCGAAAGGGGCAGGGTGGGGCGAAAGGGGGGGAGGGTGCTGAAGCCCTATAAGCCTCCCCCCTGCTATTTTTTTACCTTTGCACTACATTCTTAGCTTAAAGGCCAAATATTCAACAGAGATTCATCTCCCATGCTGTGGTTGTGATGTGATTACTTAATATAGCTAGGTGCAGTATATGCATCAATACTCTAAATGGAACAAAGTTCTTTTCATATTTTTTATCAACTGGGCGCATTTGTAGAAGCCGTTGCAAGTCTTTGTTGATCTCAAAGCCTCTACATAGCCAGCCTTCAAATACGGAACACATTCCTTAAAAAAAATGAGACCCCCAAGGAATTGTCTAGACGAGAGGGAGCCACATTCATGGCGGCAAACACTTGTGCCATACTGCAGAAAAAAGAAAAACGAATTGAGAATCAAATTTTTAAAACATTTGTAAACATTACATGATCGGGGGCAGGAGGCGGCAGAATTTTTGCCCACTTGTGTGTCTACTCGTCTTGTGATGATCCTGTCCTTTGTTTTGCAGTGGTGGCATCGTTACAGAGTGCGTGCCGTGATGCCATCCTGCAGCACATCTCAAGCTGTGCTGTGCGGACGCTGCCCCTTCCCCGGAAGCTGAAAGAGTATCTGTGCTATCCCTCGCTGAGGCCACTGTGACGTCCCATGCAGGACGGTGCATCTGTTTCCTCTCAAACTGCTTCCTGAGGCCGTGCACGGCTACTGCGCACTCCCTGCAACGGCCAAAATATTTGTGCATCTGAGACCGGATGGCACCCCTCTGGCTTGCAGCTTCAGTACCGAAGCATCCTGTGATCACACATGGGTTTCTCTCTTTGTCCCTGTAATTTTCTACGGACAAAGGTATTTTTGAACTCACTAGTCGGAAGCGCAGTGCTGCAGCAAGCGGGAGTTTCTTTTTTTTTTTTTTTTTTTTTGCAAAGAAATAAAATTACACTTGTTGGCAGTGGCTTAGTTTTTTTAATGCCTTAACTTTCAAACGCTCGTTTTTACGAAAACCCGCCGGTGTCAGTCTGTGCGGCTGTTTATCAGCGCCATGCATGACGTCGCTAGGAGAGAGGGGTGGTGAGGAGGTATCGTGTTTACAGGTTCACTGTCTCACCACAAAGGTGGGGAGAGGGAGAGGGTGACGCATGGCTGACGTCAGCGCTTCGGACCAATACGAGCTTTGCACAGCTGGCGCAGAGCCAGAGACGAGCAGGCTCCGCGCCGCCTTGAAAAGTTGCCGCTCTGGCAGTGGATGTGGTTCTTTCCACGAGTTATATGGCTGTCCGTATCCAGGAGCGACGATGGAAGAAAGCCAAGGCCACGTGATCATTGAATTGAATGCGATAGAAATGCTAATATAGTTTCATCAAATGAATCTCTTAATTGTCAAACAATTGTTTTCTTTCTTTTTTTCTTTGCCCAAGCCTATGCCCAGCAACAAATAATCCTCACATAAAAGCAGCTAAATGACCGCTGTTTTTGTAGGACAGGGTGCTGCTGTCAATATAAGGGAAGTAAACACAAAATATGTATTTCCGTAAACTAAGCATGGGGAAATTGCAACTGCACAGCTCGTTGCAAACGTCCACATGTTTCATGAAGCTATAACATGTAACGGGCCAACTCCCGTTGAAAAATTAACATGGAAGCTGAAGCCTCTGTAGTTGATTGGGAGTCCTGTTGCAACCTGAGTGGCTCTTCAAGTTTCTATTTTACTCATATCAGAACTACCATAAATTGAAACATCTTTGAACAAATTTTAACCTCATTTTGTTTAGCTTAGGGTGTTTTTTGTGGGTTTTACAGATTTGTTTTAAAAAAAAAAGTGAAAGCCGTTTTGACGCCGAATTAGAGCGCAGCTCTTCAGGAGGAGGGAAGGGTACTGGGGGGTGGGTCAAGCGACCTCGGGTGGCGGGGGGGGAGGGGGGTGTCACGTTACCTTGGGGTGTCACGCGACCTGGAGTCACGTGACGATGACGTCATCAGTGATGATGACGATGCGGATGCCGGTGACGTCATCAGTTACGTCACTGATGATGTCATCAGTGCTGATGATGATGCGGAGGCCGGTGACGTCACCAGTGGCGATGACGATGTGGAGGCCGGTACGTCACTGATGACGTCACCAGTGGCGATGACGATGTGGAGGCCGGTGACGTCACTGATAACGTCATTAGTAGCGATGACATCAACGGGGGGGTCGCATGGCCTCGGGGGGGGGGGGGGGGGGGGGGGGGGCGGTCACGTGGCCTCGGGGAGGGGTCACGTGACCCGGGGGGGGGGGGGGGGGGGGTCACGTGACCTGGGTAACCATCGTGACCCTCGTGAGGGTAACCCTAGTGACCTTGTGAGGGTAACTCTCGTGACCCTTGTGAGGGTAACTCATAACCCTCGTGAGAGTAACTCTCATAACCCTTGTGAGGGTAACCCTTTTGAGGGTAACTAACCCTTGTAACCCTCGTGAGGGTTTTTAGGGTTACTCGCGGTTACGTTGACGGCAACGGCGACGCTGCTCAAGCCGGGAACGGGCGCCTAAGAGCTGCGCTCTAAAAGTGATAGCTGCACTAATGCTGTCTGTACAGGTGAGTTATATGGCCAGGGAGACATAATATAGGGGGATTATCGTCAGTACAAGGTGGTTAATTAGTGACTAACACTTGTTAATATAGTTTTTAATTCTTGAACATAAAATTATGGTTCTAATCAGAAACTGGGTGAGCATTATCAAAAACCTCTAAATAAGTAAATTTAATAAAGATTTGTGGCATGTGGAAAGCGTGGTGGTGCGCTAAAGTTACCACTTGTGCGACAGGTACAAGGCTAGTGCTGTGAAAACGCATTTTCAGAGTTTTTCTATTGTATCATTCACATTTTTGCACTTCCAGCATTGCACCTGTTGCAGGAGTGGTAACTTCAGTGCATCGCTGCACTTCCCATGCACCCCAAGTCATTCTAAAATTTACTTGTTTAGTAATCTCGCTGAACAAGTTTCTAATTAAAAAGTTGTGTAACCAATTTTATTTAATTATCCTACCTATCATGACGATTAGCCCTCTATATTATGTTCCCCTGGCTGTGTAGCTCACCTGTACAGACTGCAAGTAGCAAATCTGTGAAGCCTAAACTAAAACACCCTGTATAACATTAGTAGAATTGTGCGAATATTCAAATTTTCAAATAGTAGTTTCGAATAAAACGTCCTTCAATATATTCAATATTCACTTCGAGATCAACTGCAATGTTCATACTTTTATAAGTTTTGATTGCGGCGGGTTAGCCCTGTTGAGTGCGCTTCTCACTGAGCACCTGTGCCCAGTGGGGAAGCGATATTCACAGAGCTCGCGGGCAGAGCCACTCGTGGGCTTTGCAGGTATTGTTAACCAGCAGTGCACAGGCGCTTGGTGAGAAGCACACTCAAAGGGGGTAACTTATTGTGATAGTGCAGGTGTATGTGTTAGGTAGTGATATCTTGACAACCTGCGTTCATCACTCTTGCTTTTTCAGATATATTTGCATATAGCAAGCAGATTTATCAATCCCCTTAATTAGGATAGCTGCTACAAATTTGTTATTTACATGACACAGTTCATAAATATATAGTTATATTAAAATCAGGGATGGGCAAAATACATGCAAATATGTATCGAAACACAAATACAAAATACTTCTTCAAAAATGTATTTAACTACAAATCTAATTACATTTCCAAAAAAAGTATTTAAATACAAGATACAAATACAACCAAATGTATTTGGTCTCCTCCAAATACTTTTCCAAATACATTCCTCAAAATTTGCGTCAGCGACTTCAGGGCACCTGCAATGGGTTTCTGGGTATCTCATATTAATTTTGCATCGTACACTAGGGAGTTAGTGTGCGAGGCTCTAGTAATGTAATAGAAATATAATCACAAAAAAATGTAATCAGCTTGGACGTAATAGGTGAAAAAAGTACAGAGCTTCAAGGAGCTTTTTTTTGTCGGTTACATTTTGGTATAGACCAACAAAGCACCGAGACGACCAAGATGCGCAGCACTAGCTAAAGAATTTTTTATTGTTGCAACTCGCACCAGTTACGAAAATCTGGACGAGCCGCGCATTTAGAATGTTCCAGGCAAAAATATGGTGAGAATTCAGGCTGGAAAGCATCGCAAGTTGTTACAGGCACTTATTTAGCCAGTCTGCCTGTGAACGTCGATTTCGTCACTATTCTTGCCCTGGTCTAGCACCGTAATCACAAAGTCACTAAACGCTTGCGCTTGATTGAGAGACACTGCATTCGGCGCAGAACGTAGTTTTCTTCCTGCTCTGGACAGAGACAATAAATTTGAGGGATGTATTTTCGCCCACAAAAGTGTATTTAATTACAATTGTATTTGAAATACCCACGTTTTAGTATTTAAATACACACGTCAAATACATTACCCAATTTGTAATTAAATACAAATGCAAAATACACAAAGTATTTGAAATACGTATTTCAAATACTTGTATTTGAAATACTGCCCATCCCTGATTAAAATCAACTAAGCTTAGAAGTGGACAAGTGGAAGGGAACAACCTTCACGAGTTCAGCTGAATTTTTGTCTGGGTAAGCATGGTGCACGGTAGTGAAAGGTTGGAGAAACTAATCTGTGTTCAATTCGAAAATATCTGGCCAAAACCACTATTTGCTTCGTATTCGCTTCGAACTTAAAATGTACTATTCGCACATGCCTAATATCTAGTCATTTCAGGGAAGAATAACTGGAAAAAAATATATATGTGTTCCTTTCTGTGTCTGAAACATTGCACCAGTGCTTCTGCTTAAAATTGGGCTAACGTGTCATGTGGTTTCTAAAATTTATTTCGCCATTGTTGAGGCCCGGATGCTAAAGAGTGAACCTCTCTTATGTTGTTTTAGATTGACAACTAAGGCATGCTGATAGTTTCATGCTGTTTCGCTAGCTTGTTTTGCAGCCAGCATGCAGCTCTATACATTGCCTTCAAGCCCAACATAGCACAAGCCGCTATCTCGTGTTTAGCAACCCCTCAGTAGTTTTCTGAATGTTCCTGGGCATGGTCCAAACTGCCATTGGGAATTATGAAATTTGGCTCGCAAAACTAAAGTTAACAAGCAAGATTCCTAAATATTATTATCCTCAAATTATTACCTTAGTATTTTTATTTAGATGTTACTTATACATTATCTCCAGTGTTGTTGACTTTTCCCTAGTTTGCTTGTGGCTTTCGTTTATAATCGTTGCTTAATTTTGGCTTGCCAACGCTTTTTATGTGCATTTCAAAATTTCTGTACAAAATTTTGAAACCTTCTCCTGCTTGAAAGAAAACAATATAGTCGCAAAAAAATATGAAGATGCCAATTTTACTACAATTTGAAAAAAAAAAAAGGAATTTTGCTATTGATATGTGTTACTCTAATTATTAATGCCTTGTTGGATAGGGCAGGCAATGCCACCAACCGTGTCCAACGTTGCCCTAGACTACACAACACACTTCAGATTTCACTCGTCAGCACTGGACGTAATTTAAAGTCCAACAGATAATACGAGGTTTCTCCTTCGTCTAGTTGCTGCAGGGCGCACGGAACCATGTCTTTGTCATTTGCAGAAAGAAAGAAGCAAATGATGAGGCACTGATAGCATTTTGGCATAAATATGCGATTTGCACTGGTATTTGATTGTTTGGTACCTTGCCATTCACTCTTCTTTTGTAAATAGCAGTGATTGGCAGTTCCAATGCTCTGTGGTAAAGTGGACGTGCATTCTATGTTAAAAAGCTCACACTATCTCGAGACTTTTTGATACGTCCAAAGCTATAGTCGGCCGGTCCAAAGTCATCTCAATTTACAATACCGTCATTCCTGTTGTTAGATTTGTTTTATGTTGTTAATCTTGAGGTCTTTTTTCGGTAAAACTTGATTCTTGGTTTGTTTCTAATTGATATTCTAAAAACAGGTGCTGCAAACAATATTGTCTAGAGATTGGAAAAGTCTGTCGCTGATGCGATGGTCGAGCCGCTATTGTGGCCAGATCTGCATACTCTGCGACTATATATCTTTACCTGAGTGGCGCAGAAATTATCCAGTCCCAAATCGCTTGTCTCAAAACCCAGGCTGCTAAACCCCCGCGTTATCTTCCCATCTCCCAGAGCTTTCAAAAATCATTTACAAACACTTGTCCCCCCAGTCTCCTTAGCACTTGACTGTCTCTTGCCAAAACCAGACATCTTCATCTCTTACTATGCATTGCTTGTAAATAGAGGTGAAAGCAGTGGCAATCAGTTTGTCGAACGACATTTCATTGACAGATGGTTTAGTCAACACTGCAACATTCCGACATTTCGTTTCATCGAAATTCCCTTCAACACATCTTGCGATGTTTCGCTTGTTTCCGTGCATATTGCCTCTGCTACTAGCATCCTTATGGTATCCTACCTTGCTGAACCCTTGGCAGTTCCGAGAAGGCTTGGCATAAGCTGGAGCCTGAGATCATAATCCATTTTCCCCGAGCGGTGTAAAGCGAGGGGCAACTGTGTGTAGCATGATCTGTTTTTGCAAGCCTAGGATTAGGGCTGACAGATTTGTTTTTGCTGTATTGGAGCTGCCTGGGAGGTCTGCTATGGTTCCAGTATACTTCCAGCAAGAGCAATGAGCCCAGCAGTTCCCCCCCCACCCCCCAATCGGATCCACCTAGTAAAAAAATATATGTTGTCGAGGGAATGTCTCTAGAGCCTGTGACCATGCAGCATCGTAGTGTCAACCAAATGTGTCCATGAAGCGTGTGTCCAAAATTTGTCCTAAATCGTTTTGCTTCCACGATACGGGCCAAGGTCAAAAGTGTTCATTGTAATGAGGCTCTGGGGCTAGAGAACATAAACTTCTTTTAAAAAATGCATAACGGATGAATTCAGTCGCCATCGACAGATGCAAATATTGCTATCGGATATAAACAACCAAAATTACCCACAGCAATTTTGCGGAATCTAAGTTGTAACATTGTTTTTGTGAATAGTGCAGACAATTTTGCAATCTTTGCATTGCATGGTTGCATATACAGTATTTTGTGTGTGTGTGTGTGTGTGTGTGAATAGGAAGGAAAAGGCGAGCTGGGTGTGAAGTGTGTGTGTGCGTGTGGGATAGGGGAGGAAGGGGGCAGAATCATTTCGCAATGTCATCGGGGGCATTTGGGGGAGCGCGCTCGTGCTTTTTCCAAATATACAGGTACGCATCCGTAAACAGCTGTATATAAAGATAAATCCGCTGTTACACGTTGACAACGTAGATCACGTTCGTGATATGCCGTATGACAAGATGACCAAACATTTGAGACTTTTATTGTGAGTTGGTCGCGTCCAGCGTTCGCATGAACTTGGGCATCATTCATTCAATGCCACACCCGTAGTAAACTTGGTAAAGTGGCCACACCAACTACCCAAAATGGGCGACCATTTCGCAACGACAAGGTGAAACTGTCGCAACGTTCAAAATGTAAAAAAAAAAAAAAAAAAAAAAAAAATTTTTTTTTTTTTAGTGGGCATTACGAAAACGAGGGATGGCGACGCTGCCAGGCAGTGACGCAGTACCACGTGACGAGCTCTGTGGCCACATATTGGCTGGTAACCCTATGACGTGTCGGAACAGCTGGTTCTGCCTTCTGCGTTCTCTGCGTCGGTCGTTCCATTCCGCCATAATCAAAACAAATAGGCAGGGCAACGTCGCGGAGCATAATATGGCTGACGAAACGGGAGGCGCTGTAGCGGGGTCAGAGCTGATCGAAGCTTCTGCCGATCAAGGCTTCCCCGAGATCGGAGGCCCTGCAAAGAAGCGCTTCAAGGCGGGCGACAAAGCCGCCAGCAAGTCGGACAAATTGGAGCACAGGCTAGGCGGCATCCTTTGCTGCGCCGTCTGTCTGGATCTGCCCCGCTCCGCCATTTATCAGGTACGTGGGAGATCAGCTGATCGCAGATACACTGCCTGACTCGACCTCCTTCCGCCTTGCGATCGCCCGAGTAGAGGTGCCAGTTTGGGTTGGGCGTCGGTTGGGTCTTGCGTAAGTCGCTTTCGCCGTAACCGAAAGCGTAAATAACCCTAGGTTTTTCTGAAAAAAAAAAAAAAAAACTGGGAAATTGTTTAGATGGGGGTCCTTTGTTTTGATTCGGCATTTTTTCAGCGATGAAATAAGATCGCTTTGTCCTGGTACGGAAAGGTAAGATATGTAATTTCCCCCATAATGTTTTGTGCATGCTGCAGTATCCTCACAGGTTTCGGACGTGCCTAAGGGCGTATACACCGAAGAAAGGACACTCTGCGGTGTTGCTTTAAAAGAAGTCGGTGAATTTGTGCCTCGCATCTCGGGTTTACTATTAGAAATGTGAGTCTCCCCATGTGTGAAGGTGCTTCCAACATGTCGCCCCCACCACACCCTTTTTGTACCATGCGCTAGTTCTTTTCCGGTGCGTTTCTTTACCAAACAAGTTTCCCCGTATGATCATCTTCATCTTAGTTCTCATCTGACACATAATAAACATGTTCATTCATGGTGGCATTCTAGTGATCTGAAGGACATTTCGAAGGACATTGTAGTTGTGCAACTGGACTCGCAGCATTTTACTGTCATCTGTTCTATTCACAAGAAGCCACACGTTCTCCACTTGTGCATGAAGACACTTAACCACATCTTCCTGTAACCTGCTCTATAAGGACCATCTGTACTGGGCTGTATAAAGTATCAAGTGTTGTCAGAATAAAAGTTAAGAAAAGTGCAATTTGGTTGTTTGTTCCCTTTAATGGTTTCCAAGGTTATTTTTTTTTATCTTGGTTCCATTTAAGCTCAATCAAAAGCTGCTGAAAAGGCCTGGGGTTTGTGCAGCATATTTGCAAAATGTGCATTAAGTCTGGATACTACTTCTTCACTGCAACCACAACATGAAGTATGACTGCTATCTGCAATGATGTAAATTAACCTGAGACCTGGGTAAAAGGAAAACCAAAAGTACAAGAGCAGAGGCTTTAAAATCCTAAAGCCTGCAAGCCGGCAAGGATTAAGTATCTGCTGTAAGACTCTCAAGTTAGTAAGATATGAAGAAGTCTCAAGAGTTGTCCCTCCAGATGGTAAGTGTTAGAGTCAATGGAAAAGGAAAATAAAGAACAAAAATGGTGTTTCAAGTCCTGAAGACATGCCAAGGCCACTACTGCAAGCAAGACAACTGGAAGAGAATGCTTGCAAGGAAATAACCATTTTCAGTTATTGCTCTCACTATTTTTATATGTTGCTCATTTGTGCATTAAGGAAATGCATCATGTGTATATGTGAGCTTTCCTGTATGCAATTTTGATAGAGGCTTTATTTCAATGCATGTGTCCGCAAAAGTCTAGGACAGTTATGACAATATTTTAGCTGCCAGGGCAAGAAGTGTGGGCATTTCCATTTAGCCTGCCTCCAGCAAAAGTGTTGTGGCTTCCTTGGTGCATGTGCACGCTTAGTCAACTCATCATCAAAACCACCACGCTCGCTCTGGGAGTAGGCTGAACGAAAGAGATGTCCCACACTTATTACCATGTTGGTACTTCTACCAGGTATCAAGGTATGTTACTTTGCATATGCTGACTAATCACAAACGACTTTCACAGAGCTATTTGGTCATTTAAGCCTAGGTAAGTGCTGCCAACCCTGCCGATAGTTGATGTGTGATGTTGCCAGCATGACTGCATTTAATAACGAATGTTTCCGGTTATTTTTACATGTTCCAGGTTCAAACGCAAGAAGGGCCAGCTGAGCACATTGCGCCATCTAGAGAACTCTCAAACTGTTACTACATCTGTGTAATGCTGTAACAGTAGGGTGGTTGTGAATAAGCTGGTTTGCAAACAGTAACTGACACATTTCTGGGACCCAAGAGGAGTCCAGGTTCTCGAGCGGGGTTGCAATCTGGCATTTGCCTGCTTTTGCTTTTCAGTTTTTCTTACGTGGGTTGCTGAGTGCATTGATGCTTGTTTGTTTTTGCGCCACACGCTACGGTGGGTGCGGTGAGTACCCTAAGGGGCCCAAAGGGGCCTCTTGCTGCGTGCGTGCGAGTGTGTGTGATTTAAATGGCTGCAGTCTTTTCCCTTGCAAGGTTTGCTTCTAACGGAGCTGCTGCCCAGGAGGAGTGCGTGAGGCCGGAACCCTGTTGGTGATTTGCGCCTTCCTGCTGTGGTTTTGCAGTGCACCAACGGCCACTTGATGTGTGCCGGTTGTTTTACTCATCTCCTGGCAGATGCACGTCTCCGCGACGAGACTGCAACCTGCCCCAACTGCAGGACGGTCATCAGCCGTGAGCTCTGCTCACGCAACCTCGCCGTTGAAAAGGCGGTCTGTGAACTGCCCACCGAGTGCCAGTTCTGCGCCAGCGAACTGCCGCGAGCGCACATCGAGCGCCATGAGGCAGACCTGTGCGAGGAGCGGTGCGTGCTCCATGCGGGGCCCCCTGCTCTCACTTAACCGAAGGGCTATGGTGGGTGCAGCTTAGGCGAGGCTCCCTGCACGGGGAACATTTGCGTCGCCCTCCAGTGCATGCTCGCCGCGGTCGGCTTCTAGCATAGCCAGGGCAGCTCTCGGTACAGCCTCCGCAAATTCCATTTTGGTGGACAGAGGGGAAAGAAGCGTGTGTGTGCTGGCTCTATGCAGGCTGACACGCTGCAGCTATAGTCGAATTGGCTGCCAGTGGAGAGGCCCACACCACGAGCTGGAAGTGCACACTGCCGTGTGCTCGCACCCACTCAAGACGGGAGGAGAGGTGATGGATGCCCTGGAGCTCATTGACCAGCAACTGCACAAGGAACAGATGCTCTACAACACCATCTTCGAGTTGCTCTCCTTCGAGAAGATCACCTTCAACGGTTTGTGGGCCCAGGCACTTCCCTCTACAGAGTGTGGCTGGCTCCTAAACAGCCCTGTTTGTAGATGCATTAAACTGCCTATTTTCTCTAAGGCTGGCAGCGAGGATAAAAGCTATATTTAGGGGTTCCATTAAGGACGCTGTAGTGTGGAACCTCCCTGTAGTCAAGTGAGCTACGTCAGCTGAAATCTCTGCTATACCTGTATTCCATGCAACGGACGCTGTACTATAATGCATAATGACTGGAGCCTTACGTCTATGTTTGTTATTCAAACTTCAATCGCAATTTTTTGGCTTCTAATTTTTTTTTTTTTTGTGACCTTATAGAAAGAGTTTTTTTGTCTTTCTTTACTACTGCTCTTTTCAACTACTCTTTTTCAGAATGGTTGCAACCGGTTGTTATACATGGGGACAACTTTCTATGCCATTTCAAAACCAAAGAACGCATGTGCAAAGCTCTGATTAGCACTTGAGGTGTGCGACCACAAGGACACCTTTGACTGCACTGCCTCAAAAAGTTGTCCCCAACTATAGAACCGCGCAATATTGGTGTGTCCTCATCATACAAGTTGTAGTAGTGTGTTAGAGCTATGAAGAAGCTGAATCTCGTAGTGAATAGTCTCTAGTAAATTTCTTGAATCTGCTGGGAAGCTTTTCCTAGGCCTTCCAGGAGGGCACTCATTTTAAGACAAATCTTGCTGTTTCAGACCTGCAATTCAAACCATACCGTACAGATGAGTTCATCCACAAGCTGTACTACGAGACCTCACGTTTCACGGCCTTTGGCTCACAGTGGGTTGTGAAGGCACGTGTCAATGACAACCAGCGTGATCCCACACAGTCATGCGAACGCACACTCAGCTACCATCTGGTACTCAAGAGCAAGGCAACCAGGTGAATTGCATTTCTTAGCAAACTAGAGATTGAGGTTGAGGCAGCCCTTGGGTAGGCATGAAAGTTTTCATGGTGGTGCTATCTGCAAAATGAGATGATCATTAGGGGTTAAATGGCACAGCAGGCAGGTCTGCTGACATCAACCAAAGGGAAGTGGATCAGGGAACACACATGACAAGGTGCTTTGTCTATAAAAAATATCTTGGATATTTTTATAGACATGGAGATGTTTATAAAAGTATCCTTTCTACTTCCTATTTTTGTTGTGTTTGCAACATATTGTCACGAATGACAGACAATGAGGCAGGATTGAACCATGGTTAAAAGCGCTAAAAAAAGATGTACACAAGATAGAAGGCAAACACGGCCGCTACTCACAACTGTATTGGGAAAGGAAGATGGAAGTACATATATATATATATATATATATATATATATATATCTGATACACTTATCGCCACCCAGGCTACTCATGCGCGAGATACAAGAGCATAAACCCGTTTACATATATGGGGCAGGAGAAAATGGAAAGAAGTAAAGATTTAATTGGGGCGAACTGGTGCCAGAAACTAAAAAAGAACAACATACATCGAGAAAGCAGCGGCGAATGGCGACGGCGGCAGCAACCAGCAGCGGTGCATCAGCCTAACAACTGGCTATCACGAGAAAGAATCGGAGAATAAATCGGCAATACCGCGCTGGGCTCCTTATCTGCTACGCTCGTCGTCTTGAATATTTGACCTAGAATGTTCGGGAAAGAGCCAGGGCGAGACTGACTAGGCAAGGCTATTCTGGCCTCCTTATTGTTTACGCTCGGATTAAGAGTATACGAAAACCTTCTAAAAGAACGGAGTAGTGTATCTTCTCGATCATGCATGCGGCATTACTCCCCGCTTTAAAAGTGCATTGCCCCGATGCAACAGAAAACAAAACAATGGCAAGCTAAAAACGTCCCCTGGAAATTGAAAAGTCCTCACTGCTAACAAGCATAGAACGGACGACGTGAACCACCTCAGGTCGTGGTCAGCGTCGTGATGATGTTTGCATTCCTCCGGGCACCACTTCATAGTTGAGCTCCCCGAGGCGACGAAGTATTTTGTACGGTCCGAAGTACCATTTCAACAGTTTTTCACTGAAGCCACAGCGACAAATGGGTGTCCACACCCACACCCGGTCTCTGGGCTGGAAGTGAACGTCCTGATGACAAAGGTTGTAGCGGCCAGCATCGACACGCTGCTGGTCTTGAATCCGGAGTAGGGCCAGCTGGCGGACCTCTTCGGCCCGTTGAGCAACCGCCTAGACGTCGTCGCTCCAATCGTCAGCTGGTTCGCGGGGCACATCGCGTCCAGCATGGTCGTTACTTTCTGACTATGTACCAGCTGGAAAGGTGCAACTCCAGTGATCTCTTGAACTGCAGTGTTGTAGGCAAACGTAACGTAAGGTAAGACCTCGTCCCACGTCTTGTGCTCCACGTCGACGTACATGGCGATCATGTCGGCGATGGTTTTGTTTAGCCGTTTTGTCAGCCCGATCATCTGCGGATGGTACGCCGTCGTTAGACGATGGCTGGTGTGGCTGAGCCGGAGGATCTCCTGAGTTAGCTGGGTCAAAAACGACAACCCTCGGTCTGTAATCAGTACTTCGGGGGCATCATGCCTGAGGATCGTTCTCGACGGAGAACTTGGCTACTTCCACAGCAATTTCCAACAGGGGCGCTTTTGTCTGGGCATACCTGGTGAGGTAACCGGTCGCCAAGCCAAGCAAAAGCCACATATGTCAAGAAAGCCAAGCCAAGCCAAGCAAAAGACACAGACGCCGAGATCCTGCTATGGCGTAGCATCATGTAATCTGCTCCCTAGTCGAATCAATAAACGTTGTTTTCTGACATGGTGACAGAAGCGGGATCTAACAAGAAGAAGAAAGAAGAACCTCAGCAGAAACGATACAGCCACGGATTCGAGCAACGGAGCGAAGGCGACACCGCTAAGACGAGGCAAACAAGCCGACGCACGTGAGCACCGATTCCACAACTATGGAAGGTGGTCTAAAAACGCCAAAGCCTCTTGATCCGTTTTCGCAGTCGCCAGGCGCCTGGGACGACTGGCTTCAGAGCTACGAATGGTACGCAACGGCGATCCAGTTACAGAAGAAACCTCCCGAAGTTCAAGTAGCGAACTTCATGACTGTCATCGGCCCCGACGCACAGAACATGTTCCGAACGCTCCCACTGAGCGAAGACGACAAGAAAAACCTGGACATCATAAAGCAACGGTTCAAAGAGCACTACCACCCGAAATTCAACCACGCCTACGAAACATTACAGGTTCAATCAAATGAAGCAGAAAGAGGGCGAGACTTTCAACAAGTTTCTGACGGCCGCAAGACTCCAAGCAAAGAAATGCAAGTTCGGTGAGCTGACTGACAAACTACTACGAGATCGCATTATCGTTGGCATCACTAACGACGACGTTGGAGAAAGACTGCTAAGTGACCCGGCTGTAGACCTGCAGAAAGCCGTGAATCTCTGCAAGACGAGCGAGCAGGCGTGACAGCAGCTCAAAGAAATCGCAAACAAAGAAACGAAGACTGTCGACGCTGTCACGAAGAAGACGAAAGCAGCTACCAAGAAAGTAGACTGTCGCGGAGACAAAAGAGCAAGCGCCGACTAATTTAGGCATGACAAAAAAATCATGCAGCTTTTGTGGAGGATTTCACGGACCAAAAGAATGTCCAGCGTACGGCAAGACGTGTAACAAGTGCCAAAAGAAAGGACACTTTGCTGCAGTGTGCCGATCAAGCAGAAGTACGGTGCCACACAAGGTCCATGCCATTGACAACCGCGAAGACCCTGAAGAAGAAATGTAGGTGTCGGAGCTGGAGAACCAATTAAGCAAGATAGTGTGGCAAGAAGAAATCCAGTTCAAGTGTGGAACTGAAGTGTAATAAAACTGGACACAGGAGTGCAATGCAACGTCCTGCCAAACAAGAACGTCCAAGCTATAAAACTACAAGTGTTTCGTTTGCCAGTCAAGAGAATGGCAACATACAGCAATCACAAGATCCAAATGATTGGTGAAGTGATAGAAACATGCGCTGTCCGTGATCAGTCGGCGAAGCTGAAATTTCTCGTCGTGAACTCCCGACGTGACACCAGTTTTGGGTCGGAACGCATGCGAGCTCCTCAACCTCGTGAAGAGAGTGCACACAGTCCAAGCAACGTGAGATGATGACGAAATATTTCAGGGCATCGGTTGCATCAAGAACTTTGTCTATGATGCCCATGTCATAGAAGCCGCTGAGCAAAGTCCTCCTTGACTACAAAGAGTTTGACGTACGGCAGTACGCACCATCGTCTACAAGAAAGGAACAGAACTCGTGATCGCAGATCTACTGAGCAGAGACTGCATCAAGAACGAGTCAGCAGGTGCATATACGGATGACATACAAGTGATGACAATTGTACCCATGTCACCTGAAACAGTGGAAGAACTAATGATGGACATTGGCTAAGATAAAGAAATCCAAGAAGTGATCCAAGCCACGAAAGAGGGATGTCCAAGCACCACAAGAGGGCTCAGTGAACCAATGAAGCTGTATTGGTCATTTAGAGACAAACTCGCTGTATATGAAGACATGTGGTTCAGAAGCGATCGGATAGTCATTCCGAAGACTTGGAGAAACAGACTGCTCATCCAGATCCACGCGGGACACCTAGGCATAAACAGCTGTCTGAAGAGAGCCCGCAAGACTGTATACTGGCCAGGGCTAATGACTGACATGAAAGGATACGTGGAAATATGTGCCACATGCCAAGGAACTGACAAGAGACCAGCAAGAGAGCCGCTTCATCTCAAAGAAGTACCAGACCTCCCATGGGAAAGAGTAGCCTCAGATCTCTTCAACTTCGAAGGAAGATCCTACGTTGTCATTGTCGACAGCTACTCTGGATGCTTAGACTTCAAGAAGCTCTCAGGAGAAGCGTCACAAGGAGTTGTAAACGTCATGAAAGTGTGGCTAGCAACTCATGGCGTCCCCAAAGTCATTGAAACAGACAACGGTCCCTGCTACGCAGCACAAGAATTCAAGAACTTTAGCAGAGACTAGGGATTCCAACACGTTACTTCAAGTCCAAGGTACGCGCAGTCAAGTGGTCTTGCTGAACGAGCCGTTCAGACTGCAAAAGGGATTCTCCGAAAATGCTCTCTGAATGGAAGCAACATACAAATGGTCCTCCTCAGTTTCAGAAACACACCAAGGAGTGAAGAACTGGGTTCACCTACACAGAGACTGTACAGCAGAAGGACAAGAACTCCAGTTCCTACACACAGCAAGCTACTAAAGCCCGAAATAATCCAAAGTGTGCCCAACAAGCTGCGTCACGAGCGCAACCAGCAGAAGACTTACGCTGACCGGCACTCCAAACGAGCCCCTGCCATGGCCCCAGGCAACAAAGTGAAAGTCTGGGCAGAAAACGGGAGATGGGTTCCTGGAACAGTCGTATGTCTTTCGGAAGAACCCACGTAGCACCCAATGTTGTGCGAACATTCCCTGGGTATTCTGAATGTTGAAGGAACGTTAAAACACCATTCAGAACGTTCTAGGAACGTTCGTATGCGAACATTCCCCACAAGGTAAGCTGCTCAACATTCTAGGAATGTTCGTTGGGGAACATTCGTATGCCTAATGTTCTCAAAACATTCGCCTTCGAATATTCATATGTGCAACATTCTTTGAACGTTCGCTTGCGAACATTCCTAAAATTTTCGCAGGTGAAGCCAACTTTACGGAGCTCTCACGCAACCTGTGGTTCGAAACACCATCCGCTATATGCCACTTTGTGCCAAAAATATGCAAATTAAGTGCAGTTTCTGGAAACTTAGCATAAGGGATCAGTTTTATCTTATATGAATCTACCGAGAAATGTAATATAAGGTGTAGGAGAAAAACAATGGTCTCCAAAACTTCATAATAAATTTGGCACTCACTGCGTATGTAGGGGTGCAGTTTTGAATAGACCCGATTTTTCGCATGTGGGGTAGAATACTTCGAAATGGGCATATCCTGCAGTTGAGTGTGGGATGCCATGGAATAGTAATAAACTGTCATTAGTACATGCTCGGGCTGGTGAGCTGGGAATGCGGTAATCTTGTGCCTCCGCTTTCTAAAAATATCTTTTGATTACAAAATATCCATCGCCCTGTGAGCAGCTTTACCATCATCCATATATGTAGTGTGGCTGATTAGTGCTGTTTCCTAATCAAACCGTAATTGTAAAATCTTTGTACATAAGCCTCAGAAAATGCTCCCTGAATGTAGGGATGTATCCACGCACGTTCCTGGGAGATTGAAAGGATGTTCCTGCATAAATTTGCAACATTTCAAGAAAGTTGCAGAAGTTCTTTGGATGTTCTGAGAACGTTCTTGGAACCTTATTAGGATATTTGAATGTTGATTGAATATCCGGGCAAGAGACTTGACGACATAAAACAACATAGAGAGACTCTATGTCGTTCTCAGAACGTTTTAAGAATATCCCTTTGAAAACATTCCCCGAAAGTGCCTGCGCCACATCCTGACAACGTTGATCAAATGTTCTTAAGTAAATTTCCAACATTCCAAGAATGTTGTCTATGTTCTCTTGAACATTCCCGGAATGTTCTCGGAACATTCTCGTTCTACGTGGGAACCACGGTCTGTGATAGTACAGACGCCAAAGGGACAGTATCGTCGAAATACATCCTTTGTTCGTCCGACAAAGGCTGAGCTACACTACGCTGCAAAAACTCATGCTACCAGCGTCGAGCCATATGCGCCACAGCCTGTGACCGACAGCCGAGTGTACCCCAGCCCCCAGCGAGAGAACCCGGCAGACTCAACCGCCGTGACTATATCAGGTCGCGTAATCAGACCAGTCGTCAGGCTTGATCTCTAAAGAAAAAAGGGATGTCAAGGAAGCCAAGTCAAGCAAAAGCCACAGATGTCAAGAAAGCCAAGCCAAGCCAAGCAAAAGACAGACACCGAGATCCAGCTATGGCGTAGCATCATGTAATCCGCTCCCTATTCAAATCAATAAACATAATTTTCTGACAGCGCAGCCGGTGCAGTGTGTCGTCGATGCAGGGGAGCATGACCAAGGTGGTGCCGTCGCCCATCTCGGAGTCCTGCGACTTGGCGATGTCCATGAGAGTCTTGGCGGCTGGGTGCACAGTGCCGAGCAGCTTCATGATCGTTGTGCCGTCGGTCGAGATGGTGGCCTTGCCCGAGTTGTCGACGATGAGCTTGTCCATCCCACGAGGATTGAGCATATTCCTAACCACAACCGCAATTACCTGACAGGCATTATTGTTACTAATCGCCTGGGACTTGCCCTGGGAGTCCTCTGTTCCCTCTTGCAGGAGGATTATCGGGGCCTTGCATTGGTGCGACACCTAGCTGTTCGTTCTCGGGAAGATACTGATTAAACTAGAGCTGGGTGTGGAGGCTTTCTCAAAACAATGACGGCGGACAAGGAATGTCTGTTATTCGTGACAATGTTGCTTCATAAAAAGATAATGAAATTGTCATTTATTTGAGCAATTCAGGAAGAGGCTACTGGCCCCAATACATTTTTGCTTACTATTTAACTATTTGTATAAGATTTTTAAGGGTATCTATGTTCAACTTTACTCTTTGGAAGGTCTTTCTGCATGTATGCAGGGTTGCCTTTAGATGCCCTTGAAGTGCATATACTAGTGCGTTATGACTTTATGTAAGCAATGGATGGGATTTCTGTGCATGTGTACAGATCTGAGAGGTAGTTGTGCTGTGCACCGGCTCGCACAACATGAAAACCCTGTACTAAGCTTGCCTTTTCATACTATCCACGTCAGTGTATTAGCATGTGTTCCCTGAGTAAAACGAGAACTCCTTAAAGGGACCATGAAATTACCTTTTTACTTTTGCCAAATAACTTTTACATTAAAGCTTTAATGTTTATCTGAACGTTGAACAGGCATCCGTTTTCATTTCAGTTTATTAACTTCTACACAAAAAATTATTGAAATATTGAGTTTTTCTTCCTCTCCAACTCGCCGCAAAACAAGCCGCGGTGTAATTTTGACGGTCGTGACGTGCTATGGCACCGGGCAGTAGGAGAACAGGAGCGTTAGCAGCGAGCTGGCGGTGTGCCGTTAGGTTTTAGCAAAGGGTTTTACTGCACTGATGGCGCTGATGCCACCGATAAATTTTCTAAAACGGCGCTTCTCATCATTGTGATATCCATGGACACATCACAGCTGAGCGAAATTCAATTAGATTTGTTGTGCTACAGTGATAGCATGGGACTGGTCCCATACGCCGGTACGAAGCGGAGCAGGTCAACAGCATGACAGCCGCTTCTCCGCCGCCATCAGCTGTTTCTGCGGTATCTCTAAAAATAAGGGAATGCGCTGTCACTCACTGACGTAGCAGAAAATGCACAGAGTTTTCTGAGGGCTCAAGCTTTAGTAACTTTTATTTTGTCAGGATAGGCTCGCAGGGCAGAGTGGATGAAAACAGAAATGAAAAAGATGCAGTATGCCGTCTTGGACGATCACAACTTTACTGATAGTAAAGTCGTGATTACCGATGGTGACAAAAAAAATTGCCGAATTTTATAATGCCCATAGCTATGCACCATCTATCGTGTGGTAAACGAAACAAGAGAAAGATAAGACAGCGCCTGCACTGTTTTGCGATTCCTGCTCTCTTTGCTGAAAAACGTGTTGTCGGTTGTGACTTTGCTGATAGCATAAATCTCACCACATGCCTTTTCTGTGATTGCAAAAGACGATGTAATCTTAGAAGAGATATAGCAACATAGAAATATGATTTTGTGCTCACATAGACGTTCCGATCGTTCAAGGAATGCTAACAATACTTTTCTCAGGTGATGAAAACGCGTCAAAATTCGAATCCTTCATACACTCCTTTAAATACAGTACGCATTAGTAACATCTTTAACTTGAGCACACGCGCGAAATAAGAAATTCGGGCGATGTTCGAGGAGACAAATGTAAGAAAGCACCACTGTAGTCGAAGTAAACAAAGACAATGGCACGAGCGTTTTTGCTGTCTTCAGGGTGCCGCCACAACATCGCCGCACGAGTAGATGGATCTGCCCTTCTAGGACGTGCTGGGTTATCATCGTGGCACGCGACGAGAATTGAGTCAAAGATAGAGCTCTACGCGGAACGATGAACTTCCACCACGCCGACCTCGTCAGCGATCACAACCGACATGTTTTTCAGCAGAGAAGAGAGCAGGAATCGCAAAACAGCGCAGACGCAGTCATCTTTCTCTTGCTTCATTTACCACACGATAGATGGCGCATAGCTCCGAGCATTATAAAATTCGGCAATTTCTGTCACATCGCTAATTATTTAACAGAATGTGAATCAGAATATTCTTCAGCAAAACTTTTTTAGAAACATTGGGCAGCTATTTATTGTTTATGATCGCGGTGCTGGTGGGGTAGGCTCTTATCCAATAGGTGACGTGGATTTGTGTAGTTTTTTTGTTGCTATTTTTTTTTTTTTTTTTTCACCTGTTACGACGTGCGGTGGATGAAATTCTATTTCAAAATAGTTGCACGGTCCCTTTAATAAAGAGAATAACATGTTAGTACCTGAATGTAGAACTAAAACTGTGACCATGTTGCAGTGCAATGGCCATCCACTTTATGATACTCAAAGGCCCCTTTGGAGACATGAAGGTCAACCCAAGACTCTACCAGCACGAGTTCTCAGAGGCAGCCATGGAGAGTCCGTACCAGCCTCTTCCGCTTCTCGATTCTGCCGAATGCAACAAGCTGTTGGCTGCCAAGGCATTCAACTTTCGCCTCATCATGTTTCACGTCACTAAATGAAGCCGCAAAGGACACAGCCCTGTCATTCCTGTATTTTTTGCTGCATGTGTGCACGAGATTCAGGGCAAGGATTGTTCTCTTGTTGATAGTAAGACACTATTCACATCATAATGGAAAAAGATGTTTGCTTTGATAACAGGCTCTTGGTACTTCCTTTAGTCTTTGGTCATCCTGTTGCAAAATCATCCATGAACAAGGGTAAAGACCCTAGACTAGCCTGACGTTTCCCAGGGTTTTAAATGGTCGTGGCTATGCTGTGAACTGTATAGTTTCTTTGTGTTTGTGTTCTGGCAGTTCTAATCCTTTGTCCTATTTATCTTGTTGTGCATTGTGCACATCGGGAAGTATACATACTGTCAGCTGCCAAAAATTAACTTCAACAAAATTATATTGCGTGGTGACATTCTTTTTCCCAATGCTATGCTTAGCATGGAGTAATATGTGTGTTCTCCGGCAAGAGAAGTGGTACAAGGAACTTTTTCCTTGTTTTTAGAAATTGGTTGTCCTTGCTGGAGATCTTGGAAGAAAAATTTTCATCAATTTCCAGAACCAGTTTATTTTAGAGACATAGTACAGAAGTGAGTGTAATATATATGCTAGGTTGCAGTAGGATATAACTATTTAAAAATTTTGTTACTTGGTGCCAGGTGGTTACTCAGTTATGCCAGAATTGTTTGCTTTCCCAAACTGCTGTGTATTGTTTAGAGGTGCTTTGCAGAGGTCAATATGTTACATGTAGTTTTCATCCTACACAGAAATTGTATAAATATCATCCAATAAAATGGTAAAACACGGCCTTATTTTTTCTGTTGGTATGTTGCACACGACTACATACCATTTTATTTTCATGAAACAAGCAGTGAATATCCAGATATATGTACAACTGATAAGTCCAATGCATGCAAGCAATTCCGTGGCTTACTACATTATTCATACTCAGACTTGACAAAATATTTTTATATTTGCATACAGCAGCTTATGTGAATGACGTGGCCACACCACTCGCAAAACAGATCAAACAGCATGTAAAAAAAAATTGTTTCTGTTCATGTGATCACAGCAATTTTCTATGTCAAGTCCATTTTTGCTGAGTGTCTTGCCCCTATAATGGAAACTTCATCTAGCAGATCTCAGCATAACTTGTGCCATCTTCACAAAGTAGGTTATGTTCTCAGCAGTCCATGCCTCTTCCTAGTCCACTCCAGTGGTCTGGAACACACAAAAAGTACTTGTCCATTGCCTCACAAAACCGCACCCTGTACAGGTTGGGCCAGACTATAGTCGGCAGTTTTCCATGGCCTCTCAAGGTCACAGTGGACTTCACCACCATCTCGAGTTTCTTGTCCCAGGTGAATGTGCGTATGTAGTCAATAATTCCCACAACCAGCTCCCTCCTATCATTATCGAAGCCAACAAGGAGGGAGTAGTCCATGACCGAGTTGTCGGACAGGAACTTCGCATCGTTTCCAATAGCCAGTGACAATACAGTCTTGGAATGTGGCCGGATGTACAGTGGTGAGTCGCAGGTGGTTTTCAGCAAGTTTTCATCCAGCAAAACCACATCACCCTCTGTCTGCGAACGTGTATTGACCAGACGATTTCGAACTGATCCTTTCAGATCAAACTTCTGAGCAATATTTCTTTTGTAGAACAGGTTTTCCATGACCAGAAGATCCAGCTTGGAGGCAGCATTTGTAGCAGAGTTTTTGTATCCAATGCGGAACACCCCAACGATCTTGGCCAGGACTGTCGGCTGTCTGTCAGTACAGGCACCACTCACATACTGGAAATAGAGTGGAGCGAATTCCAAGAATGACTGGACTTCGTAGCGTGACATCTGCTTCAAGATGAATCGGTCGTCGTAAGTCTTGCAGAAGGAAGAACCTGATTTGCCACCTTGGGCACTCCAAGACACACATCGAGAAAGTGAATGGATGAAGCGATCTTCTCCGTGTGGAAAGATAAGACAGCGCAGTTTACGAAACTGTTCAGCAAAAAAGATGCGACAGTAGAACTGAGAGGTGGAGTCACTGAACTGTGTTTCTATATGCATGTTTGGGTTCTTGTGGCTAGCTCGCTTGTCAGTTTCCTGGCTGCTGCAGAGAGCCAAGTCATTGAAGTCCATTGACAAGTTCTCGGGTCGTGCGGAAGGACTCGGTTGGTCTTTCAGCTGGCTGAGAGCTGTTGTCAAGGTGGTCTGCAGCTCGAGCAGCTTTTGCTCATAGTCAACAGACGCGAGTGCATGCGCAATAATGGAACTGGGCTCTTGGTCATAGACAATTATAGGAATTCTACTTCCATGGGACACATCAAAGTGGTCCGATGGAGAGAAGGGGCTTTGGATTGGGTTGCTGCCTGAACTTGACAAGAGCTGGCTGATGATTGTCTTGACGGTGCCCCTCTTTTCTTGCTTGCCTCCCATCAGTTCTTCTTCAGTCCTTAGTTTTGCTTTGGTTTCCAGCAGCCATTCTGCACCATCTGAACGAGACCGCTCGTGACTTCTTGAACTTGCAGACTTCTTGGAATCTGTGCTGTCTTCCAAGCCCTGCGTCTGGGCCATGTGATAAACAGCGTAGCTGTCTAGCTTCTGGGCGACGGGATCTTGACCCATAAGACCTGCATAGATGCCAGGGGACACACTGTACATGTAACTCGATACAGACGAGCTGCTGCTTGAAACTCTTAAAGAGGATGGTAGTATGGGTGGAGTGAAGCTTCCATCCTGGATACACTGGGGACTGTCCTCTTTGTCCAGTCCTTCTCTATCACCTTGGTGCTGGTCCCCACCGAGTAGGATATCAGCCATGTCTGCATCTCCCGCAGAATCACTGTCTCCCAAGCTGCTTGTTGTGTCTATGCTCTCGTTGAGTTCTTGCTTGGGCACATTTGGTGAGCAATTCTCATCCAACCCTACATTCACTTCTGTGCCTAGCACGGATGCAGGCTTCTTCATTTGGCCAGACTTTGTTAACTTCTCTTCTCTCTTGCGAACAGACTCGAAGTCCTGCAGCCGTTTGTTCCAGCATGTAACAGCATCGGCGATGTAATGCTTGAGAAGGACAAGGCTGTCGTTAATCTTCCATGTCAAGGAGCAAGCTTTATTCAAAACATCAGAGTCTAAAGTTGAAGGATCTTGAGCCTGACATTTCTTCAGATTGGGTGATGTCAGCTGCAACTGAATGTTCTCAATCTTTTCTTTAAAGGCATTCTTCTCAGTCTGTTGCATCTCCATTAGGTCAGTGGCAAGGGCCTCATACTTGGTCCCCTGCAACTGTGCCCGAAGAGAGCACAATGTCTCCACAACTGTGTTGTACACCAGGTACCCTTTAAGAGCAAGGTCTCGTATCTCATCTACAACTGCCGTCACCTGCGGGATCTCGTCCACAATAGAGATGACGGGTGGCGGCAGTGCCACCTCTCTCATTGAAATGGGAGAGAACTTAAAGGAGGCCACCACCTGTTGAGATGCGTAATACTGGTAGTGATCGTGATGCAGGGAATGCTGGCACTGCTCATAGGAGCTCCTGCAGGTATATGCCTGCCCATGAAACCTCAGCTCCAAGTACTTGGCAAAAGAGAGAGACCATGTTTCATCAGACATGGTGGTGAGTGGTGTCACAAACCGGCATTTACGACACCAGCTCCACATGAGGATTGCATTCTGTAAAATGGGCAGTGGGTTATCCAAGTGATGAAGCAGGATCTGGATGCAGCCATTCTCATGGGCAAACTTGCGAACATGCTCCAGCATTGGTGTATCACAGGAAGTGTTCGGACACGTGTAGGCCGACCGGAAACAGTAGCGCTCCAGAAATCCTCCCAGAGGAATGTCATTGCGGCCATAGAAATCCATGTTGACCACCCAGGGATTGACACAGAAGTAGGGTGCATTGCTCGACGTGGGTGAGTAGCTGCAGAACAGGACAGCTAGCTTCTGGTGGTTGTATGGGCTCAGGGCATCTACCCTGCCATCCCACCCTCGTTGCTCCATAGGAGGGGCAATGCCGTCTGGCAAAGCATCTCCAGTTGCCGCTTCTCTTCCGCTGAAATTATGCGGGCAGAGGTTCTGAATTCTTCCCCCCCGTGCTCTGAAGTCAGCCAAGAGTGCCTCTGCCTCTACCGACTCCCATACAGATGATGTTAGCTTTTGAAATGTGAAAGGGTGGTAAGGAAGCACGACCACTTTCTCCTGCACATTCCGAGCGTTCAGAGTACTGAGAGAAGTTTCCTCAAGTTCAATTTTCTTGCGACTCTCTTCCACATCACATGTCTTGGGCGACCAGTAGATCTCGTCGGAAAAAAACTTCCTCAGCTCACAGCGCCGACCAGCTTCTGTCTTCAAGTAAGGTAGGGCAAGCCGAATGAACGGGGAGGAGCAGAGAATCGTTGACTCAAGGGCCAGCTTGAAAGAGTTACTCAAAGGTAAGACCTGAGATTTGAGTGTAAGACTGTGAGCCTCCAGGGCTGTCCCATTTTCTTCAGAATTAAGCAGGGTGTGAAGTGGATCACTGAAATCCTTCACAGAACTTTTCTCCACCTTCTTCACGGGGTCCTCAGGAATTGGGCAAGGCTCTTCCCCTTTAGGTACCTCAGCATGTTGCACAACAACGGGGCTTTTGGAAGCTTCAACCTCACCTGGTTCCTCAAAGTCATTTTCGTCATCCTCATCGACAGACAATTTGGTTGGTGGCTGAGCATGCTCATCAAACAAGAAGGAGGACTCCAAACGCCAATTGTATGCTACATACAACATAAACTGAATTATGTTCTTCACTTTCTTCAATTCAGGTGCAGATCCTCCCCTAAGCAGAATAGTGCAACCCAATCTGCTGGAGCAACCATCAAAGAAAAGCAGCGTCTTGAACCGACTTGACGGCAGCACATAGGTCTTCACAAAGAAGTTCTGGCATGAGCCTAAGTTAGGCTTGCGCAGCTGGGCATCAATGGAACTCACAATAGCTGATTGCGTGCAACGAGACACTCGTTCCATAACTGATGGCTTCACATTGATTGCGAGTGTCACATCCATTTGCAGGAGTTTCTCTTGTGCAAGTCGAGAAACCGTCTTTTCCACCAACAACAAATCGGGCTGAAACACCTGAATCTTGGCCACAACATGCTTCAGATACTCGCGCTCTTGCATCAAAATAGGGTCAAGTGAGGAGAGCTTATTTTCAACCCTTTGGTACACAATGGATGAACCCACGAGAAGAATACGAGGATTGGTCAGCTGCTGCCGCATCTTCTTGTGGACAACATTTTTGGTGCAGACAACTCCACTGACTACTGTACATTCAGCTCGATTCCCCCCTGGCATCTTCTTGATGTGAACGTACTGCCGGATATCCATGTCATCATCAAGGTGCTTGACATTGGGAGATACAGTGCTTGCGACCTTGTGCACAATGGGCAGCACCACATCTGCCCAAGCTAATGACAGGCCATTAGCAGACAACAGTTGATTCACCAAGTCCTTTTCGAGAAGCTTGTAGGCAGAGCCGAGGCTTTCCTTGACTTCCTTCAGCTTGCTCTCATCAAGCAGAGACTTTTGGACAGTACCACTGTTCATACCACTGCTCGCATAAAGAGCCCCACTGACACAGTCATCATTGATGGTGCGGTTGCATATCTCTGTGTTAATTGCACTGCGATTCGAGTCCCAGCGGCTCCGCTTGACGTCCTCGCATTCATCTTCCTCGGGGGAGGTGACAAGGCTGTCTCGTGGCCTGGAAACTGTCACTCTCGACTCTTTCAGGTCCAAATTGAGGAAAAAGGTGGATGTTGATGCAGACAATCGCTTCTCTTTGAAGGGTGACAAGCCATCCATCGGGTCCTGACCAGTTTTCTCAACCTCAAGGGACTCGTCAGTCACAACAAATGGAGTCAGATTACCATCGGGCTGAATTTCAGAAACCCAGAGAGGATCCTGGTTTTCTTCCACAGCTTCATCAGGAGGGCTGCTTGTCTGGCTAGGTCCAGGGTCTGTCTGACTCCCCATCCCTGGCCTGTACAAGGAGTAGCCATCAATGAAGATTGGGTCATGAGGCACAACTGGCTCCAGCAAACTGCTGTCAATCAGGGCCTGTCCAATGGAGATGGCCTCGTTTCGTGACGACACTTTTCCTTGGGCCACTAGCCAGTCAAGTAGTTCATTACCAACAATGCAGTTGGTGTAGGAATGCAACCTGTGGCGATGAGTTTGGAATGAAATGCCGTGTATGGGGTGCTGAATTTGAGACCAAAGTTCTCTTATGAACATCTTGTCATAGACGGGGGTCCTTCCCGGTGACGGGCTCTGGAAACCGGTGGTGTCAGATGGGGTATACTCGCCAGAGTCGCCTTTGGGCACAACCAGAGCCTCCTCCCTGAATCCTACAGATGTCTTCCTCCGGCTGGAAGAACCCCAGGTGCCAGTGTCTGGGGAGACGGGGTCTTCCTCTTCCATACGCAGCATGCCCAACTTGTTCTGGAGATCAGCCAGCATCCCACGTACATCTGCGCTCAAGTCGAGTGATTTTACATACGAAAGCACCACCTGGCAGCAGTACATGCACACCCGAAGGTCACCTCTGTAGCCAATAATCTTGCCCGGAATCTCGCGGTTGCAGCAGCGACTACAGAAGATCTGGCCGCAAATGCGGCAGTGGTGGCGCCGTCGGAATGTGGTGAACTTGTCGCCGCACTCGTAACACTCCCTGCAATTGCTGTCTGGCATCCAGTACTGCTTCAGGTCCGCATCCTTGTACGCGTTCGGTGCCAACACGCCCCGGTCCATTATGTGCGCAATGCGGCCGAGCACACCCGAAAAGCTGCGGGTGTAGAGCACATCAAGTTCTCCATGGCTCTCCGGCAGAGACGCCACCGGCGATTCAGCACTGAAGTTGCTCCGGGGAGACTCAAGCAGATCTTCCTCTCCCTTCAACTGAGAGGGCTTATCGGCGCCGGTTGTCATCAGCACGTCGTCTTCGGGGATGCATTCGCAGCCGCCGCCTTGCTCCGTGTCTGCTGGGGCTACAGCCGAGGCGCCGTCCTCGCGAGGCCCTCGAGAGAGCTTGAAGAAACGGCTCAGCGAGAACCCGCTTGTTTTGCTTTTCACGTCCGAGCTGAGGGGCGCGAACTCCGTTAAAGACGTGGGAGAGTCGAGCTTCTTGGCTCGACGGCGGTAGTCGACAGGCTCCATCTTGCACACCCACCGACTGACGCCCCAGCAGCCCGTTAGGGCGCTCAGGCCTCAGTGGCCGACATGCCGCTGAACGGACCCTTTTGAGTAGCCACAAGGATGTTCCTTCAGAACCACGCTGAACAAGCCGCCTTAGCAGGTTCCGTGTGGTCATACGCAGGTGAGCCCTTGATCCGTTGCTGCGCGTCACGGGACAGGTCAATCTCGATGAATGAGTTCAGGCACTTTGAATGGCGCGGTGTGCAAAGAAAATAAGCTTTTGGCACCGGAACCTTCAACGATAAAGTCTGACCACTGTCGCATCACGGCAAGGGATCTCATAATGAATTGGAGAACGGTTTGCAAGCAGCTGAACTTGCTGCCATCCCCGCCGCACCAGTATCGAAGGGGGTGCAGGGGGCTGGGGGGGGAGTGGGAGGTTCATTAGCTTGGATTATGGATTGGATACAACGATACAGCTTCCCAGATTCACTACTCATTATAAAAAAAAAAAAAAAAAAAAAAAATCCTAGCCATAACGGTTGACAATAATAAACCCAAAAAAAAGGGATCAAAAGAGGACAAAGGACAAACACAAATCTCCAAACACAGGTGTTTGGAGATTTATTTATTATCGTGATTCTTGTCCAGCTCGCTTGCATCTTTGCATTTAATTGTATTATCACCATAACGGTTATATTAAATAAAGTGTACAGCTCGATTTTAAAAATATTTTTACTTTTTTTATTAGTGACATCATGCTTGTAGCTTTTGGAAGTATGTGGCAGAGGGAGCGGTGGGTAACGATTGTGGCGACGCCGAACAGGCAAATAGAGCGCTAGTAGCGTGGTATAAAATAGCAGACCTGACGCCATCTTGGCCATATTTCCGTGCCTTCGTAGCTTGTGCCTGTGGGTCGTCGAATCGCTTGCCATCCGAGCTGGGTCTGCTACGGTGAGGAAAAATGTCCAATATTTGTCATCATTCTTTAAAACTGTAAGCAATATGGCTATGCATTTTGTAGCTAACCATTGCCGCTTGCGTACAACATCGCCATTCAATGTGGCGTTGGTGTAACGGACATGATGATTTAGCACAGACCTGTTCCTAATTATTTTGAAGGAATAGTACGCGTTCTGAAATTAATCAACAGTGTATTTGAAAATCGCTTTTGTTGGACAGTTGACGATAATTTTGTGTGTTTTCGGTCCTGCAGGTGGCACTTTCCGAGGCTTGGGGTGTTGGCGGAGCACACGTGGGCATAAGGTAAGCGTTTTCAAAAGGGACTGGCTTGCGTGATCCGACATGATGCTTTGTTATCCCTGTCCTACGTATGCACGTGGGGACAACTACATTTCACTGATCTGCATTTCATTTACGGAGGGAAAACTGGCAAAATTTTTTGTGCCATTAATGGTCTCCGCTCTCTTGCAGGCACTCCGGAGCAGGCCACATGTACGCTTGTCGGAGTTGCAGGAGCCGTCGTTATGAAGCTGGTAAAGTTGCTTCTCTCTCAAGGTCTACAGCGCTTTTCAAGGGATGAATTATTTACTCAGCTCACACTGAATTTACTTGACGATTGTAGTAACTCTGATGCTCTCTACCCATGCTCCGCCGAAAATTGCTTTCCTTTGTTCCTAACCTCGTGTTCCTCTTTCAGGTTGACTCGTGATTGCAGTGCATAAACCAAGTATACGATACGCACCGTAAGTGTCACGATTCGCTGCAAGCTGTACTCGTATCGTGATGATACAATGACAAGCATATGACCTATAATTTTTGAGGACAGAACTTTACCTGATAAGAACACGCTAGTCACCGTGGCGATATGTTTTACGTCCACAACTAATCGCAATTTTTTTTTGTTACAGTGGAAGGAACAAGTTACTGTGCACACTTCGTAGAAGTTTTTTTTTTTCCCTCGGAGGTATGTGTATCTGCGTTTACCTGTGTTGCTCCCGCCCCCCTTTTTTTTTTTCTTTCTTTCAAATGATGAATTATTAGTCTCGTTCGTATGATAAACGTGATTCAAAACGTATCAGTTCAACTGATTATCTATCGTGCATTTCGCTATCTTGTGGTTTTTTTTTTTTTTTTTTAATACTCAGTCTTTTTTTCTAGGTTTGTGTGGAGCATTCCGGACTGGGTGGAAAACAGATGGTGAGAAATTTTGAAGTGTCGTTTGTCCTTTCTAAGCTAAGGATGATTAAGTCTTCTCATACCTTAACTGGTGAAATTACTTGCCCTCTCTGATGGTTGTGCCTACTGTAGTTTCTTTAATTGGGTTTTCGTCAGGTTAATTTTTTATTACCTGCAGGTGCTGCGCCTGGCCTTCACGGTCACAGGTAATTTTTCCATTCTTCCTCTCTTCCTGTCCACATGCCTGATGATTCCATACCGCCCCAGTCCTATATCCGTGCGGATTGGTCTTTGCTGACATTTTTCATTTAAGGGAGTGTTTAGACGTGTTAATGTGGACGTTCTAATGCAGTTTTTTCCTTTAGGTGGTCTGTGCTGTCGCTGGGATTACAGGTGTGTTGTAGTCTTTTTCTTCCTTCACATTGTTAAATGATGAGTTCATACCGCCCCAGTCATAGTGATACTGCTGATTGGTCTTTACTGATGCTAAATCATGCTCCTGTTCACCTGTGACGAGAATGTTTCGTATTTACTTGTCGTTTATGTTTCCTTAGGTAAGGCCTGGACCATCTTCCTGGTGTATTACTGGTTTCTCTATTTTGCTGTTGCTAATAAAAAGTCCATCCTACTTCTGTCTCTTGGTGGTGAATAGCCTGGCATGGCTATGTGCTTCAACTGGTAGACTGGCCAGCTCTTCGATAGGTGCCTAGACCTTTGACAGCGTACAGGGTGTCCCAAAAGAAAATTTTCTTTTGTGACTTTTTTTTTTTTTCCCCAAAAATAAACTAAGCATCCCCGAGCGTCATTTTCAGCCCAAAGACTGCGCTAGAGGTCACAACCATATGTATTCGATACTTTATTCAAAAGTTGTGTAGATGATCAGATTTTTTTGAAAAGTTCAGTGGCGAACGAGCCAATTTTTGCCCGTTTTCGGTTTCTGGCGGTGTATTCGAAAACTCCGTCGGCCTCCATTTTCTCATTTAGATTTTCAAACCTTAGGGCAAAGAATAAGCGTTCGGCGATGCCTAGTTTATTTGTAAGATATAAGCGAACTTTTTTTTTTTTACACCTTTTGTATTTGCAGGCGTTGCGAGCGGCTAGGAGCCGACGAGCCAATCGAATAGCGTCAAAATGGCAACGTCATTGCGCTCATAACCTTTGACCGTATCTGAGCCGGTGACCAACACGCCCGGTGCGCATCCACTATTGCCCCCCCCCCCCCCCCCCCATATTCACAACGCTTAGTAGTAGTTGTAACCTTTATCACTGTTTTTTGCCTTTCTAATCCAACCAAACGCATAAAGCGTGCACTGACGTTGCTATTTGGCTGCCATTGTGCAGAGATTGCGGAGCTGCCAAAAGAGGGCAGTTTTCGATAAAGCAGCTTTGAACCAAATCAAATGCCGCCGTTCGCAACGTCTGCACAAAAAAAAATGGTTGACGTGTTACTTTATGTCATTAGTTGCGTGCAGTGCAGGCGAAGGCAACGCCAGGCAGAGAAAGGGAGAGCACTAGGAAGGCTCCCCCGTACTGCAGGTAACTAGTTGCCGCATCCCTCGGCCGAAAAGTGAGGGATAAAATTGGCGAAGGACGAGAAATTTTGGAGGCTCTAGAAATAGATTGGGAGTCATGTGTGTCAGCAGGACTTCTGTTGCATTATCTAGGAAGGAGATTGATTTTCTGGCCCCTTGATTAGCTTGGTTTATCTTTTTTGAGGTGATGCTTCGTTTTTTTTTTTTTGCTTTTGGGCGTTTTTCAGGCTGATTTTCTTCTTTTTGTTCTCAATTGTGCGTATATATTGCATCGTTGAGTTCAATAAAAATTTAGTTGCGAGTCAGCGCTCTGTCTGTCCTTCGTTACCCTGTCCGTTCTTTTGCGCTGTTTTAACCTTTTAAGATAAAATTGCTTTCGAAATGCGGGCTTTAGGATGGGCTGCTTTCTGCCGGACCCAGGACCCCCCCCCCTCCCCCCTCCGCTTTGCCACGGCGCGTCTCGATTTCGCCGCTCCGCGGTTATTGGCGACTTGTGCTAATCTTCTTGCGTTGCAGCTGTACCTTTTTGAAATGGGGCAATACAATTTTAATTCTGCCTCAAAAGAGGGCAGAGGATGAGGCTTTTTGTGCAGTTTGTCTAGAATAGATCAGCAGTTCGCCCTTTGCCGTATGCTAACCTGGGGACACATTTCAGGTCTGTTAAGATTTGCTCGGGGCAGGGATCAAATCTGTCAAGAGTTCCCCAAAGTAAGTTCTTCCACATAGTAAACAAGACTCGTGGATCAACAAACAGGTTTAATTGTCATGTTGCAATTACAATTCATGGGACTCCGCAACTGGGAATAACCTAGAAAGGAACTTGTCCAACTGACATACAGCAGACATCACTCTTTCTAGTGCACGTGTGCTACTCAGTGGCGTGGATGCAACATTAGTTTAAAAAAAAACAACAGGGGGTTTGCATAGTTGATTTGAGCCGAGCAAAATGCCCTTGGCAATTATAAATCAAGGTAAACTCTCTCTCTTTACATACCTCTAAATGCATGTATACCATAATCATTCCTTTTTTATTGGATGCCTCTGCATCAAAAAGCATGTTGTTGAACACCGGAGGCATGCGGTTTAGAAAAGCTTGCGTTTTACCGACCCCCGGTTTATCGAATGCCTTTATAGAGAACCCAGTTTAAAGAAAATGGCGATGAGCCTCCTTTTAGCGAATTCGGCCGACGCGAAGCGGCTTGTACGGGTAAATCAGGCGAGTTAACATTTTTGTGATGAGCCGCCGCAGACAGCGAGAAGTAGGAAAGCCTTTTTTTAAAAAGCGTCCCCTTTTCGATAAACGGCGTTTCTCTAAACTGGGGCACTGCTTCCTCTAAACCGTGCTTCGATAAAACATGCCCATTTTCTGAAACGTGCTTCGATGAAATGGCATTCAATTAACCATAGTAAACCCTTTGAACACTCTTGACGGGTCAGAACACGAGCGTACACAGAAGTTTTGCGTTTTGTTCTTGTCAGGTGCATGTGCACACAGGTTTGTACTGATCTCTATGCATGCATGCATGCATTGTGGAAGAACAAATAAATATATTACTGGAAGTCTACCAAGGCACGAAATACTGTGGTGCCCTCGGGCCATCAACTCCCGCCAAATGCAATGAATACTCATAGTCTAAACCCCCAAAATTAGTTCCATCATTTTTTTTTGATAATGGGACATGCCAAATCCAACATAAAAGCATGTGATTGAAAAGTAGCATATAGATAGTTGCTGCATATATTATCCCCTCTTTGTGTCGAGCTCCCATCGTGGTGTCCCTCACCGTCTAAACTCTGCAAACACAACGTCAGCACCATAAAACCATTGAAAGCCCAGTATTGCAGCAAAACAATGAATCGGGTCCCATTTTTAGGGCACCGAAGCTAAGAGCAGGCACTAACTTTTATGAGAGCGCTCCATGTCAGCGGCAAAGGCTGCTTTAGCCTGAGGCACAAGCTGTTTTGGCTGAAGCAGCAGGTCCAGACATGTCAGAGCCATGGCTTTGGCAGCTACCAGTGTTGGTTCCTGTGCTCCAGGGTGGCCAGCTGCGTCTGTAAACTCTTGCGTGTGATTGGGCCCCGCCGAGGCGATCCGGTAGATGGGGTGTATGCTGGGCACCGTGTGGCACAGACTGCCCATGTCCGAGGAGGCCACAAACAGCGTTGCCTCCGGGTTGCCATCGTCAAACACGACACCTGTTAACACCGGGGTTCAGGGCACTTCACACAAAAGCTGTGGTTCTAGGTCATGAGCCTGCACAAGTACAGGCTCATTTGGGCCACAGGTGCCCAGCACTTGCTACTTTGCCCAGTTTTAATTTAAACTATTTTAGCACAAAAACTGGCTCACACATGCTCGCGACCCAGATGTGACTGTGAACACATCTGTGTCCTCGGGTACCCAGCTCCTGCTACGTAGCCCAGTTTTAGTTTTGATTTTAGCAAAAAGCTGAAGTTTATCTTACTGCAAAAATAAGAAGCTGCATTCGGAATTCTTCACACTTTTCATATGGCACTAATTAAGTACAGTGTTACTAGATGGCATCTTGATGAAAGGTTTAAGAGAACTGATCAAATTACTCAGGTTTTGTTAAAAGTTTGCCAATACAAGTTTCAGCAGCTGTTGAGGAATACACATTAGCCATGACGCACCAAGTCGCTCGGCGTGCTTCTTGTAAAGCCCAGCCAGGACGGAGTTGGTGACCACGGGCTTAAAGCTGAATGACCGGGTAATCGCCATCGTACAGCCTGTTGCTTCAGCCCCCGCACTGACGCACGACATCACCTTCTTGCGCAGCTCTTCCATGATGGCCACAGTAGGGGCCCGGTACAAAATGTCCATGGCAGAATGTTCCGGAATGATGTTTGGAGCTGCTCCTCCATCCGTAATTATGGCTGTTGGGAATCGCGCAAAATTAGGGTTTTTACAGCACCCCCCCTCTGTTCCCCCATCACACAGATCAGGAAAATTATTGGGTGCCTGTACGAATTGGAGGTCAGAATTGCGGTGGGCATCATGCACGTATGTGATGCGGTCGAGAACAGCCAAAGAGATGGCAATTTCGGGGGAATATAACATCCGTAGGACATCCAAGGGCAATGAGATGAGCCAAGGCAAATTGAGATGCTGTGTTTTAATTTTTTTGGTCTCTGTCTCGGGTTTTAGTTTGGCAATGAGATGTCCGTGATACAATTCCTAAAGCTTGCTGTCCATTTCACAATGGTTCATCATGCTGCAAGGGAACTACATCTCCTGCAGCATGGGGTCCATATCACGAGCGAATACGTTTTAGCGTACAGCGCCATTTGAGTAACCGACGGTTTAGCGAATAATGTGGGCAGGCATTAACCCACCCACTGTGGTGCGTTCACGCGCACGGGGGATGGGTTCGCAGCGCACAGCGCTGCGAAGCGGTGGCTCATTACAAAAATGTTGACCCACGAGGCCCACCCGAAAATGTCACTTTGGAGAGGCCGACCATTCGCTAAAGTGTCTTTCAATGAAAAGTCGGCGTTCGCTAAAACGTTGTTCGACCGCCCGAGTGCCACCCTGCAGCATGCATGCCTATACCTCACTTTGCTGGGTATGTGTTTGGGAGGAAAAGAAACCATGCTTTTCTCATTGCAAAATAAACTATAAATTGCCAAATGTGCAGTCTTTGTGCACAAATATAGTGTTAGCAGTTGGGACCAGATGCCAAAGTTTCAGAACTTGCCACAATCTGCAACATTTTATAAGCTATTCTTAGAATTGTTAAATAACAAAATGATGACCCATAAAGCACACAAATACATAGAGATGCGTGGTATCTGCAACTGGGAATGGACCCCATTTTCTCACGGATAGATTCTTAAAATGATCTTGCTGCAAGAGACTGCTGTGTATCCCAGTGTAAATGAATGGATCTTACCTAGTAAAAAAGCAATATGATTATGCTTTGCACAGAAGACAGCTACCAATGCTGAACAGACTGGCAAGTTTCATGAGGCACATTATAAGGTTGAATGTAGTACTAGTCAAAGTAAATATTCAAACCTCCCACTCTGCAGTTTGGCTTGATGTGTTGGCGCAAGTAGGACAGGCCATTGTAGCACGTGACTGCAGCGTCCAGAGCATTGGTGCCTTCCCAGGGAGCACCGGAGGAGTGGGCTGCTTTTCCGTAGTACTCGACTGTCAACTATCAGCAAAAAAAAATTACCTGTGCAGTGCAGGCTGGGCAACTGGGGGCAATTTCGGCTTGCAAGCCAAACAGCAGAGGTGACATGTGTACACTGAAGAAATTAATGCTGCAAAAGCTCCATGCGTTTGAGTTGGCCTTGAAAGTTCATTAAAATCGTGGAAAGGATGACTTGGTGACTCACGTGGCCAACTCCAATGAACAATGGAACAAGTTCATTGCTTCTGCTTGGGTGAACCATCATTGCCACATCTATGTCCTCAAATGCACCTGCCTTGATCAGGTCTACTTTTCCACCCCCACTTTCTTCAGCTGGGGTTCCAAGGACTATAATCTGAAATATTCGACAACTTATTAAAGCACCTTGCGTTACCCGGTCTTTGAGAGCACAATGATGCGTTTAGTGTTTACTTGACAGTTCTGAGAGCAGTATCGATAGTTAACCCACTTAATACTTTTGAAAGACAGGGTTAATGAGGAGAGAGGAAAACAGCAAGAATCACAGTGAAGGAGGTCAACAAGGACATGAAAAAAGGGCAATGACGGCCAGGTAAGCCGTGCACTGTCATGGTGGTAGTGGTACCTTTCCCAAGAGCTTCGGATCGGACCGCAACGCTTCTTTGACGGCAACTCCAGCGGCAAATCCCGCTTCAGCTATTAAGTTGTGCCCGCACGCATGGCCAATTACAGGCAGCGCATCGTATTCGCATATGACGCAAATCACGGGACCACCTGTGTTGCACACGGTAAAATCACGGTTACACCAAACTGGGCTCCTTCGGAGTGCTTCGCCTCAGTGACGGCGATCCACTAGCAAAACTTAGGACCACTGATTCCGCCAAAGTGAGGAAAGACAACGTACCCGCTCCGTTTGAGAATTCGGCCCTGAAGGCAGTGTTGAGGTGATAGTTGCGCTGCACCTGAAATCCTTCATCCTCGAGAGCTTGGGAGAGATAATCGTGAGCCTTCACTTCCCGATAGTAGAGCTCCGGATTCTTCCAAATTGTTTGGCTGACACGGTTGAGCTTTTCCCGGTGCCTATCGATGGTGCCAACAACGATTTCCGATAGCATTGGGGTCATGATTGGAGAATGAGTCCACCTCAATCAGAACTACAGAAATGCCTAACAGCCTGGACGTGGTTCATTTAATAGGCCCCGAAATCAGCTTGCAACTAACAACCGAGGGCGCTTCAGATAACGACAGACAGGCGAATGGGCTTCGAACGGAAGACTACCTGACGACCCGACCACTCGACTGTTATCACAGCTGGCCTAGGATAAGCGTAGGATAAGGTATAGGCATATAGGTACAGTGGTAGAGGTGAAGCGCAACAGTCATAGGGCTATAAAACAGGTAAAACTACACAACTACTACAACTTCTACAACCAGGCCACCAGGCACCAGGCCTTAACAAACGAGCTCCCTTGGAGCGGAAATGACGCAACGGATGACAGACTGTGTCGAGTTTCGGTTTCAGCCAGAAGGCCAACACCGACAACACAACCAACACCATGTAGGGGCGTTAGCACTTTTGGTATTATGTCAGTGGTGGGATACAAAGGGGGGCTCCGGATCACTGTGCGTCTTGATTCTCCCCTCCCTCTTTGAATTCCGCATGTGCAGAATTTTAAGGCGGGGAAAAAAGAGGCCTGCTACGATAGGGGTGTCGCGAACTTTTGTCGAACCGGATTTTTAGGTCGAACTTTCGGGGTTCGAACCTTCGAACTTTTCATCAGAATCGACCGGTTCGACTTTGTAGACAGTGTATACAAGCATGTCTAGGTTTGGAGAATTTCTTTTATGCAAAGGGTTATTTTACTTTATGAACAGTTGCAATTAAAAAAAACTAATCTAATCAGTAAAGAAGTTAACATATTTTGTTTTGTACTGTATTAACTGAAATAACCAATCAGTGGTGCCCTTAATTCATCCCTTAGCCATCAACATCCAATCCGAAGCCAACTGGCCAGCCTGTCGCGCATGCGCACACGAGTCGAACCTCAATACAAGGTTCGTCGAAATTTCCACTAAAGGTCGAAAAAGTCGAACCTGGTCGAACTCGAACCTCGGCCGGTTCGCGACACCTACGACCAGTCCTTGGTTATATTTGTACCACAGAGAGGAGGTGCCGACTCTGATTCTGTGGGATGCGATCACACTCGCGTGACAGTCGAGACGTCGAGAGGGCGCTTTTCAGACGTGTGCATTTCCAAGTGTACGCTAATCTATCTTCAATCGACTGCATATCTAGCGTAGGTCACTGCACGGGCCCGGGCCAGCCCGAAACCCGACCCGGCCCGCGGGCCGGGCTCGGGCCGGGTAGCACGCATTTTCTCGGGCCCGGGCTTGAACAAAAATTTTTCGGGTCGCGTCGGCCCGGGCCAGCCGGGCCGTGGCTAGGTAGTTGTGTGCCGCGAATTCTAAATCGTTGATGACAAAAACTGTGCTCATTGATCGTCTAAGGTTCAATTAAAACAAGCAAGCAAAATAATCACTACGGCGCCGTTAAAAAAGACAAAAAACAAGACGTCTTGCATTTGGAAAGTTTTCACGTGGATAAAAGGAAACGTTAAAATTCATCAAGAAAACGAGGGCACCTAAGTCGCAGGGTACAACATGAATGTCTTTTTTTCCTGCTTTTCAAAGGGGAAAAAAAAAAAATAATAAACAATAAAAAAAAAACGTTAGCTTCACTTTCCACTTTGTGCAGGGGGCCTTACTATGCCCCCCAAAGATCAGCTAACTGCTATAGATACTTTTATGCGTTATTGTGATTGTTCTTCACAAAAACATGTAGCAAGGAAAGAAAAGTCCAATATCTCTTCAAGAAATGCATACAGTAAATAAAATATTGTCCACTTTTTTTTTTCTCTCAAAATCATTTATGTGCATGTTTCGTCCCTATTCCCGAAAATACATCGTCTATTTTATCGTGTCAGTTTATCCTGTCAAAAAAACTTGGTCCAATTAAGTTTAAAAGAAACTTCAATCAAATATGTTCGCTTTTTGCTTAGAAAGTTGTTAGGTTAAAATAAAGCCTGGAAACTTTTTCGTGCTCAGATATATAGGGTACTGGTTCAAGTCACCAGGCTCGATCTAAAATGGGCCGTAAAAATCGACGTCTGCACGTAGTCATCTAAACTTTTCGTCAAAGGTGTATTTCACAGGTCGGTTTTTTCTTGTAAAATTACAAAGCATAGTTCTGTTTTAGTAAAAAAATAGGGCCAAGAAACTTGCCAGGGTCTACGGCGGGCGGCTACCCAAACGACCAAGTCCAATAGCGGGGTGTGTTTGGCGTTCGTATTGATAGATGGCGTCGGGAGCAGCCAGGAGCAGCGTCTGAAGGAGCCGCCGACCAGCGAAAGATAGCAGACGACACGCAGACGAAATCCGTTGGCAGCAAAAGCGCCGCCGTTATGCAGACGCGTTTTGCTTTTATTTTTCGCATTTATTTTTTAACCGAAGGTGCATTTAAAAAAGATTATAATCATTTTAATTACCCACGGTGGTCGTGAGCCGTCGCGATAAGGAGGTAGCGCCATCTATCAATACGAACGCCAAACACACCCCGCTACTGAACCCCTGTCGTCTGCGTTGCTGCCCGTCGTAGACCCTGGCAAGTTTCTTGGCCTTATTTTTTACAAAAAGAGAGCTACGCTTTATAATTTTCCAAGAAAAAACCGACCTGTGAATTACACTTTTGACGAAAAGTTTATATTGCTACGTGCAGGCGTCGATTTTTACGGTCCATTTTAGATCGAGCCTGGTGACATGTCGGGCTCGGGCCAAACTCAGGCTTATATTAATAAAAAAAAAAAAAATTGTCGGGCTGGGCCCGGGCTCAAGCTTCTGTCTAACAATTCTTTCCCTTTCGGGCCGGGTTGGGCCGGGCCTAGAAATTAAATGTTCTGTCGGGCTCGGGCCGGGCCTAGAGATTCCGGCCCGTGCAGTGCTCTAATGTAGCGCATGTAGCGCTACATTAGAGCACCTAAGCGTTCGGAAACAACCGGATGCGGGCGCAAAATGTCCTTTACTAATCGCATATCGTTTAGTTGGTCAAAAGAAAGAGGCTAGAAAGTCCAAAGCCAGCTTTTCGGTACGAACATTTGAAAATATAGCGGACTGTATTTGTACCTTCTTACAAAACCAAACTGACGTCAGCAGAGCCCAGCTCACGCATTGGACACGAGAACTGCGTCACTCGGATATGCGCTCGTCAACAATCAATCCGTCGACGAATATTTGGATCGCGTTCGTGGCCAATGAGTGCCCAGACGGAACTTATCGTCACTGGGGAATGACAAGTTCTATGGCGTGCATAAAAAGCACGGTGGAAGCTAGGAGTCATCGCACCGGTGCCGAAGGAATGTCACGACTAAAGTCACGACCACGTGATTTCACAATTCGCATTTGAGTTGAGGATTAAAGCTAAGGAGGAAGAAGTAGGAAAATCGTTTCATGACCCCTTTAATATTTTAAAATCACGTGAAAAAAAAAAAAAAAAAAAACTGCTTGAAACTGGAACACGAGCACGGAAGCTCGTGCACTCATGGTCACGTGGCTATACACGACCGCATTTTTTAATTTATTTTTTTCTGCTCTTTTGTCGTGCGATTGTTACACACTTCTTGGCTCAGGAGAGCCGAGGCACCGCAGGAAGGCAAGAGCCCGTAACATGGAGGCTCGCGGTGCCGCTCCGTTTCACCTTATGTTGTACCACAGAGAAGGCTAGAAGCGCGAGATGTGCCCTAGAGCAAGGAGCTCGCGCTTGTAGCCTTTTCTGCGGTACGGTGAAGCATTATATACAAGATGAAAGTGATGTGATTCTGAAATGTACAGGGTGTCGTGCTGCCCCCCCCCCCCCCCCCCCCCAAAAAAAAAAAAAAAACAATTAAGATAGTTTTTTTTTTTATTAACAAATATAAATTAAACATCACTGAACGCTCATTTTCCGCCCAAATGTAGCCCTAGCCTTTCGAACCAGATGAAAAAGTTGACTAACCGTTGTGTCGAAAGTTACGATTTTCTGAAAATTCCAATTATTTATTTATTTATTTATTTGGTACCTACATTGCCCGGTGAGCATTACGATAGGGGGGACGAAAGGAATTTACAAAAGCAAACCTACAGCAGAACAAGAACAACAAACAGCATGCAGAAGTCACACAAAAAATCATCGAACCGACTACAATAACATAATTTCATGAAGAAATGATTGTACATTAGGAAGCTCTACCAGCGAGTCGGCCAGCACGTTCCAGTCATTAAAACTGTCCGCGGAAAAAGAAAAAAAAATATTAGAACGTCAGTCCGTACGGGCAAAATTCCCGGATCTTTTTTTTTTTTTTTTTTTTTTTTTATTACTAGTTTTAAGAGGAACGTAATAATTGGTTCCAATAGGTATCTCGATTTATATATACCGATGCTACCGATGCTACCGATGCTACATAAACTTGAGACGGAGGCACTTTCGTCTTAGTGGTAAAAATTTCCATCCGAGTTGGAGCTTTAATTGAGAGACGCTATCATGAAAATTATAGTTATTTAGCACCATAATAGAGGAGGCTATGTTAGCACATACCTTGCGGCCTGATTCTGAATTCTTTCGATTTGATTTATACATGTTTGCGTGTGTGGGTCCCAAAGAATACAAGCATAGTCCAGGATTGGGAGGACGTAATAAAAGCAGAGGGTTTCTTTCAAGTGAGCCGACACTTTTCTTAAATTGCGACGCAAAAAAATGGAGCATGCCGCTGGCCTTAGGACATAATAACTTCACATGATCATTCCATCTTAAATCAGCGGTTAGGCGTACCCCGAGATATACTGCCTCAGTGCTAAGTTGCAAAGGAAGATTATTTAGTTTAAAAACGGCAGAGACAATTTTACGTTTTCTAGTGAATCGAACGTGGGCACACATCACTCTGTGATCTTATCTAAATCACCCTGTAGGGCTTGGACGTCGCTATCATCGGTCACTTCTCTGTATAAAACGCAATCGTCAGCATACAACCTTATATTCGATGAAATTCCGTGTACGTCATATCATTAATGAAAATTAGAAAAAAGGAGGGAACCTGAAACAGAGCCTTGTGGTACACCTGACATTACATCTACATATGATGAATGAAATTCATTCATGATGACACGCTGTTTCGTAGCTTTAAGATAATTTGCTATCCATTGCAAAACTTTTACATCAATGTTTAGGCTATGTAATTTATGAAGCAAGAGCGAGTGAAACGTCAAAAGCTTTCCTGAAATCTAGAAAAATACAATCAGTTTGGCAGCATCTATCAAATGCACAAGCAAGGTCGCGACAAAATTCTAGGAGCTCATGTGTTACATGATAACCATGTGCGGGAACCGTGTTGAAGTGAGGAAAAGAAATAGTTCATATTTAAATGAATCTTGCAACATTCACTCGTTAGAGAAATTGGCCTATAGTTTTCAACATTTGTTTTTTACCGTTGTGTATTGGGATGGTCCCAATACATTACCAAACTTCCAATCATCAGGTACGTAGACGCCCACTCTCTAGCGACTTCATAAATAATATTAATAAGTATGATGCCATAATATCGGCGCAAGATTTCAATACGATATTTGGAATTCCATCCGGCCAAGGTGCTTTTCCTAGTTTTATATTGCCTAGTAATTTTCTTATGCCATTGTGATCGAACGCGAGTTTTTTCATTTTACCGCTAACTTTATCAACCGTCTGCGGTAGTGATGAAGCTGCGAAAGTTGAAAACACAGACTTGAAGTGTTTATTAAAAGCAGCTGCTTTGACGCTATCACCTGTCACAAGATTGTCATCAACCAGAAGAGAGGGGACACCAGTCACATCCTTTCGTTGCGATTTTACATTTTACATCCTTCCGTGGCGATTTTGCAGCTGGCCCAAGATAGGCGAATCGTTACTTTTTTTTTTTTTTTTTTCAATATCGTGCAAAAACACGTTTATTTTTATTTATTGAGCATCTGATTTCTGAATTCATCCATGGCTTTTCTTGTTTGCGCTTCGCGCTGACCATCTTTGTTGGAACTATAAATGTCTACCAATTCTTGTATTTTATTTTGTGAAGATGGGGGCCCGCCTTCGGTAACTGGCACCCATTCAGGTACAACGGCCACCATTTTCCCCTTGAAAATTTAATCGGTTATAACTTTTGAATAACGGCTAGTTCTAAAACTTTGGCCTTTGGTTCGGATCACTAGGCCTACATTTGGACCGATAATGAGTGTTCGGTGATGCGAAAACCTACCTGCTTAGAGCCTTAAATATGTCTTTATATAATTCGGACCTGGTTTTCGATATACAAAAACTATAGACCGTTCCATTAGGGTCATAGCAGAGAGGGTAAAAAGAGAAAAAAATGTCCTCCCCCTCTCACCCGCACGTCGTCTGCTCCGCCGAATGGGCTGTACCTAGCATCCGGCTGGCGTACAAACTCTGTTTAAAATCGCGTCATTTTGGAAATTTCAAGCGCAGATACGCAGATTTTTGTATGCCAGTTATCGTGTAATACTATGCTAGATAAAAACAACTAACAGGGTCCAATTGTGCTGTTACCTGCGTGCAAATAAAAAAAAAAAAAAAAAAAGAAGGGAAAAACTGTGTCAGATTGGCCGGTCTCTCCGGCGAAAAGTAAATCCGGTTGCTGTACCCTTTTACTATACAAAATTCGTACTGGTGCAGACCTTTAGCGACCATGAGTGGAAGTCTGAAATAATAAATAAAAACGTGCTCTCCTGCCACAATACATCCAGTAGTTGAGAGTAGTACTGCCGGCTGACTAAACTGCTATTTAAGTAACGGAAAACAAGATATGCTAGTTGATCATTTACCGAAATAGAACAACAGAGAGCTCTAGGCTGATTTTGGAGTAGCCATAAGTATTCTAAAAACGCGAACCACTTCACAACGGCAGCCACGAGCGAGAGTTCGATGTTCCGTACAGCCCGCCGGTACAGACCAAAGATTACGACAGGCGACTTAGTATGTCTCGTGCGAAACAGAGCCTAGGATGGAAGGAGTTAAGCTTTAGAAGGAAGAACCTTAGACTAAAATTTTTTAATAACATATTTCACTGTAGGACTGGGATAGATAGAAATGCCTACCTTCACCCGCCAGATTACATATCGCAACGAAAAGATCATGTGTATAAGGTCAAGGAATTCCGCTGTAAAAGTGACGTCTATATGAACTCTTTTTTTCCTAAAACAATACGGGATTGGAACGGTTTGCCAGCCTCGGTGGTCAACATTGTTCCTAACGATATGTTTTATTCAACACTAACCTCGTAGTGTCTAGTTAGTAGTTGAGTAACGTTCGGAGTGTTTAGTAGACTGCATTTTTTATTTTTTATGTAGCCTGCACTTTGTTGTGATACTGAAAGATTTCTGGCTTGTGAATATTGCTCTTTTAACTTTTGTATAACTATTCGTGTTCTTCATTTCCAACTTCTCCCCCCCTACTGTAATGCCCCATGGCGCTGTAGGTATCTGAATAAATAAATAAATAAAAGATGGAGAATGGCAACCTCCCGGTTTGTCGTCTGCTAGCGGAGTCGGGCGCGTGCCCTCACTCTCGTTTTACCCCGCCGAACCCGCTGAATTTCCCGGATGTATGGAGAGGGCGCTGCTGTCGAACAAAATGGTGCCGCCCAGAAAGCGCTACAAAGACCTGGGACAGAATGTGTGGTCACATCAATTTCCACACTAAATTTAGTGGGGAAATTGATGCCAGGTGATCTATTGAGGACACATAGGCTGTGTTCCAAATCTTGCCCAAATGAATCCGAGTTACTCCGGCGGGCAAGGAGGTTGCCGGCGGGTCGTGTCACGTGAGAAGACAGACTGAAAAACGCTGAGCATAGTTGTAAACCCGAGACTGGGGAACGGACAAGGGACAAAATACCAGGGGGGTAAAGGTGGGTGAGGAGGAGTGGCAAATCCCGCGCGCCGACATCCTGGGTCCCGAGTGAAAGAACGCGAAAGAGAGCGACAGAACACGAGAGAAAGAAGCCAATGTTGCCAGCTGAAGGACGACAGTCGCAATGGTAATCACGAAGACTGAAAACTCTCAGCAAGATAAACAGTGATAATTTAACGTTGCAAACTAAATTTTGAGCTATTCTAAGGTTTATAAAAAGCAGCATACTCATTACGCTGCATTAACTTCCCTTCTGTCGAAATCTGGTAGTTGCGCGGTTTCGTATTTCCGGGCGCGTCCACCCACGCCCGGAAATGCGAAACGAAACCAGACAACCGAAGCCGGTTATCTGGCAACCTCGTTGTTATCTGGTTTAGTTTAGTATTGACGGGAGGCCGTACATCTGCATGCAAGCAAAAAGAAAGCTTCGAGAGGAACGCGAATATCTTTCCATCGGTAAGTTCGTGGATTGTTGAAGTTCATGACACTGCTCTGATAATATATTTGTGAAATCGAAGGCAGTTGGTAACCATGTAGGACCCCGAGGGTCTGCCTGCATACTCCGCCGCTTGCGGCAGCCAGAATGCATGGGAAAATGGCGGACCTTTTCCTCTAGAGTTAGTATGTACGATCTCTATGCAAAATACACAACGACACGGACGAAGTCGCGGGTAGGTTTTGGAACGCCAAGGTGAAAACCTTTATCCTGGAGTAAGGTCAAGTAAGTTTTGGAACACGGTCATAGTGTTAACACAGTGACAAGATTGAGATCACGTTACATCAGTTACCCAGTAAAATTAGCGGGCAAATTGATGTCACGTGACGTCATTTCCCCGCTAAATGGACCTTTTCCCAGTAAGGAGAGCCCCATGACGGTTTCGCCGCCTACTACAAATGGAGGGCAACCGGACTCGCCTTCTCCCATAGGAACAGATTAGTGTCGCAAGAAAATAGTGCCCCCCAAAAATGGCGAAAGGGCGGTCAAGGTCAAGTGGAAAGGGTGTGCGCGTGCGCAAACGCTTACTGGAAAAAGGTCCATTGACATCGGTCGAGCAACGCTCCGTGTGCCACTCGTCCTCATAAAAAAAAACATAAAACAGTTTAAAAAAAACACACCTCACAATAGTTAATCACATTTTTTGGCATTCATCTTAAAATTACATATGGCATGAAGCGGAGTTGGGTAAAGTACGGTACAAAGTAGGGGAGAGGTTATGTACTTAAAATATAGTATACACCAGGCACAATGTACTTGAATTACTATAAATGCAACATACTTTCAAAGTAAGGTACGAGTACTTTTTAACACAATTTTCCATATGCTTTTTCATGTTATTTTTGGAAATTGCAGCAAATGTTGGATAAAGTCAAGCGGCTACAGAGTAATTATTTCACTCTCGCTGAAAAAGTATTTAACACAATCAACTTGTACCGGTCTTACAGCCGCCATTACTTCGTTCGGAGAAATGACCAGATGACGTCTCGAGCAAGTTTTCACATGACGATACTCCATTTACAATACGTCGTAATGATATACCTTGCCCGATTTGGTGCGCTGCGTCGTCTGCTCGCGTATCTGGAGAGTTGAATATTACTGTTTCTGAGTTGACAAAGCATCATTTTGTGATACAAAGGTTTTCTATTCCAGTGTTCCAGCACTTTTCATCATACAATGCTTGTCAGCTGCGTTTTATGCTTGCTCTGCTTCTTCTGAGGCAGCAGAGATGACTTATGCATGTTTGCAGGACATCCATGGAACATTGGGATCCTGCAGAACTCCAAGTTCTCCCAGGTTTACGAAGACCGACAGAAAACCAGCGATCTCTGAAGCACTCGCGAATTTTATTAGGAAATGTAACGAGTCGATTGCCGCGCGACTGCCTGTTTTTCTAATTTTAGCCGATTGGAATGTTGGACTCAAACGGGCAAACATTAATAAGCACCGATACATGCTAATTCATCATATGACTAAGAAACAGAATCATGTATGTTGCAAAACAAGTCACTGCGCTACAAACGACCATGTGCATATTCAAAAGAGCCGATTTTAGGTAAGAAATGTACCACCTTTTTAGGGGCTGTGAATGGAGCTGGCACAGGGGACTGGATCTTGAAAGGCTGGCCCTAGTGATGGCCTTCCTTTACAAGTGCAGGAGGCGCATACTTTGCATTAGAGTTGCTGGACATTCAGAGGATACCGAACCTCTGAACCTCCTACCAAACGTTGCACTACAGTGCAAATATAAAGCTGGTGCAAAAAGAAAATTGGAGTGAAGACTGCATGCCCCTCCATGTCCCTCCTGCATCCAATGTACAAAGTCAACAGACACAAACAGATTCAGCGAAACTGATAGTGAAAGCGACAGGCTTCCGACTGCCAAAAAGGTTACTAGTACTTTGGGGGAACGTGAAATAAATGAGAACACTTCAAATTTAAACTGGCAATGATTTGCAAATGACTCGCGGTAATATTTGCCAGACACTATGAAGTGTGGCACTTGGGAACACTTATACATGGCATAAGATTCACAGCAACTTGTGAAATCCTTACAAGACCAATGTACAGTGCGCCTCAAACTTGACACGGCCACGGCATTTGCCGTTTCTGACACTCCTTGCGGCAGTCGATTGAACTATCTGAAGAATGTTTGGGTTCCCGATTTCTATCCCATCCTGAGAAGGCATCCTGAACATTTTGGTGACAAATTGGGGCGGCGGAGAAAAGCTCACCGGAGAAAAGCTCACCGCAAAACCGGCAGATGTGGAGAAAAGCTTACCGGCCTTTGAGTGAATGAGGAGAAAAGCTCACAGATTCTTTAAGTGTTTCTTAGCTTAGCGGATTCTGCGTCACACGTGGCATTTTAACACAATTCAAATTCGTCACTTCATTAAAGATATGTACTACCTTACAGAAGACTAGTTCTTATATAGGTCATGAGTAACAACGGTGACAGTGTGCAGCTCTGAAGGTCATGGGTGGCTCGCCGTGGAAAGGCACTATCACACAAAGGCAACGTGTGGAAACACCAGCACGAGCGGCTATAAAACGTGCTTCTCCGTAGAAGCAAGAAACCTCGATATCCTATACCGACTATTTTATCCTGTTTTCAAAGGTTAACAAAAGCTTCAAAGAGAATTTCAGGCACCGCGTTGTTGCTCATGCACTTTCGGATTTTTGACATTTATGGTTTTGATTTTTAGATTTTAGGCAGACATAATTAAGTTTTACAAACTTTTTCCTGTTCTTCAAGTTCATAAAACTTTCAGTTAGGCTTTCGTTGCCTAGAGAGTAAACCACAGAAAACACTTGCCTGCAATTATAAGTTTGGGAGAAATATACCCAATAAGCTAAACAAATAACACAAAAAAGGACACTTTCTTTTTTACAAAGTTGAAGAATTTTAATGATAATAAATTGATATGTTACGCATGATCCAACAGCCTCCATGTAAAAAGAAGAAAAAAATCGGTAAGCTTTTCTCCGCATACTCTCAATGGCCGGTGAGCTTTTCTCCGCATCCGCCGGTTTTGCAGTGAGCTTTTCTCCGGGATTCGACAAATTTAACAGTAAGTAGCCGACACGAGCTCAATGTTTGGGAACCCAGTGGCGGCGTTAAGTTTGGGGTGCACTGTACATGATGCAAAGTGCAACACGCAGCAGTGCCGCAAGGGAGCCTAGTTTCCTGCCTGTAACCACACTGCTTGTTCACGCTTTGCTGCTAGTGGAAACACTGCATAGAAAACGAAATAATCAAATTCCAAAATCCTTATTGTTTACATATCAAAGCATACCTGTCACATATGTATCCATCTGTGTTAGATATCTTTTAGTAAGCTGTAGGCAAGTAGCAAATTCCGGTTGACAAATAATGTGTACAAAAATTAGGTTTAATACTGCCATGCTGTTTAGTAGTGTCATAACCACATCCAAAGTCAAATTTATTGCACAAAACTAGTCCCCGAACAAGTTTTATTTTACAAGTCTGTCACACAAAGCCTATCTGACAGTACTACGGTAGTTGGTCCATTAGCGCCCCATGTACAACTACCGTAAAATACCAGGGCAGCACCCGCCCCACTTTCACTGAAAACTGGGTTAATCTAGGCATGAGCACTTGTCCAGTCAAATCGGGTGCTTAACTTATAATTTGCAGAATTCCCAAGTTTGGGAAATGTAAATAGTGGGCGCTTGAACGAAGTGGGCGCTTCCGCGGTACTTTACGGTAAGTATATACTCTCACTTAGGTTGTCCAGAAACTACTGTAGATTACCAACTAAAAGCCTATCACCATTTTTGTTGAGAAGCAGATAATGGGACTTGTTTAGAAAGAGGTGCCTCATACAATGTGAAAGGCTTTTTTTTTTTTTTGCATTGTACAGGCATCACACTGAAAACAAGTAGACGAAAACCCACAAAGTACTGTGTTTCTTGAAAGCATGCAGCTATTTGGAGGTATCAACATACTTTGCTCATTCAGGCTTTGCTGATAAATAAATTCATGCAAGGGAAGTCAATAAAGCCTAAAAATAAATACACAAAAAAAGCCTGAGCAACCTCTTTTTCCCCTTTGCTTCTCCTCACATCAACCGGTGCCACCAAAAGCTGCCGTTGACACTTCGTAGCCACCAGACAATCTGTAGTGAAGGAGACAGTATCTTGCAGGCCTTCTTCAACTCTCAATGCCCAACGCATGTTAGCTTCAGCAAACAAGAAAATTCCGCTGCTGTTCTTCCACAATGCTTCCACTTGCCCACCGAGCTTTTTCACGAGCTGAATGAACTGTTGCCACCAGGCGATTCATCTGTCGGAGTTGTTGCAGAAATACCGGACGATGTCGGATTCTGCGAAGATGCCTTGCTCTTGGCAATGGAGCGGGTCATGCGCTCTAATTCGGCTGCAGCATCATTCCTTGACAAGGTTTTATCTGGGTAGATAAAAGATGCAATGCAACCTCTTCAGAAAAGAAAAGAAAAATGATCAAGCAGCATTCATCGATGCAACAATCAATGCAATACAGGGCTGGCCAAATCTGTTGAATGAATAATCAGATGGGGGAAAAAACTCTGGTGCCCAATGTTTCCACTGTTGGACGGTACAGTACGGCAATGAATCTGGATCACAATAAGTTGAATGGGGGCCGAGAGGTAACAGGTAGTTTTACAATAGACTCAACATTTTCTCGATTTCAGGCTTGCAATCAATGCTATGAAGCCAAACTGTGAATGTGAGCAACCACTGAAGCATTTGTTATTCAATCAGTGTAGTGGTAGGGGTTTGCCCTAATATTTTTATTATATATTGTGCACAGTCAATAGACCTGCTAAATTATTGAAGCACCAAGGAGAATGCTGGAAATGTAAGTACACAAGCTGCGCATGCCCGCTTTAGCAGTATGACGGAGTTGAAGTAAATGGACAAAATAAGGCGCGGACAAATGCAGATGCAAAATGCCATTAAATTTCTGACTCACAAAAGTTTCTGCTGCAGATGCCAGCACATGCAAAGCATGGAACTACCTCATAGCATGCTCTTTGGTGCTTCGTTAATTTTTCAAAAGACCTATTGAAATATCTTTCACAGTTGTGCCGCAGTATACAGAGCACCTTTTTGTTTCTTCATTTACTTATTTATTTTCTTTTGATAAATCAAGCTACAGGTTTTTCTTTACCTCTCCAAACTTTGGTGAAAGACCAACTGAATGAATTCAAGCACTAACATAGGTGATGCTGCCAAACATTTAAAAAATATATTTATTTGCTTTCAAGCACTAACATTTCAGATGCAGATAAACTAAATCTAAATGCACTTCAGAACTTGGAATTAATTTTAGTAAGCAAACTTGCATTCTTTTCACTCATAATAAAGGTTCTCACACTGGCAAATGGCAACACTAAATGGTTGTACTGTAAGGCCCTCCTTTTTCAAGGCAAAATAATGACAAAACTTGCAACATGCTTTGGTGTATAACAGTAAGGCAGTTTTTATCTAGTGGTGCCTTTAATATATGGGTTGGTTTCAAGTGCCAAGACCAGAGAACATGGTGACAAACAGTGTGCAGGAGACAAGGACAGTTTTCTTCTACTGTGTCCTTGTCTCCTGTGCACTGTTTATCACCATTTTCAATACATACCAACTTGCCCAACTCACCTCCTTGCTACAAAACCAGAGAATTTGATAAAGTACTGCTCTAGTTTGCTACACAAACGATGGATGTCACAGAGCAACGGAGCTTGTACAACCCCTTGTAACGGGCAAATACTTACGTTTTATTCGTGCCATTTCAATTGCTGTAACAATAAGTATAAGTAGCCAAAAGGTTTACCATTAAATAACCTTACCACAAATAAACAAAACATTAGTAAGACTAGGATGGAACAAACCTCCCAGATACAAGTTTGAAAGGAATAAAAAAATGTATATAGTTTGAGAGTTTTGACCAGAAACTACTATAAACAACATAATTTTTGCGAGAACATTATTTTAACAAATCGCCCCAAATTTGCAAAGAAAATTGGTCGCGTGAACAAAATGCCATAGGGCCCAATGTTTAGACGTGCAGCTCTGTTATTTCAGCATCAGTATGTATGGGCAAAAACGCATTCATAGGATTGCACGTCATTGTGTGTAGCCTGTGCCATTGATATGAGGTAGCGGAAGAAGGACACCATGGGAGGCAGGCTTGTTGGTACAAAAGAATGTTCATCGTTGAGCTGGAGCTTCACTTGTCTTTTGCTTGCAACCACGGTGCTGGCAAACATGAGGCCGACAGTTATCCTGGACCCTCCAATTACTTGAAACTACAAATCCTATGAGCCCACTGCCATTCATTTAGTATTCCTTGAAAAGTGAACCTAAGGATAGCGCTACTCAAGCAGATAGGATAAAGCTACTGCAAACACTCATCTGGCTTTTGCCCCTCTCAAGAATAATGCTTAGGTAGTTAAACCAAAACTTTGCCATCCTACCAAGGGACCTGGGCTTTACCGTACCTTCAGACTCATTAAATAAATGTAGTACCCACAAAATATTGCAACGTTTAGCCAGGACCAAATTTCCAAATGTAAAGAATTTTGTCTATACTACTCTAGGGATCCAGTTAGAGTGATAAGAATGCTCCCAACTTTCCAAGGAATCAAATACAGCAAATCTAAGATCATGCCTCATTTTAGTTTCTGTTGAAGTTTACTATATTTCCGGTGTATTCTAGTACCTCAAACTCGGAAGTTTATCAAACCTCGAACAATGTTCAAGGCATTAGGGTAACAGTTGTCATAAGGATGTTTTTTGTCCACAGAGCTATGAAAGTTACTTTTGGGAAGCAAGAAGTAAATAACAATAACTTGTACTATTTGTAACTTAGTTACAAATACAGAACGTAGTTACAAATGCAGTTACATGCTTTCATATGAATCTACTGCAACATCCGAGATAGCCCACCCTGCCTTCCGCACATTACCTAAGTTCAGGTGATTTGTGCAATGAGACAGACAATACGAGTTTTGATATCCAATATTTTTTTTTTAACAACTTGTAGGGCAGCTGAATAAACAATTCTGTCTTTCAAGCAACTATGACACCTGTGGCATGCAGCATATTTCCTTAGCTTTTGTTTTCTTTTGGTTTGCGCAACCGAAGTTAGCCCCTTTTTATGCCATTTGGTCTCTGAGTATGAGCTATCTTTTGGGATATTACGGTAGTAGTTGCAGCTAATTACTCCCAAAAGCCAAAACAAAAAGGGCAATGCAAGATGTCATTGCTACATTCTGTTTATGTGATGCTGGTGATGCTTCAATCAAGTGGCAAGTGGAGTACAGTAAAATTTCCCTTGTGAGAATGCTAGGGGACTTAGGAAAAGTATTTCTTTGAACATCACCTCTAGGTCCCTGCATTATTGCAAGATAAATTTGGGCATGTTGATTATTTATTTTTTCATTTTACATTACCTCAAAGGCTTACAGAATGGGTATTATGAGGGGTGGGTCTATAGTATACACAACAGCAGTCAGGCAATAGTAAAATATATCAATATAAAAAAAAATTCCAATGAAAGAAACAAAAAATCTGTGAACGACTATTCAGCAGTAATAAAACAAATATTTCTGCAACTACCAACGTTTCTTCCAAATGGTCCTAATCTTTGAATTGAACCATGGAATCGCAAAGGGTGTTCACTGATGTTTGTAAAGGATGACTAGTACATTATACCAACCTAACTACTCTGCTTTAGATGGATTCTATGCTTTCAACAAGATAGTTTTTACATGGGTCCCATATCGCAGCGGCATAGTTTTAACTTCGGGCGAACGAGCATTTTATGGGCCACTAATTTAAGGCGCAAGGGAAAAACATTTTTAACGTACGATTAAGAAGCAATAAGACTGCTCTTTTCTCTATGCAAGTAGGTAGACAACACTGTGGTGGCGTTGCCTGTCTACTGTGAACTATGTTGTCCAACCTGCAGTTGGACCACATAGTCTTTAGTGCTCTGTCACAGGGAGTGAAGGCACCTCATATGTGTTGTCATGGTGAAGTATGGCAGAGGTGTGCAACTTGGTTTCGCATGAAGCTTTGGAAAACCAGTAACTGCACTGGAACACTTGCCATTCAACTTTTCAGAAAACGCTCCTAGGCTGCTGCCATGTTGCTGATGATGATGCAGATGGTGCAACTCTCGTGCCCCCATCAGCTAGAAATTTTCTGCCGCTCTCTTGGACTGGCCTCTCATGAAAGTTGCCCTTTAAAGTTTCTTATGCATGCTGCATACCTTTTTTGTGTTGTCTTCCACTGAGAGAAATAGGGCAGGCAAGGGCCTGCCAGAATGGCAGGTGATTACAAGCCCCATTTCTCACAGTGGAAGCATTTCTGCTCGACATTCACGGGAAACGAAGGAAGAGAAGGACGTCAAATGGCTTTCAATGTGGTTTTGCGAACAATGACAACTGTTCTTCCCCACCCAGAGATGATCCACGTAGAGTCCTTCTCAGTCCTCGCCAAAAATTGTTGTTTGGGTTGGGGTGAGGAATGGGTTAGTAGGGCCTGTTCCTTTGCCTTAGTGCTGGTGTGAAAAAAGGAAGGTCTCCCTAAACGTTCCCCAAAACAAAGTCCTCTTGGGTTCCACCTGATCGCCAAGACTCAAGATGTGATTGTTGTCGACACTGTAGTACAGTGTTACTTGAGATCTTTCTCAAATAAGTCCTTTTTGGACAACGCTGCACCATGTGGTATGTACAATATATTGTTTGAATGTTAACACTTGTTAAATTGTATGCGCAAGTCCTGTCCATCGGCAAGCACATTATTTGTGTGATTGAAATATGCATGCCTTTCGGATACCTTCTGTTGTAAATTATTTTCAACAGCTAAGCGCTTTGTCATTTGACACACGGCTGAGCGGGTGGTGCCGTCAAAGCTTATGTTAAAATAAAACAAACATTCCAGTGCATTCGTTCTGTTATACGCATACCCAACATACATAGTTTACGGTCTTCTGGTTCTTTTTTTTTTTTTTTCGAATGTGGTACAATGTTTTACACATTTGAAAATGTGGTAACAAGAAGAAAACCACCACAAAACGTGTGCAAAAAAAAAAAAAAAAAAAAAGAAAGAAGAAAAGAAATGGCAGAAAAAGACGAGAATTGAGTCACCAGCAGTGTTTGAAATTGCGCCTACGTAGGCTGCGCCAATCGAAATCACAGTCCACTCAATTATACTCCGCGACAACTTTTCTTGGCAATGCAGTGGAAGGTAGAGGCCTGCGTCCCCTCTCCCATTTTGAGTGTACGCAGGCTCTCCTCCTCTCCCCGGAAATGGGGGAGGAGGAGAGCCTGCGTACACTCAAAATGGGAGAGGGGACGCGGGACGTACCTTCCACTGCATTGCCAAGACAAGTTGTCGCGGAGTATAGGGTCCACAGGAACACCTGTGAGAGACTAGCCACAAACCCAGTGACTGCGCTCGAAAAAGGTTCTCTTGTCCGTGGGGCCGAGGTGTTCCTTGGAAAGGTGTATATAGCCTGGACATATTTCTAATTTCTGGGCATTTCCAGCGCAAAAAAAATTGAGCAGTGCTGTGTTAGCCGTCAGTTATGTCAAAGCGATGGCTGTGCCACGTCACGGCAAAGTCGTTGGGCATCGGCGTCGCGTTCATGCACTGTGGGGAGCTGTGACAACATATTGTTATAGGCTTTTTTTTCCAGAGAGAGCGTGCAGTGGACATCGGGTACCACAAAAAAAAACTCAAGTGTAAAGCGGGATGTTAACGCTGTGGCGTAGCTCGATGGTGACGCCTCCACTTCGCACGTGGCAGACCCAGCTACGATTCCCACGGGCGGCAAGCAATCTCAAAGAGGACGACCGACACCCTACGCCCTACAACATCTACTACATCATCATCAACGACAACAACAACAACAATGGACATTATTCCCAGTGGTGGAAAGAGCCCACAACAGCTATCGCTATAAAGGAACGGTACAGAAGGAAGTCCCTTTAAACGACAAAGTGAAGAAAGTCACGGTTACAATGCAAAAAGTTATGCCACAAAACGGTCTTATACATTTTTTTAGTTATTTTTTAGACATTAAAAAAAAAAAAAATGCATTGGATCTGAAGCATGTAACTTTGGAGAAAAAAAAAATGTTCAGAGCTTGTAAAATTATTGGATTTGGAATAAATAAAAAAAGGCAGTGTCATTACTTTTCTATCTGCCTTCGTATGTCACAGATATGTTTGTTATTTGGAGAGCTTCACTAAAAAGGGGCTCTGAAGTGAGGTTCTACTGTAGAAGTTTTGGCAAGATCACCTGCTGATCTGATGGGTGTGCTTCCTCCCGAGCCAGGTCCAGTCTTACGGTTGAGTAGGCTGTTGAAGAAGTTCTGTAGTACTCCCTCGCTGCCGACTCCTTTGGCACTATCAACCTGCCACAAGCCACCCAAAATTAGTAACCTCCAAGCAATGTTGCTTCCTACAAACCATAATTCAGTTAGAAGTAGGCATGTGCAGATAGTGGATTTTGAGTTCGAAGCGAATAGTGGTTTTGGCCAAATATTTTCTGATCGAATATCAAATGGTTTCTCGAAGCCTTTCACTACCGTGCACCATGCTTAAACGAAAATTCAGCTGAACTTGTGAAGGTTGTTCCCAACCTTCCACTAGTCCACTTCTAAGCTCAGTTAATTTTAGCATAACTACATCTATGAACTGTAGCATATAAACGTCAAATTTGTAGCAGCTATCCCAGTCAAGGGGATTTATAAATGTTGTTTGCTATATGAGAGCTTGTTTTCAATTTCAAATTTGACAAGAAAAAAAGTGTGAATGATGAATGCAGGTTGTCAAGACATCGCTGTGTAACGTATACTTTTGCATAATCGCAGCCAATTAGCCCAGCTGAGTGCACTTCTTACCGAGCACCTGTGCACTGCGGGGAAACAATAACTGTGGCGCCCGCATGCTCTGCAGGTATTGCTTCCCCACAATGCGTGGGTGCTCAGTTAGAAGCACACCCACACGCTGCCATCAACACTACAGAAACTATGAATATTGCAGTTCATCTCGAAGCAAATATTGAAGACCGTATTATTCGAAACTACAATTCAAAAATTTTAATATCTGCACTATAGTCGGTTCAAGCTAAGAAAAAACCGGAAATGCCTCTCAGAGGAAAATGTAATCCTACGCCGAGAAACGCCAGCCAATTGTTTTCATGACGTCACGATTCTGTGGACCAATCGCAATCCTTTTGAAAAAAAAAAAAAGCTCAACATGGCTGCTGGCCTTAGCAACGCGATGCTATAGTTTCTCGTGACAATTATTCTGCTTTTTTTCACCGTGTATTACGTGCCCGAGGTTACGCCACGAAATCTTGATGGTATCGGCTTGCGTTTGCAGCAGTTTTTGCGCGACAACGTGAGAATCCAGCGACGCTATCGCCAACGAAAATTTCGAAGCGGGCGCGAGGCTTAGCACTGCTGAGAGGTATGTTAGACGGTATGTTAGACAGTATCTTGGACAGAAAATGAATTGGAAAGACGGTACATTGGACATGAATTTCTTTCTTTCTTTACTAAACAGCTATTTCGTTGACAAAAACATATTCTAACTTATTTAAATGTCCTGAATGAATTAAATAAATATTGTAGTAGTTTAAGACAGGTTTCCTGGAGGAAGAAAAAGCAACGTTGCTAGCGAACTACTTTCTCGACGGCGGAGGCACTTCAGATGGGCGCAATGCGCTTGTGGGTGGAGCTAAAAGATTGTTCTTAGGTTGCATCCGACTATAGTTAGAAGGCTCAGGCTGGTGTCACCAGTCATTGCAACATTTGTTCAGAATAATCTTGCCCCAAGGGTCGTTACAAATGGCAACAATATTTTCCCCTTACGTAGGTCAACAATAGTGGACCTATGTTGTCAAGCATATATAAACTTGAGAGGGGTTATGGTTTAAGCACCGACTAGATTTCCAGCTGAATTGTTGAGTTTGTAATGACCATATGCATCCACCACCACAGCATACAACACACAGAGACAGGTGTGCCAAAGGTAAGGCAATGCCAAGAACCCATGCATCAAGAAAGATTCAGCCCCAGAAGTCAATCACAAGAGAAAGAGGCCAAAGAACGAAGTGCTCATACATAAGCCACTTCAAATGAAGTTTTCAGCTTTAGCTCAACTAAAGGCAGGGGACTGACACTTCCTAGAGGGATTATGGCGAATGTTGCTTTGACACCACCATATAACTTATTAATTTTCTCTGCAGACTTTCCTGCCTTTCGCAATAAGCATCCTTTTAAACGGACAAACCTCAATTGATTTTTTTGTTTTGCAAGCTGACTTTTTTTAAATTCTATCACAAAGAGATCGAAATGGCATTAAAATAACCAGACATGCCATTTGCTTCCTCAATTCTCTGGAGATTTCACAATCTATAATTTTCCCTAAATCTAAGGAAGCTTTCTCAAAAACAACAAAATATAGCTTGCATATTTGAGCAGTTCGATAGAGCAAAGTTGAATAGTTATAGGTGTTTTTCAGGTTGAGCATCAAATTCATCAAGCATCAAAGGCAGGCAAAATGTGTGCGTGCCAGCGCAAGCAAAAAAAAATCAACCATTATCTACTCATGCATGAAAGTTTAGTCTTCTCAAGAAAGAAACAATACAAAATGAAAACAAATACTGCCAAGTAAGGTCTGGGGGTGGCCTTTTGAATTATGAATGTAACCTGCAGCCACATTGTTCATACGCACTGCTGTCTTTGATCTACAGTCAAAACCATTTTTCAATTTAAATAATTTTCCAGAAACCTACCCCATCAAGACTTCAATAAAGTAATGCCCCATTTCAAAACAGCTTACTGGCAAGTTTTACTTCATTCTTTCTGTCCACTGATAAAAGGGGTGAATTTTGTGTAACAATATTACTTGAGGACATACCGCAGGCCCTTCGCCACTATAGTGGGACGTCACCATTTGGTTGGTCAACAAATTGTACGAGCTGCAGCCCCCCTGCTACAGGAGAGGTATGCCATGCATAAGAACACTTGGTTCTGGCCTAAAATGTGCAAGTGATGTTATAAACACAGTGTGCAGAGACGAAAGAGTTTCCCCACAAAAGTACAGGAAATTGACTGTGGAGAGTAGCCTACAGAATAGAAGGTGGCATTGCTAAGCTCAAGGAAAATTCCAAGGCAAGTAGAGAGTGAGACAGGAGAAAGTATCAACAGAAAAGCCAAATCGACAACACCAAATTGTCTGCTTCTTTACCTGACTGAGCTTCACGAACTCCGTCTCCTGCAAAGCGCAACCAAAAAAGAAAAAGCAAACACAAAGCAAAGCTTGTAACCAAACAGGACACTAATGCACAATAAAAAAGCAAAATAAAAAAAGCAACAAAAGCTTTATAGTTTATTCTTATGTCCTGTACCATGTGCATTACAGAAAACTGGCAAATTGTGAATTCTAAGATATACTACCACATTACTGAAAAACAAGGGTATATAGATAATAAGCCCTAGCTGTAGAGGTAGTCTGAAGCATGGGGCTGTTTTTATCATTATCCTCAGTGGCACAGAGCGCTATTAAAAAAAAGGCACAAGCAGAAGGGCTTCCAGTTGGATACGCATGTACAGAGCAAAGACAGCCCTAAAACTCATACTTTCCAAATTACTGCGCAGAACGCACCGAAGGCATGTGGGCATCCAATGTACTTTGCTAGGCTTAACATTCAGATTTTGCAAAAATACACCAAAGAGGTAGTAGTGCATTTGGGAACATCTAATGAAAACAAAAAGTCAGTTTATTTTTTTTTTTTGTACCAATTACATGTTTGGTTTACATGTACATATTCCTGTTCTTTCAAAATTTTACTACCGCACGTGTCTCTGAAAAAAACTGTACTAATTAAGAATCCATTCTCTCTACACACATAGTAGATCTCTTGCATCTCCAAGTTTGTAGACTCAAATAAATAAAACTTCAACTCTGATGATCTGTGCATGCAGTGCAATAGCTGATGACTCACAACTATGTCTTTACTAGAACAGATGATGTGACCTTTCTACAAACTCTACACACCATTCTCCCACACAACATGCAGAGAGCCAATGATCCCAACTAATGAAAGGCGACCAACAAACGGATGCGCAAATGAAGCGTGGACTTAAAACAGCAATTTGTGCCATGTAAGATGTCTGCAGCCTCTAGTATGCTTCACTGCAAGAGGGAGGCAAGTTTACTATTGCAAAATACTGCATTTTCCCTAAAAACAGTTCTTTTTTTTTTTTTTTTTTCAGGCAAGGCATTTGCTTTGATGGATTTGACAAAAAAGAAACTCCTATAGCATTCCATCCTGGCACAGTACTTTCAGATTTCAGACATGCAGTCTTTCTGTTTTGCAACTTCATAATGGGTTAGAACATATAAAGAACTAATAATATGAGTAATGCTATGGTATATGCCGTATAAACCTTTAAATGTAAATTGTTCATCAAAATGCCAGTGGACACCGACCTAGCGATTTAATTCTACACAAAGAGAGGGGTTATAATTCTTGGAACACCAGCACAGATTTGCATGCTCGGGTCCAAATGTAATCCGTCCTTCGCCATTTGCCGGTGTCCTGTAAACTGCGACCCCTAACAGACGATGCTTCGTCTGTTAGACTCTTCAAGCTAACTTTCCAGTCTAACATTTCAGTTCTACTTTTTTAGCAATTCTGCACACAAAACTACCACTGCAATTATACCTGAATAACTAGGGCTTTACAACCCCTTCATGCAGTAGTTTGCAGCACAAATAGTAAGCCAGTAAAAAGATAAGACATACCAGCAGTCCTAGTACCATACAATCATGCAATACAATAACAAGAGATTCATATAAGGCAACTCAACGCCTAAACAAGATGTTTCTGTTCAAGAGTGCTCCTCTCACAAAATAGTTAAAAATGAAAAGCATATCAAGTACATAAAACGCTATGGGCAAAGGCTAATTGCACCTTTTTTGCAGCAGCCTGCACCCCATGAGATCCTGGAAGCCTCCTCTCCGAGGATTTCTGTACTCCCGCTGGTGCTCGAATAGGGGACTCCGACTGCAAAGAACACCAAGAACGGAGACGATTCTTGACAATTTCTTGGCTAGGTCTCATAAATCTGAACTTATGTAAGAGAATTTTCACATTCCTATTATAATTTTGGAGAAACAGTGAGGGCCTGTGGGCACTCTTCTGCCATTTTAAAAAAGGAAGCAAGGCTGCTGTTGAGGCACATTCACGTTAGTGGTCGAGCTGCATTTGTGAAGCAGTTGCGTTCATAAGTGCTCATCTACACCAAAACACCATTGGCAATTTCTTGTTGATCACTCATTATCTTACAGGACTCAAGTTTTCCAAACTTGTTTTACAATCTATAATTAAGTTTAGTCTACAATCCAGGCCCAAAATTTGGCATACTGATATCATGCACACAACCATTTAGTCACTGCAGACAAGTAAACAAGAGAAACTTTTCTGCATGCTGTTCCCACACGTCCCGAGTTCAAGCAGCAAAAGAAGAGACAAATGCGAAATTGGACATCAATGATTCCACCAGGCTTGCCTGTAGGTGAAGACTAGATAGGCGCACCCTGCTCAATAAAAGGGGATGACCACGACACTTTTTTTTCGAAGAGGGGCCTTCCTGTAAGAATTTCTGCCATTGCTTTCGGGATTAGAAGACTAGTTTTGTTCCCTTGTCATTTGCTTATCATTCCCAGAGTGGTGAGTGGCTGTGGCAGTGCAGGGAACATATTTGGTGCAAGTCTGTCGTGATTTGATTGGGAGCAAGGTGACAGTTGGCATTATCGATTGGATATGCTTTTTGTTTGACATCAAGCTGAAATAAATGCACACGGATTGCACATGCACTTCCAGAAAATTTAATGTTAAGTGGTCCCAAAAGCGCTGATGCACCAACAATCCATATCCGCAATCGTTGACTACAAAAGGAACCTGATACTCCCCAAAACTCCAGTTGCACTGGCATTTCAACTCCCCAAAACTCCAGTTACACTGGCAATTCAACAAAAGTCTACAGATCAAAGGTAGCAGAGAACCGGTGAACAAGTACATGCCACATGCAATACTAAGAGACGACGCGCTGATTCTGTAATTAAGTTGCCTTTGATGGGGGAGGCATCTGTGCTGTGCGACGGGAGTGTGATACAGCTAAGGAGAGGTAGGCCCACATTGTATCACTGCATACAATATTTCCAAATATATAAATAAATATATACCGTCCGGCCAGATGTGGGTGCTGCCTGCTGGTTCAGTGAAGCCTGCTGGCGACCCAAAAACGCCTGGTCCCCTTCAGCAGTCACCTCTGGCTCACGCTGCAGGGGCTGCACAAAGCCATGACAAGGCAGGTGTGACCACTGGCATACATTTCAGAAAAGGGGGCACATAAGTGGGCACTCACTTTCCTAATCATGGGCTTGGTGATGACGTCCGTATATGGGTCGTCTGGACTGGCAGAGTTGATGTTCTCGTAGAGAATGGCAATTTTCTTGTCATTGTCCCAGCCAGACGGACTTTTAGGCGCCAAGTAAAACAAATTAGAATTCAACGATTAGCCCCCGCTGTTTGTCCATTTGCACATCGAGCATTACCATACAATTAGTGCAGATATAATAGGTTTATGAAAACAAAACTGTCCTAAGAAATCAAACCGTTTTAGCTTGCTTAATACAACTTAACCAACAAAAATCATAGAATTGTGGCAAACAAAAAAACCAAAAATGTAAAGAAGAATAGTGTGAATCCCTCACATGAAAACAGCATCTTTCTCCACCACAAGTGCGGGCGTTTTGAAGGAAAATCCGTAGATGCGGTGCACGAGGTACTTGTATAAAAGATCACAGTTCTTGTCCTCTTTCACAGACGTGTAGAACAGGGCAGCACCATCTGGACAGAAAGGCCACACCCAAACTCTTACACTGTTTAGTCCCCCCTCCCCCCCCCCCTCCCGCCCCCTCAAAGTAAATCTTACATTTGAGGCAGAACTTGCGGACTGCCTGCTGAATGAAGTCAAAGTGCTCATCCTTGAAGTCATAGTTTTTTTCGAGGGCTGTCATGTAGTCAGTCTGAAATTAAATTGCAATAATGAAATTAGATGTGTGCAAATATTCCAAACTGAATAATTCACAACAATTCACAGCACACATATTCTGTGAAAAGTATTAAATTTGTAATTTTTTTTTTGTTAATTCGAAGATTACAAATGTTTTCACAATTCTTTGGTTCCTCACATCACGCTTCACTGCATCGCATGAGCTTTCTGGGAGAAACGGCTAACGAGTCAGCCTCTCGATTGGTTTGATGGCCTCGAGAATTTGTTCACACTACCGTTAGTCAGCTTTCTTTGATTAGAATTACAGTTCGACCCCTGCTTTTAAACGAGTGTCCAAGAATAAAACTTCCAAGCTATAATACAAATAAGAACAACTTTGCTCGCCGTGTTACAAAATGTTTTATCCAACTCATCTTATTGGGGCCATTTTTTTTTCTTAATAGTACAAGCATGTTAAATTTTTCTCATGTAACAAAATATCTTAAAGCATCCATGCTCAATTCACATTAAATGTAAAATGTGTATTCAAAAATATTCTAATGCAATTCACAGTCAAATTTTAATATTTGTATCCAATCTGCAGTCAAGAATTTGATATTCATGCACCTCTAATCAAAAATGAATCGGTGCAACTGGTACATAGAATATGCTCCAGGATAATCACAGCGCTTTCAGCACACAAAACCCATACAAAAGCTGCCTCCAAGTTTCACATGCAGGCTCCCCTTCCCGAGACAAATAGCGCCATTGGAGGAAGGCGTCAGTTTGCAGTGAGAAGAGAAGATGTCATCTAGGGAGAAGATGACTTTGTCAAGCATATGCTTGGAAAGGGAAGCTCTTTGTTTGTGCAGTTTAGTAGCGGGAGGAATTTTGGTTTAGGTCACCGACAGCCACAGCAGTCCCATAATTACAGCCCTTCCAATAATAAATCCAAAAATTACAGCCCTTTTTCAAAACTGCCGGGACAAGAATGGGAGAAATGCAGACTGAGTGGTGAGTCGTGCCTTGGTGATGACAACCACGACATCGAGGCCAAGATTGTTGGTGAGGGTGTCTTCGCCCAGGGGAAGGGCCACATCGAGGCTGATGCCCCCATCTTCGCCTGGGGTGGTCGATGGTCTCCGAAGAGGTGGACTCATTCCCTCAATCTCGTCACCAGGCTCAATGTAGTCTTGGAACCGTCGCAAAACTGGTCACCATGCAAGAGGGCAAAATGCTTGCTTACAACAACAGCAATCACAGGACCCTGTTTGGCCCAAGTCAAACCATAAAAAGCAAATCTGCCATGAGACCATACAAAGCCAGCACACCATAGAGTGGAAGATTGAGACAATAAATGTTGATAATGATATCTATAAAATATATTTGTCAAAAGGTAATTCAAATATTTGCAAATATTGAGACTGCCTCTGCAATCCATGCTCATTTTCACCTTCAGAACAATAGTAAAAGACGTTACGCTCCTTGCGAAACGCCACTACTTTCCACATTTATGTTGAGAATGAACCTGCCTGTAGGTGCATTTAAAATTTGTTTTGGTTATTATATCGCAAATTACAATTTCAAATGCAGAGCGCATCATTTTTTAAAATCTGACAACCAAGTCCAACTACCTCAAGACGCACATGAGATACTACGTGGCAAACTTACTTTCTTCAGGCAACAATGCATATAAGCAGAATATTTATTTATAAACTTTGCTCTAGTAAATGGCCCACACCGCAGCTGCATTGCGTCTTTTTCACAATGTTCTCTGCCAACACGTAAAACGCTCATATTTTTTCGACAGTTCTCAACTGCGGCAGCACCAGCCAACGACAGGCCCTACTGTCCCATGTTGTGCTGCACACTATGCGTAAGTATGGACATCATGCCCGAGGTGCACATAGAAAGATGGGCACGGGATGCTCGCCACCACACTGCATCGTCCGACGGTAAAGGAAGTCAAAACGGGGGCCCCGGACCCACAGCACTCACCCCTGGCCCTGGCCTGGTCCAGGGTACTGGGGGGCAGACGCAGCCGTCCCAGGTGCTCTTCCAGCAGATTGGCCCAGTTCTGTAGTGAACTGAGTAGGTCCCAGGGGCTTGTCATGGAGGCAGTTAGGAGCACCGTCGTGTTCCCCAAGCTCTCCTCAGTCAGGACAAACTTGAGCAGGTTTCGGTGCCAGGGATCGCCGTCCAACACCCATACTCCGAGACGTGTTTGGTCTGCCATGCACCACAATGTTTCTGGAACCTTCACCCGATTGTGCGGCCCACCGTGCCCATCCATCTCAAAATGGCGGAAGCAAATAAAGGCATTGCTCGAGTGCCTGGTCTCGCGCGATTATTTACTTGGGTGTGCACAGAAATGCTCCTCCCTCGGCAGTTAGAGGCAAGTGGTGCAGCGTCTGCCACAAATGTAGGTGGTTGTAAAGGGCTACATGTTAATTAATTTCTGAATGGCAATCGTAGCACACACTTTCCACGGCACAACTACTGACCGTGGCACCGATAGACAGGCACTTTTGATAAGTTTTGGCTCATGAACCTGCCTATGCACACTTATAATGATGCCAATGAATCTGCCTATGCATACTGATGCTATAAGCAAGGTGGTGAGCTCGGTTCAATGCTATAAGCAACGAATTTGTGGCAACAGCGACATAATTGTACTGCAAAAACAATGCCATCCCATGTAACAGAAAAGGCCCATTGTTGTCCGTGAACAAGACTGACTCACACTCTTATCTGAATGCGAAAGATGCAGACGTCAAGGACAAGCTGATGGCATGCAGTTTGCAAACAATGCACAAAAAACTCGGTCCAAGTTCCACAATCTAAATTCCTGTCAAGCACCAAAGTTGTTAAAATAGGCAAGGCAAGAGATCTACAATTAAACTCTAACCAAATAAGAGGGCTTTCAGGGTCTACATCAAACAACACAGCCAGGCTTAATCCGAACCTTCATCTTCACCGAAGGTCAAACCTTGTTTCACCCCGACATATCAATCCTAAGAGCAGCGGATGCTCGATACTTACCTTCTCTGTAGTCATCTCTCACATATAGATAGTGATATTCCAATCCAGAACCTTTCTTGGGGTCATCGTTGCCTTGGATTTTTGCAATCAGTGTGGTTTTTCCAGATTCATTGTCTCCTAACAAATGAAAAAGCAACACTCAATTAGCTTTTGGAGACTGATAGATAATTGTTAAGCAGAGAAGGGTTTCACAAAGCTCACCCAAGACAAGCAACAGCTTATGAGATGGCAACTTGTTTGGTAAGCTTGCTTGGACTTGCTTCAATATAGATGACCTGAAGCGTTAGAAAATAAATGAACAAGGCTTCCTAACCCCGATTACAAAATGCATCCCCAAGCCTCTCTCAAAGAAGTAAACTAAGTGGAAAATAATAAACTCAGTAAAACCGTTAACGTTTGCGAGCCCCCAATTTTCAAGAATTTAAAGACTTGGAAAATTGGCCAACTTTAGTTGCCGCAAATATTTATATTTTGTGTAGAGGCGAATTTCAGCCTCCAGAATTTACAAAATTTAATGGTTGCAACAAACATGACCCTACCGCCCAATTCGCTAAAATCGGGGTCGCAAAAATAAAGGGTTTTTCCACATGTTTAAAAAAAACATGCAACTATTTTGAGGTAGTTTCAAGTATTGCATGCAATCTTTTACAAACAGCTTACCATACTAAATCTTTATGCTGTGTAACCTTACACCGGAGAGGTAATTATTTCAAGTCTAACGACCATTGTAGGTGTGTTCGTAAACAGCCGTTTCCTGGAACTGCAGGTGGCGAATAGGCTAAATGTCTGTACGGACCTACACTGGGATCCGTAACTGGTACAGGGATGGCTCTGCCTCAATGGCTTGGATCATGGAGGGAGAGTAATCACATCAGGGTTCAGTTTGTTCATTTCACTTCTTAACTATCTGGAAGCTATGCCAAAAATAAACTAAACAAGCTAGATGTTAACAATGATATTGAGTGCATGTATAAATCCACAGATGAAAAGAAATCAAACATGTCGAGTCAAACCCCTCCACATAAGGCTTAAAAAAAAAAGAGAGCTGACATTACACAACAAAAATTGCAATGGGAGTGTCTTGGCAGCCATTTTATACTGAGCACAGTCTTTCCCGTCCCTTTTTTTTGTTCACCCGTTTCCACCAACATTTCTCTCGTTACCAAAAATATCCTGTTGCCGTGCATTCCTCGGGTTACATTCCCTTGTGTTCTCATATCAGTGGACATAATGACACTAATACAGAACTTCACCCACATAAACAAAACCAATCAGTTAATGGCATTCTTAACAAAATATTGGGGGCACTACACCTTCCTGAATGCATCTCTGTGTCAACATGCTACATTCACATCGTGAACACTCTGCCAAGAATGGGAGAGGTTATACTAAGGTCCTTATGAGAGGGAAAGAGGGAGCAGTTTTTCATCCGACTAAATTTTAGTACAGTTGTCAGTAAGCCATTGGAGCACGAGGCATTGGAATTACTCTGTCAACATTGGTGTCTCCATCGCCGAAAGCAGCAATGTGCAACACAAGTTACTGCATGCAAATTACTGGTAAATTGTTTCAGTTTCTGCAGCAAGAAGTCAGGAATAAATCAACGACCAAATCATTAATATGAAAATACTGTATGATGACATCAAAAACATTACTGACATATCATAAACAATACTTTCTAGCTTTTTATGGCATTGCATACCTGCCAAGTCTCCCGTATCACCCGGGAGGCACCCCGAATTTCGACCAACGGTTGTATTGACAAAAAAATCTCCCAGATAATGCAAATTACCTCTCCCCTCTTGCACTTAAACAAGTTGTAATCAATGGCTGCAATGATAGCGAGGCCCAGCTGTATCTCGCTAGCATGAGCAGTGCAATATAAATGTAGCAACGTTTTCTTCATGTAAATTTGTTGCCAATATTTCTAACAACTGCAACCCCCCCCCTTTCCCTTTCCCCCCTTAGAAATTCTCCCGGATTTGGTTCCTCCGAACTTCGCAGGTATGGTACTGTAAACGTAAAACAGTCAACAGCGCTCATCTGATGTAAATTTAGCTTTAACGTGATGTCCAAATTTCAATATTGTTTATGTTGAGAAAAGCTCAATTTCGACTGACACAGTTCGACAGGTGTTGTATTTTACGTGCAAAGTTCATTTGTTGAACATATTCTTGGAGCCGGTATGTCCCCATGGTTTGCTGAATTGCGAAAGCGTCATTTAAATAACACGCAAGTTAATACAATCAGACGTTGGAATTCCTTCAATAGTTTAGAGGCTGTGGCTAGGGTTCCGTCCAGACAGAAATCTAGTTCTGTCGAGACGGAACTTCTACAGTTACGTCCAGATGGAACCGGTAGTCACGGTTATTTTAAAATTCCGCCCAGAGGGAAAGTTAGCAAACCCTTTAGAGTTTCGTCCAGACGGAACGGCGGTCGCCACTAGAGTTCTGTCCAGAGGGAGCTATAGCCGCCGCTAAAGTTCATTCCACATGGAAGGGAAACGTGCCACTGAGGCTCCGTGCAGCATACATGGGGGTTGATCTCCATATGAACCCTTGACCCATTTCTGGAAGAACAACTGCCAATGTTCCTGTGTTAATTTTTATTTGGCCTTTTTTTAAGTTAAATTCACTTGTCCCAGCAATCCTATAACATTTCTACCAATTCATAGAAAACAGTTCGTCCAACCTCTGCAAACCACGCATCTCCAGCCTCTATTACCTCTTATACCCATTAAAAATCGCCTCCCATGCAGGTGTTTCTTTCGTTGGTTTTTCTAGAGTTTGTAGTTACTGGGAGATGCAGATACAGTGAATGTAATGGATATCATTTTTAAAGCTTTATTTAGGAGTGACAACCATTCAATGTAAGACCTCAGACTGGGGGTATTGTCGTAATGAAGGAGCACTCCCTGTCTCCATGCACTTCCCAGTGTTTCTCTTTGATTACAGCGCACAATTTTGTAATTAGGTTGGCGTAATAAGAACCTGGTATTGTTGATCTACCTTGTAAATAATCACGAGAAAAAACATCCTTGGCATCCCAAAAAAGTGACCGAGAGCTTAGACACGAAAAGGAGCAATACTCTCTACTGGGTCCTCGGGACGAAACAAACGGTGCTCTACGATGCATGCTGTCGTTCCGTCTGGACGGAACCCTACTGGGCCTGCTATCATTTCGTCCGGACGGAACACTGCTGCGTCTGCTACTGTTCCGTCTGAACGGAACTCTAGACACTCCGTAGTTTAAAAAGCGCAAAACAAGGACGAAGAAAACACACACGACACAGACAGGCGCTAACTTGCTACTGATATTTTATCTTAGTCAGTCAAAGCAGCGCACATGCGCGAACAAAATTGCCACTCGTGAACCAACTAGCTCAAACCAGTCTCAATCTTTCGATAGAATTTTAATTTACACAGATCGCGTTGTGACCACCGTGTGCCAGACGAAGGAAAACTTGACGGAACGTTTGCGGAAACCCCAGCGCTCGTGGACGGTAAAGTTGAAAGAGGGAAGTTGACATGCACACCGGCCACGCTACGAACGGGGTCCCTCGAGTTAGTGCATTAGCGGCATGGCATTAATTTGCGAGAAAGGCTCCCAGTGTAATCTCGTCTGATTGCATACTAGCAGCGACTCGAAAGAAGGCGATTGAAATGTAACATCGTCTTGTCCTCAGCTGCACAAGTAGTACCCGTGTTCCTTGGCAAAGCAAAGCTTCTCAGATTTGAAAGAAGCAAAGACGCGAAGTCTTGACTGATATATTGTAAACATTGTAGCGTTAAAAACTAGTGAACTCGTCAACCTTAGGCTTAACTTCAATCAAACCGCCCTACATGTCACAGCAGCACAACCGACCGAGGTGGCTGTCGTATGACAGACATTACACGCGTACAACTAAAGGAAGGACGCTCTTGTAGAGACGTCTGGTGTAAACATTACCATATATTCTGGCCCTCTTCATCTTCTGTTTTGTCATTCATCTGTTGGTGGGTTGTCGTACCTTCGCTGATGGGAGCCATATTGTTAGCGATGAGACGTCTGCTCGTCATGCGCAGTCGTCGCGTGCCTCACTACGCCGGCTATACTTCCGTTAATGGATATAAAAAAGCAATCAATTGGGAGCCCGCCTGCGCCATCTAGCTACTGTGTAAAGGCACGCTCACAGGTCATGCCACAGTTCCTTTGATTTCCTTTCTCTAACGCTCTGACCAACTCTGACTGACTGACTCTCCCAGCTGCTTCGTCTTGCAACAGTTTCGTTCCCAGATGACCACCTATTTTCCCAGAACACCTATTGAAATTTTATCATGCTGTGCATTAATAAGCATTGAAATCGCTAGTTCGCAGGGGCGGAGACCTGAAAGGGGACGCCTGAGGCCACGGCTCTGCCTGAGGCCAATATATCCATTCGTTTTTTATTAAAAAAATGTTTTCCCTTCGATACTTAGTGGCAAATTTGTATCCTAGCATGCAATAGGTTCTTCTTACGTTAGACCAACGAGGTAGTGTCAGACCAGGGTGTAAGATATACAGGTGGGGAAACGAGAGCCAAATGAGCAACCAGATTGTGCCCCCTCGGTTTTCTCTTTTTTTTGTGGCGCCATCTATGTGTAGCACCGCGAACTCTAACTCCGGGTGGGCGACCGGTGGCGGCTGGCTAAACTGACGGAGATGATTTCTCGTGGATTTTCAATGAAGGACTGTCGTGCTCTCGGTTAATTTTGCGCACTCTCCCATTAAGTTCCATGCAAATCCGATTCCGATTTTTTTTCCTCTCGCCGCAGGGCCATCTGTCGCAGGTCGAGGGTACCCGCAAGCAGACGAGTGCTCCCCTGAAAATGGAGAGGTCCCGGGCTCGATACCCGGACCAGGCGGATTTTTTCGGTCGCGCACCAATCACCTAGGAGCTGTGCTTGGAGATTTGTGTTTCTCCCTCTTCTTCCTTTCTCCAGGGATTATTTTCGTCATTTTTGTCCAGCTCGCTTGCGCCTTTGCATTTAATTGCATTATAAAACATACACACTTTTTTTTTTCTAAGTGATCGAAAATTGGTTCATCGGATCGACCGGAACGACACGTTGGGTTGCCCTACGAGGTGCCATACTTTTGGAGGACAGAAATGTAGCGTACAGTTCTCTTTTCAAACATCCTGTTCCAGTGCCGACTGGTGACATAGAAATATAAAAAGCAGACATGTCGAAGAATAGTTGGGAAGGCTGAAAAAGAGCGACAAACATTGTAAAGTACATAACAAGGAACACAAACGGTGAAGCCGTAAAACGGTCTCCAGGTGGCGCAAACTTTCAATGCTGCGAAAGCTGCGAGAAAAGATGCAGCCGTTGCCAGCTGTGGAATAATCGAGTTGGAAAGTTGTTTCCAGGTAGACTTGTATGCTGCTGCCAAGAAAGTATCCAGTCCACACGAGCCCTATTGTTTCCTTCGTAGCATCAGCGAGGTTCGCAGGCAATAGTGACGGTAGGTTAATATTTATTGTGTCTTCGTACCGCACGTATTCGTCGATCCTTCATGTTTACCGGGGTGCGCGCCCACCCCGGCTTTCTGATAACTCCTAGGGCCGTTTCGCGCGAGCTCTGCGTTCAAAAGTCCCCATTTCGTCCGGCCATTTGGGACAATAACATTGGTTGGAATTGTTTGTTTGCGTCGAAACGGCGACAAGGTCAGACGGATGCCGTAACTTTTGGCACCAGTTACCGAACCGAAGGAGGCGAGCTGTGCTTGGCAACCTCCATACGTCAGAGCCAGCGCTTCGCCTCCCCCCCCACTAAAACAGCCAATTTTCGAGCGGCGCTTACGGTCCCGAGAGTCGACGATATATCGGAACTCAATTCTATATCGAGAACAATCACTGTGTGCGGTGCTGCGACGTCTCGGTATACCTTCCCGGGAGCGGCGGCAGTGCGCGAACATCCGTCATGTCCCGAGTGCGCTTTCGGGGATTTGCCGATCAACCTCGGCCGGACGAAGCTCACTTTTCGGTGTAACGAACGCAGCTGTTGAGCTCCTCTTTGTTTATCGTGTGCCTGCGCAGCTCGCGCACCGATCCGGCAGCACCCGAGCATGGTCCTTCCCTGGTGAGGCTTGTGTGGCGGCGGCCGGGGTGCTACCAGCCGAGATGCCAGAGCAAGGGGACGTCGTCACCATCCTGCACTTCAATGACTGCTACAACGTGGAGGAGCAGCACGGAGAGCCCGTGGGAGGAGCCAGCAGGTTTTGCACTGCACTCAAGGGTTTCTCTGCCCACAATCCTTTGATCCTGTTCAGTGGGGATGTCCTGGCACCCTCCTTCAGTAAGTGGTCTTACCAAACTTTGGACTTAAAAGTTTTAGGAATGTGAACCCCCAGGGAGTGTATTTAGAAGCGGCTGTATTGGTTTGTGCGGGCACTTCATAACTTCGTATGTAAATTGTGGGCGGCAGGGAAAAGCTCACAGGAGAAAGAGTGCAAAACCTTCGGATGTGGAGAAAAACTATCCGGCCTTATGAAGGATCCGGAGAAGAGCTCGCCTACAAATCTGTGATTTTTGAATGTCATATGTGCATGCAGTTATTCTGCACTCCACTAGCAATCTTTTTTTTAATTATACCTCATACACATTGTGGGTTGTGCAACAAAACTAAAATGAAGAATTTCTATAGAATGGTAATTAAAAGACAGTTGGGGGAAAAATATGGCCACTGTAATAGGCTGCAGCTTGAGAGTTCCTGAATTTTTATATATTGAATTAACTTAGATGGAGTAGCCGGCACTACATAAGGTAAGCCAAATCTTCGTATTTCATTGTTTATTTATAAAGGTACACTTTCAATTATAAGTCCTTCAGATCAGCCAATAAATGAAGTTAGTATTTTTTGCCTCCCAACTACGTTGTAATTGAAAAAAAAAAAAATTGCAGCAGTTGTACGGAAGCGGTCGACATGAAAACAAAACGAGGGCTGCAGCAGAGAAACCTGCTTTGAAATGTTTACCAACTGCATGGGAGGCACCTTTAGCTTTGGTTGCACTAGTGTTTTAAAATTATAACGACTTCCTTGCATAAAAATTTAATTCAAGATGAACTTTTCTTCAAGTATGACAAAGAATGGGAGAGCTTTTCTGCAGACATGCTAAAACTTTGGATGAGCTGTTCTCCGAGATTTATAAATTGTTTCTGTGCCTTTTTTTTTTTTGTCTAGTGCTTAGAATGGGCAGCATGGTGCATCAACTTTTTTGTAGAGTAGGAAGCAAGTGTAGCATGCGGATTCTTAACGCTCTGTGTTGGATTTCCTGGTAACATTTGAATCAATATATGGCAATTCTGTCTTGCAGTGAGTACATTCACGAAAGGAGAGCAAATGGTGCCTGTTTTAAACTGTTGCCGAGTGGACTGTGCTGTCTATGGAAACCACGATTTTGGTGAGCAATCATGTTGGCTGACTTTAACAATTCTGTAAACAACTGTTCTTGTGGCCCTGGCATTAATCCCAACTCTATTGGGTTCTGCTGTAGATTTCGGAGTTGATAACTTGACGGAATTTGCGAAGCAAACCAAATTTCCATGGCTAATGAGCAACGTCGTAGACAATGAAACTGGAAAGTTGCTGGCAGATGGTGAAGAATTCCAAATTCTGGAGAGGTCTGGCAAAAAGGTGAGTCTCATTTCAGAAGCGACTAGTGTGAGGCTGTGTCGTACATCTTCTAATCGGGGGTCTCCTAAACCTGGCCCATGGGCCAAATTGGCCCTCAGAGGCATTCTGACCGGCCGCACCCAGCCCGCTTCCGGCAGACCGGGTACAAAGGTAAATGGCACCAGAGGTGCAAAATAAGATACCAGAAAATCCGAGAGAAAACTGCAACGTTATGCAGCTCCTCTCGTCATGTTATTTATTGCACATCGTCGTCACCAGCTCACAATCCTTAGTCTTGTATTTTATATCTGAGTAACTACGTTAAAATTCCTTTACGGTCTCTTGTATTTCATACTTAGTGCAGTGATAGAAGTGCTGCGCTATTTACGCCAAAGTGTATCATGAACGCAAGTCTGCTACCTGTCATGCCAAAATGGCTTTCTTGCTCAAAATTGCATCACACCTGCGCAAGGATAAGCTTAAACAATGCAACAAAAAAAATAATAATGCAAGATTTGTTGGCACTAATATTGAAAGAAGTAGAAGCGAAGTGAAATGGTAAAAACATGCATTTCATGGTATTCTTTACTCACCGTAACTCAAATTAGCTCGTCTACCACACTGGCCATGTCATCGTCTGAACTTCCAGACGATGATGTCGGCGATACAACAGAGCTAGAAGTCGGAAGAAAAAAAGTAATAAAATGGTGGTATGGCGGCTGCTGTGATATGACAGAACCAGCGTCTCATATTCGCAGTGAGATCGCTTTATTTTCGTCTTAGCCACATGCGGCCACGCCGTGGCACTATTGCTGCTCGCATCAACCGTCACCACCCCGCACTGGCAAGTGTGTGTCGAGCTTTCACTGCGTCGCATTGGTGTGTTAGGGTGCGTACGTGGCGTATGTGGCATATGCCACATGCGCGTGGTAATATACCCATGGTTTAATGTGATGGGTTCGGAAATTATGCTCGGTAATATTACAGGTATTCACTGTCCATAATTATGAACTTCACCGTTCGTAATTTTTTGTTGTTCGAATATTATTGTGAACAATGGTCAGATGCATGGAGAGCTAATATAACTACTGAATAATACTAGAAATGTAGATCTAGATTCTGGCAACCCCAGCAAGGCATTTTCTGACTTTTTTCACAGCTGCATGTTTTGACTGCTAGGAGCTGAACATTTTTTAAGCAGTCATAAATAAATGGTTGTATCTACTTTGACAGCTTGGCCATTACATGAGGTATATGAGGTGGCTGCTGGCATTTATTTATAGCCATATAAAAACATTTGCAGCACATGGCAACTGAAACATTCATTTGTGTTAAAGGGCAACTCCGCTCAATTCCGAAGATTTCGGAATAATGAGTGATTTCGAATTAAAAAGCCCTTGTAAAAGACACTACGTCGTTTGCTTCGCGAAAAATGGGATATATATTTTTAAATCTAATTTTAAACATGAGCGGAAATCAAAACCGAAACTTCGGCTCCGTCCGGCAACATTGGCCTCGGGCCGGCAAGTACATGGCTATCACGTGGTACGAGATGTCACGTGATCCTTAGCCCAACGACGGGCGGGATGGGGGCGGGCGTGCGGCAGGTGCGAGTGTCGTCTGCACCGTACTCTTCGCCACGTTTCGGTGTCTACGGCATTTGACGACGTCTGCACAACTGCGGTATAAGTCTGCGACTCTGCGCACGTGGTGCCCATAGTGTGGACGAAACTCCGAGAGGCAATAGTCACAAACGGTGAGACGACGACGGTGGTTGTGACGCGGAAGACGGCGGTAACGGCGGGACCACGGCGGGCGGTTGGTCTGCTTCCAAGAAGCGTGCTGCGCAGGCGCGTACGCCAATCACGTGGACACCGCTGAGCGCCGAGAGGCAACGTTGCTGACGTCATGCGCTACGCTCGATCGGAGAAGTAAGAACAAGCAAAAGGGGGCCATGATGATGACGTTTAGCTCAATGTTGGCTCCACCCATGCCGTAGCCTTGACTGCGCTGTTGGTTGCGCCTGAATTCACCCGCTCGAGTCAGCCGATTTCGGCAACTTGGCAAGTTGCAAAGTTTGCCGGACCGTTTAAGAAATATTTAGACAGAACTGCGTCGTAATATTTGACGTGGGGTCTTCCTAGGCGATACTGAAGAGGACTGCATTGTTTTTTCAAAACCAAAAATGAAGCGGAGTTGCCCTTTAAGTCTAACAACATTTATATGGAGTTGCCAATACTTAATTCAACACTAGTGCCATGTTTTTAATTCAAGACTAGTGCCATATTATTATATCCAAACTGCCAAAATATTCAGTCAGAAGTGTAGCTTAAAAAAATTGCTGTTAGTAGAAAAAGGCATCCCGAACCTTGAAAAAATATGAGATCAATCCCAGAAGGGTTGGAGAGACTTTCTTCTAAACTACACTCGAATTTGTTGAGCACTTCCATGCATTGAATCAGCCTGTGTGGATTTTACAAATATTGATTGCCTGTTCTGGGCAGATTGGACTGATTGGACTCGTTGAAGAGGAGTGGTTGGCAACATTAGCCACACTTGACCCAGATGATGTGGAATACAAGGATTTTGTCACCGAGGGACGAAGGTTGGCTAGGTTCCTGAAGCACAAGGTGATCTGCAGTTTCAGTTCAGTGTAAATTGTTGTCTAGGCAGTCAGTGTATTGTCTGCTTCGACTTTCATTCTGGCTATCCTAGGAGTGTTCCCTGCTTCGAGGGATAGTGGAGCTTTTGCATAGTTTCACTCATTGCCAAACATCAGTGATCCACATGGCAGACGATGCCTATTCATGTAATAGTACTACTAAGCAGAAAGGCAAAACACTAGGAAGCGCACGCAGTTAAAGGGACACACCACTAGTTGTATTTACACTAGGTGATTGTTTTACTGAAACAAGATCTATGTGGGCCCAAGCATCATAAAAAAAATTTCTAGTTCAAAATCTGGCTTTTTTTTTTTTTTTTGCACCACTGGTTGAGAATTGTTTTTTTGGGTTTGTTCCTACAAAATAAAAATGTTCAATCAGCAATCACTCTCCTCTAGGTCACGTGTGGCGACAACACAGCCCACAAAATATTTTCAAAGTTGTAGGCCATCCAAGGCACATTTTCATTAATAAAGGTAATAGACCCCACAAAATAAAATTTTTATGACCACAGAAAGACCACATATGGGTTGGTTTGGAGAAACTTTGAGTGCATAGTCGTAACAAGGGACTTCCTGTGACTTGCTTACACTGACATCCTGGGCCCTGCACCGGGCCCCTGGTTTTTTTCTCGGCAAATATGCAACTGTGCCGCAAAAAGCTGTACTATAATGTCTTAACATCTGAATCTAGTATTTTAAACACACAAATTATTATTTTTCTTTTTTTCTATTTTTGTTTGCTTCTGAAGTCTGTACAAGGCACATTTTTTTTAGCAGAATGAGAGGAGTTTGAGAAAACATGATTGACTTGGCTAAGAAAGACTGTTCGTTTATCGATAATTTTTTGTCAAGAAGCGGTTAGACCCTTAGACCACAGTAAAAAAGAGGGCATGCAAATTTATTTTGTTTCAAATAAAACCAAACTTAATGTTTGCATGAGACTGGTTTAAAGTGTACTCTATCTTGATTGCCTGATTCAAGAGCAATAGACTTGTTGCCTAAATCTGTTTAATGGTGGCTTTGTCTTGATTTTCAGAAGGGTGTAGACTATGTGATTGCCCTCACTCACATGCGAACTCCAAACGATTGCCGCCTAGCTGCCAATGTGGATGAGATTGATCTTATACTTGGTGGCCATGACCACGTATACGAGATCAAGAAGGTCAGTAATGCTGGCATGCCAGTTTACTTGCATGCTTTAGTTAAGCATGTCTAGGGCTCTACTAACTTCGTCTACTTGGGAGACTACGACGAATATTGCCTCTAATTTTTTCTTCGCCAAGCACCCTTTTTTGACATGGTCAATCAATATGCTGCAGGTGAATGGCAAATACATTGTGAAGAGCGGAACTGACTTCCGTCAGTTTTCGCATATCACTCTAAGCTTTACGACATCAGGCGTGACGGTCAACATTGTGGAAGTGAATGTGACGTCTGCCTTTGAAGAGGACAAGGAACTTAAGGAGCTGCTATCAAAGTACAAAGGTGAAGCTTCTTTGCTACTAAGTGGGCATATCTTTGCTGCACCTTATATTTTATTGAAAGTTTTTCACTGCATGACAGTGCGGTGAGCTTTTGCACATTTACCTGTGTCTAACTGCACCGACGTTTCCATGAAGATGTTGTTCACGGCAAAATGGAGGAAGTGATTGGGCACTTTGCGGTGGATCTGGATGGGAGATTTAGCAGCATTCGGACTTCGGAGACCAACCTAGGTGGGTGCGTTTGTGCTGTGTTGGACATCACAGGTAAATTTATTTATTTACAGAATACCTACAGCGCCTCAAAGGCATTATCGTAGGAGGGCACCAAATAACACGCACACAAAAACACAAAATGGTCACTTTTCCGCACAATGAGTTATATACAGCCGAGAAAAAATACACTTTTGTCCGGCTTTGTAAAGGATGTGTCGTGATGAAATAAAATTATTCTACTAGGTGAGTTTGCCCAAAAGACGTGGAACACTTGATTGTAGTATAGGGAGCTGGATTAAATCCATGGCAGGTATTTACAGGTACCCATACTCATAATTTGCTTCGGGATTTTCCCGTCTGTGTCGCAAAACAGCCTTTCTTGCTCATTATTGATGATTATCAGCTCATGCCTTGTAATATTAAAACTTGCTTGCAATTTTGGTCCTGAAAATTTCTTTCCAAAAGAATTTAAGTCCAGTGGGCGATCCTAAGCTAGAAAAATGTCCTGAGAATTTGTCCAAAGAAGAAATCCTTATCTGGGTATACATATGGTTCTTCGTTTTCGGTAAAACCCAATATTACCTGATTTTTACCCCGCAATCCGGTTTTATAAAAATTGTGTTAGACCTCATTTTTTTAAAAAAACCAGCCTTGAAATCAGCTGAATTGATGGAAAATAGAAACAATTCTGGGATCTGTTTCAAAGGTGTTACCTCAGTGACTGGTTTGATTGTCAAGAGCCTCTTCAATTTGCGTAACCTCGGCATAGGTTTGCTTCAGAATGGGTCAGAAGGTGAAACGATTCTGTGCGCTCGAGAATCATGCCTCTTTCATAGACTTTGTTGACGTCTGTTTTAGTAGAAAACTGTTCCATGTATTTCCCCTTAAAGAGCAATTACGGTCGAAAACGAAACGAAAGTAAATGACTGGTATCGGGCACAAAATATGATCACAGCCGAAATATTACCTCAGAGTGAAGCCGTGTACCATAGAATACAGTCAAACCCGTTTATAACGAACAGCAAGAAACGCTACGATCAGTTCGATATAGCAAGTAGTTCGATATAGCAAAAACCATTTACAACGAACTTTCACAATGCGTTTGTTGTAAGGCGAGAGCCTTCTCTGTCTTTCTCATCTCTTCACCTCCGCCTTGTAACAACGCACAGTGCAGTAATTTTTTTTGTTGTGCATGCATGCAGAGTTTTTTTTTTTAGTTTATCTCCCCTTCTAAACGCTTCTCTTTGTAAGCAAACGCTTTGGGATGAAAAGTTTGTTTTTTTGTGCGTGCGTGCAGGGTGTATTTTTTTAGCTTTCTCCCCTTCTGAATCGCTTCTCTTCGCTCAATTTTGTTCGCAACTTGAGCTTTTGGAATTTTCTTTCTTTCCTACTTCTTTTTTGGGGGAAGGGACAGGCTAGAAAGGATTGCTTGTGCATTTTCGGAAGCCTCCTCGGGGGGGAAAAGTTTGCCAATATCTTGTTCGCTATACAAAGTACTTTTTACATGCATCTCTATTTAAATTTTCCGTGAGTTCGATATCAGCAATAATTCGCTGTACGTAGTTTCGTTCTAAACGGGTTTCGCTGTACCATGCATCCGCCCGTTCTGCACTGAGCGCCCACCCCCAAAATTTGAAATGTCTGAAAAAATGTGCACAGTACATATATATGTAAAATTGATGACCTGTAAAATGTGCCCATCCCCTATTTTTTCGCGATTATCTTCAAATTTTGAGGTATTTTACGGTACTCCCCTAAAACCGATTTTTAAGATTCAACCAGCTGCTCTTTAGCGGACGGCAAGCGGGTTAGCTTTTAGTCAAGGGATACTGGCACAGCACCCTTGTGACGTCGCGTCGCGGCCGTGCGGCTGATGATCAGTGTTACCATACCTCTAGCGGGCAGTTTCTGTTTTGCCGTAGATGCCCGAAACCACACTTTGAGCCGTGATATTTATAAAACTACACACAATGTTGGAGAAAAGAAATTATACCTTGTCGTTCAGGGACCCTGTTTTAGTTGAAAACAGTCTTAAACTAAACTTAAAAAATATTTACTGCACTTGCCCTTTAATAAATAGGACCTGATAAAACTCGAATTCCAGATTGGTTTCCGGAAAAAAACAGATTTCTCCCCGATTATGGACCTGGAAAATAGCACCTGATTTTACCCCACGATTTTCGAAAATTATAAAACCCAAAAACAAAGAACCAGGATTTTTTTTTTAGAGGGTCAAAATTTTTCTAAAACGATGGCATGAAAGCAATGCTAGCTGTCTGTGCAGGTGAGTTGTATGACCTGTTTGTCATAGAACAGGGCTAATCATCACAATGCATTGGATGATTAACTAAACCTTGTCAATTAACATTTAAGTAGTGAAAATAAACCTATGGTTCCAATTAAAAACTTGCTCAGCGTCATTAAAAACCACTAAATGAGTAAATTTTAGAAGGACGGGAAGCGCGTGGGAAGCAAAGGGGTGCACTGAAGTTGCCACTCGTGGAGCAGGCAGTGCCGAAAAAACACGGATGATAATGTGTCTTGCATTGCCAGCCTTCCGCCTGCTCCACGAGTGGTAACTTTAGATGGTATTAGCATGGCAGTAGGTCTCCTGATTATTGCAAGTCCAGATATTTTTTTACAAAAATATCAAGTATGCATTGCTATTTTAGAAAAATGTTACATTTCTGTTTCTACCGTAGCTTTTTATATAATGCATACATAACTTAGTTAAGAATGAAAGGGGGGAAGGATTGTAGGTGCAATATTTATTTGCATTGAATACTTTACACATACTTTACAAAGTCCTCTCTGGACAAAAACGCTGTCCTGTTTCTAGGTTGTTAGAAATAGGGATATAAATGGTATTCCCCCCCAGAATAGTACCAAATTCTTTTTAAAACTTTTTCATGTAAAAAGTAAGCCTATGTCTTAACCCTTCAACTATATATGCAAAGCTTCGGAAGCCACTTTATTTGCATCAGCGTTCGTACCAACAAAAAGCATTCAAACCATTTGCAAGCACCAGTACTTCCACTGCAACACCTTGGCCCATGTTCCCTCGAGTGTGAGCGCCGGGATTAGAATAAATGTGCACTTTACCGATGAACAAGGTGCCGACGAGAGGTAAGGCAATGCTGACTTTGAAGTGGCGTCTGTCCTGGGCCAGGCAACTTCATCAGCGACGTGATGTTGTCCTCGACACATTCGGATCTGGCCATCCTCAACGCGGGCACCCTCCGCTCCGATCGGATCCATCCGAGGGGAGCCTTCACCATGCGAGACCTGGTCACCATCCTTCCCATGATTGACTCCCTCATTGTCCTCAGTGCAACAGGTGTGTGAAAGGTGTTGTACTACTGCAAAATGTTTGTCCTCAACAAGGGTATCGGAAGTGTTCGGGAGGCGAGGCAGTGACGGAAAAGGGAATTTTCTTTTCCTTCCCGCAAATTGTATACTTGAAAGTTACTTTACAATAAACCACGGAGGATGCTACGAACCATGAAAGCCAGACTAATGACACGTGAGTGCCGCACGACCTTCGCAGTGACGTGCGGCGCACCTCGTCACCTGATAAATTTACAGTGCTGGATTGGCCGAGATGGCTCATAGTCTCCTCTGCAGTCCATCGTAAGGTAGAATGGAAATGGAGTATGGAGCGCTTCCTGCGTCCCTTGATTCTCTTGTCAGGAGACCAAGTTCTGCAGGCCTTGGAAAATGGAGTTTCCCAATACCCGAAGCTCGAGGGTCGTTTCCCACAAGTATCCGGCGTGACCTTCGCATTTGACCCGAAAAAACCACCAGGGCAGAGGATCGACCCTCAGTTTGTGAGAATTGGGGATGAACCCTTGGACAAGACTCAGGTAATCAATCTGCTCTTGTTGTCTCGGGGGTAAACAGCTACAGCAGAAGTTCGGTAGCCCACTGAGGCAAGTGGCTTCATCGGCGGGAAGGTATCTTGCTTTTTGTTTGAGGCGGAATAGGATCTTGTTGAAACTTTATAACTTAGAAACTCTGTGGGCTTTCCTGGTGTACTCTTTCAATAACTCCGTTTAGTTAGGGTGACTGAGAAGCCAGTTAAAGGCTATCTGGCAGAAACAAATCTACAGGGTCTGATAGAAAAAATAAAGCCCGGCTTTTCGGCCTGCATCAATAAACTATGTATCGCAGAAAGCTGAAAAGTTTGTGTGAATCTGATGCTAGGAGTTGAGATAGAATGCGAAAGTTTGAGAATGTGATGTTACCTAGATAAAGAACTAAAAAAAAATTGCTCCATGTGGCGACATCCACCTAGGCTTAATATTTGTTGAACCAAGTAATGGCATTGTGTGAGCTTGTAACATTTATTTCAGCGGAAAAAAAAAATTGTCAGCAAGAAAGATAAATGCCACAGGTGCCCACAATGCCATTTCTTGGTTTGGCGAATATTAGGATGTGGGCTCATATAAAACTTTTATTTCTTTATCCAAGTGACATCATGTTCTCAAACTTTCACACTTCATCATCACCACTAGTGTCACGGTAAGAAAGAGTTTTAGGTTTTTGTGATATAGTTAATTTACACAGGCTATAATACAGGGTTCCATTTTCTTTATCGGATCCTGTAGTTTTGTGCCCAATATGAATAATTTCTGGAATGTGTTCCTTCATTATGTCACCCTTCTTCCTCTTTACAGAAATACAGACTCGTCACCAAAAATTACCTAGCCCAAGGAAGGGATGGGTACGACGTCTTCAAAGATTGTGAAGTTGTGGTATGTTCTGGTTAAACTCAACATGTGCAGTCTATGTGCTTTGCCCTATTTCATCCAATTTGTGAATTTCATATCTTATGCCAATCTCAAAGATGACATAAAATATGAACCCTAATAATGAGTCGGGTACTCTCGTGCAGCAATTTATTTAACATGGACTTCCGTGATGGTGGAGTACTACTACCATATTTATTGAAATGCTGGCTGACATTTTTTTTAGGAACTTCTTTAAAATATTTAAAACTACCGTAAAGTTCCGAAAGAATGTCACACTCAAAATGAAGAGATAAATGGTGAAAAGCATGGGGTGGGCTATCTTTGGGAATGCCAGAGCTAAACTTTATCAAAAATTAATGATAAAACACTGGGGCACCCACTGCAAGCCGCATGACTCGGGAACTGATACTCTAGATTGCGGACACCGCAAATTCGCGTATCACGATGCTATAAACACACGGAAATTCGCCACAAACTCCTGTGTCACGGGAAAGGATACCGCAGGTTGCAGACGCAGCAGATTCGCGTCTTACGGTGCGAAGGACTTGCCGAAACCCGCACGTCACGGGAACGAATACCACAAATTGCGTACGCAACACATTCAAGTTTTATGGTGCAATAAACACGCGGGAACCCGCTGCAAAACTTGCCTGTCATGAGAACCGATATCGCACTCGCAGATCGCGGACAAAAACGTGGGAATCTGCTACAAACTTGTGTTACAGGAACAAATACCGCAAATCACGAACGCAGCAGATTCGCATTTCACGATGCAATATACATGCAGGAAGAACTCGCTTGTTACGGGAGCCAATATCGCACGCGAAGATAGCAAACAAAAACACGGGAACCCGCTATGAACTCGCTTATCAGACGGACTGGTACAGCAGATCGCACGGCGGATGCTATTCTCGTCGGACATCGTGTAACGTCCGACGGGAACCGGGGGGGTGAGCAATGTTTCGGAATTTTTATGTTACAGATATTTAGCAAAAAAAACGGGATGGGCGATCTTTCGGGGGCAGGCATTTCCTCGGAACTACGTGGTAGTGGTCGCTCTCTATCTTAGGGTCCGAAATCCTAGCCTCCGGTGATAAAGGTGGGAAATAATCATCTCAAACGCAGGCTATTGTGAAGAGAGGGGCTGCACACAAAACAAGATTTTTGCTTTTTACAGCACTCTTAATATTGGTGTTGTTCTTGGAGCTTCGTGGCTGTACATTTCTGACGTTCTTGCACTACGATATGTGCGAAGATTCCTAAAAAAACGGAGTCTTGCAAAAAGCGCAGCCCCCTACTGTGTCATGGCGTCAGCATAAACAAACGTGGCGGTGCCCATGCAACAGAGCAGACACTGGTCTATAATTGTAACTAAAAAATGTCAACCTATAAGAGTGAGCAAAATTTCTGACCCCATCTAATTGACCCAGGAGTTGCCTCGCGTCAGCCGCTGCTCCTAGCACGACGGTGCCATACTCCGTCTCACTGTAACTTGGCAAACGGCGAAGGCTACCGTCCCATTAAGCCAAGCAATGCGTTGGAGGGAGGCACCTGACTATATCTCGCTAGTTGCGATCAGTGCCGTCAGAGCCATGGGCAGGAGAGGCGAGCCGCTTTTGTATGAATTTCGGGTGACCGGCTAATCTTTCAGGGGAAGAAAAGCGACGTCTGGGATGCACAAAGGAGGGTCCAGGTAAAACGGGAGTTCCTTCTTCCCCTCTTCGCAACTGTTTGGGTTGTGCTCTTACCCCTGTACCTTTGGTAAGGGCCGAGTGTCATGTGCCTCACCTCCTTCGCTCCGATTGGCTCGAATGGGCCCTAGCGTTCGCTCTCTGCCAAGTTTCGGTGAAATGATGTATAGGAGCAGCAAAGCAGGGGTTAATTGAGAGCCACTGAGCACGGGAGAAGCACACATACATATTGAAGAGAGAGAGGGAAAGATGACTGGGCCTGTTTTGAAAGCTTCAATCCTTTCCAAGCCTAGTTTATGGTCACACCTGCCTGGGACGAACGACGCAAGAAGCGCAGCAGAGAAAGGCGAAAAGAAGACAAAATTTATCTCAATTTCACGTAGCAGCACAACACGATGACGGCTGGTCCACCCCCGTGGACTAGCCGTTGGATCTTCATAAAAGGGATGCACGGGGAGAAAATCCTTTCGCTAATGTCATTTAGTGGTGCAAGGTGGGCGTGGGTGGATACTTGAAGCTGTTGCTTCGGGAGAGGCGCGGGATCTTATCTCGCTTGTACGTCGACTTGCATACCAAGCAGAGGACAATGCCTGTGACGTCTTCACCGGGGAATTTCTGAACGAGCATTTCATAGAATTCGGGACGTGCCGTCGATACATCCGATTAAAACCACAGTCGGTCACGGCGCTACACGAAACGCCAAATTTATCGTTTGTCGTGTGCTTCTTGAAGTCTTCGCCGGCACTAGTCGAATCAAAGACCCCGCCGAGGGTCACGTGCTTGCGTGGTGTTGACGTCGCAGGTCGCTGAAACAGCTCGTTGAGCCGCACGCTGAGCTTGGCGTCTTTGCTCGCATCGAAACTCTTCGGTTTCTCATCGTATCTCAGGTCATTAGCGCTCTCGCTCTTTGTCGCTGAAGCAGTTCGTTGTGTCGTGCGTCTGGCCCGAGCAGCCAGACGCCTGCGTTCGTGGCATTCTTCATTGGAGAGTTTTGGGGCGAACCATCTGTGCGCGTTACTCCAGCTGACCAGCTGCACTCGTCGCAGAGCAATCTAATCGCTTATGCTGGTGAGGGGGGAGGACTTTCCCCAGCCAATTCGTGTCGGTGGTCACTGCACAGGGGGTAGCTTCCCTCCTCTCAACCCCATTGACCATTCAGCGGTTAGATTCGTGGTCACGCTTTTTGTGGCTTCACTTAATCGGAAAACCTAGGCTAAGAATGTTTCACGTTAAAAAGGGGGATGGAGCAAAACAAAGGACGGCTGTGTCAGACGGCTATTGTTGAACATAACAGCCAGGAAAGCAAATGCAAGATGGGACATTAATAGGCGTCCTTATGGGTAGTCAACTGGACCTGTGTTCGTGAATGTGACAGCCTGGGAAACATGCTGTTATCTGAGAATGTACCAAGGAATCTACTTAAAGGGGCAATGCAACAATATTAATTTAGAGAGAATTTTCAGCTCTTAATTTTTTACGTTGTTCATCTTACGAAAAGGGATGGCGAATTGCCTCATTCTTTTGAAATATCGCAATTATGTTGCTTAATAGCAAAGCAGAGAACTTTGCGAGATGCAGTTGCGGGGTGGCGGCTATGGGAACTAAGGTGTGATGCCAACCTGGGTGCATTGTAATAAGTTGTCAAGATATGCCATTATGTGCCCTATTTAAGGCTGTTTTTTTATAAATATTGTCGTTTCGACACGAGTAATTGCTTCACAAGTTTCATATCGTCGACACAATTGTACTATATTCAGTTTTGGTGGCGCCACCTGCCCGAGGTGAACAAAACTATCCCTCTTTCGAGTCTCACCCCGTCGCTACTCTGTCAGTTTGACCTCCTTACAACAAGGCAAGCGCTTTGCCCCCCCCCCCCCCCCCCCCCCCAACCTTCAAGGTAGCCACGTGAATCGCAAGCAGAAGCGCGTGCTGGAGGCTCTGAAAGAGAACCCAACCAGATTCTCCATGTCCCCAGTGCACCCAGCTACACGTCACTGTGCATGTGACTCGGAAGACGGTGTAAGGGTTGAGAGTGGTTGAGGTGCACCCAAAACTTCAATTGTTTGACAATTTTTTTTTTCTTTTAAAGAACTAACGCTTGCAGGAAAATTTGTTTTCAGTTCTTTCCACCATGACGTGACAACTGCCACAATTAATAAACTCAGAAAATTGTTGCATGGCCCCTTTAAAGCGGTTACAGCAAAGTGATCACAATTTCCCGTTCCCGCTTGCACTTTTTCAATGCATTTTTGTCTGTTTTTAGCGAAGGAAATTGAGCGGCTCCTGCGGATATAACGGAAGAGAAATTTTGTGATAATCTAAAAAAAAAAATAATAAAATTCTGAACATTTATTAAGTCTCGGACTGCCGCACTTTGCTGCCGCGTCCAAGAAGCCACCCAGAACAGGCTGCAGAAGATGCTGGAAAGTCGTCTGCTACCCGCTCCTTATCTGGAAAGCAACTTTACCGCATCGCACGCGGAGAAGCCATCGTGGCATGCCAATAGGGGCGTTCGGAGTGCTAGCGACAAAGTACCAGCGGATATGACGGAGACACCCTAGATTTAAGAGAGGGAGCACTAAGTACGCCTGCATTTGATTGTCGTGTGGCCAGTGTGGCGAGGAAATTGGGCGGAAAGACGGACACGTTTGCAGAAGGTGAACGCTTCTGAGTCTTGACTCCTTGCATGTCACAGCTCGTTTTGAAAACGCGGCCCCACAAAACCATGTGGCCTTGATCGACCAGTTGCCCCATCTTTTAAATCTAGGCACTCTATACCGACAACAGACAAGCTTGAGTGCAAACTCGGTGCTGCGCGCACTTGTTTGTTTGCTTTGTGACCCATGTCGGTGTCTGGTCGTTGGTGAGGTTGCTCTTGCACAAAAGTCTACTTCGCACCAATTCGGAGAATCATCGCCACTTAACGATGGAGAGTCCCGGCACCGCTGGCACCTCGACAGGGAAGACAAAGGCAATCTCCTTGAATCAAAAGCGTGCATTCTCGACGGAGTGCGCATAAACGTAAAGAATGCCGTGCACCGTCAGCGTCCTCCGCAGGGCCGTCGCAGCTGTCGATACGGTCCGTACGTAGCAGGATCTTTTTTCGATCGGAGCTTCTCGCAGTTGGCAAGAAGTGGCTCCGATCTAGCAAAGGACGCTTGCAGGGAAACCGCGACCGCTTTCTGCAGGCTCGATAAACATGTGCCCGTGACAGCCCGTGTTTTCTTTTTTTTTTTTTTAATGCTATTTGTACGAGTTCATATTTATTGAAGAATCGGATATAGCGAAGCAATTTTTGATTCCCGTTGACTTCTTTATAATCAATCTCAACTGTATAACCCTAAAAAAAAAATTTGATTGCGAAAAAACGTTTTTTGCTATGCAAAAGAGCCTGTCCAAAACCACATCCTCCTCCCCCGATCCAGTTTCCTCCTTGCTTCTTTTTTTGACGATGTAGGAGGCAAAGGCATTTTTCAGAAATTTAGAGATGTTGGAAGTTGCATGTGTGTAACAATTAATGGCATTCATCGAATATGTTTTTTACGACCATTGCAAAATCACTATACTGCTGACTTCAAGACATGAGAATTCGGAGCCCTTAAAGGGATACTACAACGAAATTTCGGTGCTCATTTTTTTGGTCTATATGTGTTCAAAAGAGCAGTATCACATGGAACATTCCAATATATTGTTAAAAAAGTCTCGAAAAGGAATTTTAAAACGAATTTAACGATTAGCAAAGAGCACCTGGTGGATGTCGCTAACGCCTCGTTTGTAATGCTCGTCTAGGAACCTTGACAGCTAGTGACGGAGGTTGTCTCGTCTTCGGCCACGACGAGAGAAGAGGGGCAGGAGGAACTCCCGTCTTTCCGAGAGTCCCTTTTGTGTGTCGCAGAAGTCGCTATTGTCCCCCTAGAAGATTATAGAAGATTAACCCGTCACTCAAAATTCGTACAAAAGCAGCCGTTTCGGTGGCTGGAACGACTAGGCCATCCTCTCTATGTCAGCCTCGCCGTAGCTTTGCTCGTCTTGAGACGACCTACGTCACGATTGCGTTGGATGTCACATGCTCTAAGCTGGGCCTTCTCCGAGCGCTTGCCAGAGTGGGCCGTTTATAACGAAAAATACAGCCACCAGGATCAAAATACAAACGTGCGATTGTCATTTACGGATATTGTGGATCATATTCAACCTATTTTTGAACACGACGGGAATATTTCAAATTTCGTTGAAGTATCCCTTTAAAAGACCCCTAGAAATAAAAATTTTTTTTTTTTAAAATATGGTTGGGACATGCTTGTCAAAATTAAATTTTAAGAAAAAAAAAAAATTGGAGCAATATTGACGGCGAGAGATTTATTTGAAATTCTGCGTGCAAAGTCCATGACATCATGGAATGGTCATTCTCTCCTTCCACCTCAACGTAAAGGCGAAGCCGATCCACCTCTCCTCCACGCGCCCGAAATGCGGAGAGAGAGAACAAGTGGAACAAGTCAGGGTAGTTTTGCGGTGCAGGTCACTCGCTTCGCCTTTACTTGTGTCGCCCAACCAGTCCTCGGGCACCTTCAAACTGCTAGGTTGTAACACGTCGATACCATCAAGTGGCGAAGCTCATAACCATGCCAGCCTCGCCGTAGCCTTACCCGTGAGGGGAAAAGTGACGTCACAAATGCGCAGTCTCCCAAGACGCAATCGCGTTCTCCAATGGCTGCTCTTCGAGTGCTTGCCAAAATCGGCCATTTAGAATGAAAAGTATAGCCATCCCTTTAGAATACAAGCGTGCAGTTGTCTCGAGCACTTATTGTCGATCATGTCTAACTTGTTTCTGAATGTGAGAGGTATATTTCAATTTTCATTTCAATATCCCTTTAATACCTTTCTCAATATCCGTCAGTTCCACTGAGAGCATTAAAAAAAAATAAAACCAAGTCCTTTTTTTTTTTCTTTTTTTTCTGTGCCTGATAACTTTTTGGGTTTCGAGAGAGCAATTATCGAGCCATCAAGAAGCTTGGGTTATCCCTCGCATTGCTTGCCAAAATCCAGAACACATCATTTTCCTACTTATTTAAAAAACATTTGAGACCCACTAAATAGAATTTTGCTAAAAAAGAAATTGATCTGAAAAGTGACGCGTCATCCACACGCAGGGAAAGCAGAGCCGTATATAAGGAGAGTTTTGTCAATGGGAGGAGCGGGCAGAGACAGGGCATGCACAAGATGCAGAAAGAGCACTTGACCAGCTCTCTTAGCCAACCAGAAGCCGAAAATAATCCCATACCGGCGGTAGCGAGAAACAGTTTTAATTGTAAGCAGTAAGAGTTAAATATAGCAAGTCTACATGGTTGAAAATAGGCTGCACGTGATGTTTCGATTATGATCATGCAAAAAGATGTAAGAATCGAATGTGCCGCTCAAACTGTTTTGCTCGGACGGAGTCTGACCGCTTGGATGGCATATTCCCGGCCCTCGGCGCCTTGCGTACGGATTACATAGATCGTTCTGCTGGATTTTATTTTGCATGACCGTGATCGCTTGGATGGCATGTTCCCGGCTCTCGGCGCCTGGCGTACGGATTACATTGATCGTTTTGCTAGATTTTTATTTTGCATGACCGTGATAAAAAAATTACGTACACCATATTTTCAGTTACCGAGAGTTACTCCGACGCACTTATTAATTATTTTTCTCACCGTCATCGCTAGGGTATTATTTGCGGCTTCTGGCTGGCCACTTTCAAATTTGTGGAGATGCCCTGGAACATGCCCAGCCCCCTTTCGACCAATGGTGCCTCCTCATTTGCCTCCTATACTTCCCAATGTATGACCAAACTCTCTCTGTATATGACTCTGGGGAAAGGACACGTGCAAGTGCACAGCAAAATATGCATGCGATTGGCAGGTTGGTAGACACAAGATCCCATGATTGCCGTCATTGACTAGAGGGAAAAAGAGAAAGTTAAACTACGCTTCCGGTTTGAAGTCATCCAAGAAGGCAAGGAGTGCACCATTTTGCCATCTACGTCATCGGTTCGGGCAAAAGTTTGAAACCTGGCTTTGTGAAAATTAATTTTTCTCTGCAAAAAGGAGCGTACAATTTTTAGGCCAATTTCTATGGATCATTTTCAGTCGTTTGGGACAATGAAAAAAATATTGATGTTGGGGTTGTCAGTGGCCCTTTAATTCAATAAGAAATTGTGCAGTTCCTTCAAATGCAGTATTAGTTGGAGCGGTCTTGATTGACCCTTTTACCTGCTAGGATAGTTCTTTTGGAGTGTTTGCAAGTGATGCCTGGTGCCACTGTAGAGTCGCTTGTCTGACACTATTCTGTTTGCACACTTTAAGATGAGCGAAGATGAGAGCCCAGAGTTATGCACGGCCGTCCAGAACCACTTCCAGGCAATCAAGATTCTCACTGGCGTGGCTCGCCCAAGGACTCACCACCGACAAAGCCTCGTCTGCTTATCCAGGAGGTATGGCACTTTCGAAAGCAGTGGCAGTGCTCAATACTAGGGATAGCTAGTGCATGCTCTACTCTAATGAAAAGCTGCATCCTTTGTATCACATCAGGGAGACAATCCACATTAAAGAAGGGAACCCTTGAAGGTGGCAAGTTTATAGAAATTCCCTGATTATACACTCCCACGAGAGGGGCACTAGGTAACAATGGGTTGCATCTGTTTAGGATCCTCTATCTTGCCAAACCCTGGTCTGTGGCAGTGCTCTATATGCGTGTTGAGGCGATGGGGTTCCCTCCTTCACCCTATTTATGAGGGGTACACAGCAGGCTAGCTTTTGGAAAATACCGGCCAGGTGAACAGATGGTAGCAGATGTGGTGTTATGAACTAAAGACTTAGCAGAAGGGACAAAGGCATAGGACGTTCGCTGTGACTTGATGGAAGGAACCTCTAACAAAATAGCTGGTGTTGTTTGAATGGTTGGAAACATGGTTTGTGGCTGGTCATTACTTTAAAGTCGTGGTTGCTTGCCTGTCCCAAAGGCACAGCCTGGTGCGGACTTGTGAAGACGTCTCTGTGAAGGCGCCGCTGAAGCGTGGATTCAGCCTGGATGCATCAGCGCGGAGAGGCCTGTTCCGCCAGCGGCAGGCTTCGCTAGAAGACGTTGAGCACGAGACATGCAAAATGGAGCCCAAGGTGGAGAACCGCATTGTCATCCTCACAGAGGAGGTGAGCAAGTCTTCTTCTTGCTTGTTTGTTTCTCGGTGATGCTATCCTCTCACTAAGATAAGTGGCATACCTGTAATAGGGCAGGGCTGGTACTTACTTTGCTTCTCTATGTACATTTGCTTCAGCAATGGAGAAATGGGGGTTTATTTTTGGCAGTGAGCTTTGTTAAAACCATAGCCCCTTGCAAAAGCCTCAGAATCTTTTTTCTGGTGTTGTTGCATATAGCACTCTCTGGTTTTTATGTTTCTGCATTTCCAATTTTGGGAGGCCAGTTTTGATAGAGAGAGGTGAACTTGCAGTCCAAAATAATTGATCATTTATGCACTAATATTCCCCAAAAGCAAGCTGCAGAAGGGCAGCTGCCTACCAAAGGATGTGCTACCATGTGGATATGCTTTAATTACCGTATCTACTTAAATCTAACTCAACCTCTATATGGGCACAGCCTGCGTGTCTCCTCTCTCGTGTACAGTCTCCTGCAATATGAAAGACCTACTGGGAGTGCGTGGCCGGGACGGTGGCTGGCAGGGGCGCTACGCTCACTCTGGGCAATTCCATTCTGCCCCGAAGGTAGGACTTACTCGGGGCTCAGTTAAAGTGCAATGTGCGCTTATCAGTTTCTAGTTTCGGTTTCGTGGCAGGGAGCACTTCGTCAAAGCCATGCCAAAGTTGCACCCGCAGTCTATTAGTTCTGCATTCCTTTTTTATTATAACGAATGAATGTGCTCTTCGAGGCATTTTCTCTTTCAATTTTGATTATTTAGCAGTGCCTATTCTGACATCCAAAACAACTGAAAAAAACTACAGTGATGTCTATGCTTGTTTTGAGCCTTCGTGACCATATATCTGGGCGTGGCACTGATGAAGCATGCTCTTCCCCTAAATTGAAACCAAATACTGTTAAGCGCGTTCAGGCCCGGTTGAGTCCCGAATGAGTGTCCACCCCTCGAAGCAGAATGGAATCGCCCGGAGTGTGCGCAGCGCCCCCGCCTGCCGCCGTCTCGGCCTCAAGCTCCCTGTGGGTCTTTTATATTGCAGTAGACTGTACATGTTATGTGGAGGGTCAATCATCGCAATTAACAGGAGGCAAACATGCAGAAGACATTGGATCATATTTGGACCCAAAACTGTGACGTGCTGTGGGACTCTCAGCATGACATTGACATATACTCAGAATCCAACTACAGACTGAATTTTGGTGTTCAAACCTGACCTCTTTCTTTGTCATTCTCCTGGTCTTGTGAATTACAGTGTTTGACTGTTATTAGCCAATCATTCCAATGTATGGGCGATGTCGATAAAAAGGATAGATTTGAATAACCAGAGTACTTTACTAGCTAGGTACTATATTAGACCACAAGATGACCTGCTCTATTCCTAAGCATTTGCAGAGGATTACCATAACTGGATGTTGGCAGTATAATGTCGCCATGTTGCGCAGAGCACCATTCTACTCTGAGGAGCTGTAACCTCCGACATCATGCCGACTTTCTGGCTCTTTTTTCTTTCCTGGGGTGGCCATCTTCCATAGTGGTTTCGGTCTTGCTCAAGACCGTGGACTTTGAGCAGCTTGCCCCTGAGCGGCTAGGCTGGTTTCTGCTGTGGTTCTGAGGTGAATCGGCACCTTATTTCTGGGCATGTGAATTCAAGTTAAGCTCTACTTAATTTTCTTTTTATTTCGTTTTCTGCATATGGCCTGGAAGCAAGAGTTGCAATGCTGTAATGACACTGCAGTAGGATTTTTTTCCGTCTATTTTAATAAGGTTATGCGAGTTCCTTGATAGGAGATTGCACTTGAACTTTGTTGCCTGCTATTTGATTTAATTGCGTCCCCGCTTCTCTGAAAGCCTTGACTGGACTAAGAAACATCAGTAACCTTTGTCGTGGCCAGAAGAAACTTTGCTTTTCAAACCGGCTTAGGTCGGTGATGTGTTGTCCAGCATAGCCAACGTAGTGTCACTTTGCAACTACATAGGCTTATTGCTGAGAACATGTAACTGAGATTTTGATTGCACGTCAAAAGATTCCCAGGTGGTCAAAATTGACCCTTACCTAAATGCCCTTCATTGATTTGGCATGTAATACACCGATATTTTCCTTTTGCACATACAAAGACTGGAGAGATACTTTTTTTTTTAGAGCACAGCTCTTAGGCACCCATTTCCGGCTTGAGCGGCACCGCCGCCGCGGTCGGTGTCATTGCGCGGTGCATTATGGGAAACGTCCCATAATGCACTGCCGTGACGTGCGCGTTGCATTATGGGGCGTTTCCCATGACGCACCGCGCGGGAGGGAGGAGGAGGAGAAAGAAGAGGGAAGAAAAAGGGGGAGGAGGAGAAGAGGGGGAGGAGGCGAGGAGCACGGGGGAGTAGATGGGGAGGGAAGAGGAGAGGATATGGATAAGGAGGAGGGGCATACCGTCCCCTCCGTACCCTCCCCTTTTCCTCCTCAAGAGCTGTGCTCTCATTCGGCATTACAGGGAGTTGTAAACGTCTTTAATTTTTTATTCACTTCTTTTTTTGTAAGTTGTCTTTACTGCTCGGTTACTGGCCAAGAAGGAATGGGCATTCAAAATGTGCTTATCGTATCTGCACATGATCTAAACGATGCTTTTAGCATCAGTTGAGTAAATTAAAGCATACCTTCAAGAAACAAGCAGGTTTTGTTGAACTTCAGTGGAATTGAACCCATTTTTATTTATAGTCTCAGCTTGTAACGGTATCGTTTCAGCGGTTGATTTTTAACCTTGGGCTTTCTTGTTTCTTTGCATGATCACCAATTACTGATTTTAGCAATATGTGGCTCTTTTCTTGCAAGTCTGACAATGATCTCTAACCTGCAGTCTTTTTACTTCTAGACTGCTGTATTGGCACGAGTATAATGCAATCTTTTCTGTAATTTCTTCCCTTGAAATGCTATTTGCATTACATGCCAAATCAAGTTGTAACGCCTGGAGTATGGCAGGTGGAAAGCGAAATGGCGCAAATGCACTCCGCAGCCAGCATGGCATGAGCGAATTTCACTGATGGTTATTGTGTGTTGAAAAGGAAGGAATGGCCATTAGTCTTTTCTTCAGGAAAGCATGCTGTAGTTGGGGTCTATCTTTTTCTTGCTAATTTGAGACAGTGTTGTGGCAGTGGCAATGTGTGGGGAAGTTGTTTCTTAATTCAATGTGTGATAAAAAGAAATAAATCGAGACGTTGGCAGCTTCTCGAAAATGTAGCCGGCCACTCCTTGCTTCCTTTCCTTTCAACTCACGTGCACAATTGGAATTCGCATGAGAGTGAGGTTCACATCATAATCTGTTTTTATTTTCTTCTGCGTTTGATATACCCTAAAACTCTCCTCAAGTAACACTTGTGTTTGCATGATGTTACCTGGTACATCATGATATCTGAAATGCATTTGCTTTGACACTGCTACTCACATTGCTATAATACTTGAAATTCCACAACGGAGAAAGCCTTATGGTGGATTTAAGCTTCGTGACATCTCTGCTCTGGGTGCTAAGACATGCTTGAAAGCTGTTCCCAGAGCACTTGGAGAAAAACAAGTTTTTCTGTTGTTACATACGAATCTACCTAAAAATATATGCCCACCCACATTTGGAGGGTAGTAATCACAATAATTTTGGGGTAGGCACTTGCTGGAGTTGGATGCCTATTTCTGTCGACTCTGAAACAGCAATTGCATGAGACTGGTCACATAATCGGTAATATTTTACGGTAGGTCGATAGACATAGGTTGAATAGAAATTTTTATGCCGAAAACGGGGTTCAAATTAGCAGAATTGTCTAGTAGTCTCAGGCATGAATCTATGAAATGGTAGTTCTAAATTTTATCCTCAGCATCACTGAAGGGTTCAATAATGTATGTTTTTGCAAACATTGGCAGTTTTTCTATATGGCATCACTCTCAACTTGGCAAAGCGCATGTTGGAGTTATCCCGGTACCGGGTGCAACGTGCAATATTATGGTGCGGTCGGTATGTAACATTTGCCTGACTTCGGAATGTAGCCAACCACCTGCCATTGAACTCTGTGTGCAGTAGCACTGTTATAAGTTAACTACTTGACTTATACTGTTAATTCAGGCATTGTCGCAGTACATCATGCAGTGCTAGTGCTTTCCCTCGGGACAAACTACCAGAGACACATCTGACACTTAGTGAGACCATTTGTGTCAAGCCAGGCATTTTATAAATAAAGGGCAGGTGCCTGTGCTGGAGATCAGATCGGGCCGGAAGATTAGGCCTGACCCGACCCGACCCAGCCTGATACCTTGGTCCGAATTCAGCCCAAGCGGGATTTCTAAGTGTAAACCCAAGCCCGACCCGACCAAAAAACAAAAATTTAGGCCGAACCCGCCTCTAGCTTGACTGCTCTTCTCGATATGAATCATCCCGATCCTAGCTCGAATCACGTCGAACCAGACCCAATCCCAGCCCCGACTGTGTTTTTTTTTTTTTTTTTTTTTTTTTTTTATTAGTTCCACCTTTGTCTTACATGACACCGTTCGTATTGAACAAGAATTTCCAATCTCGGAAGTTAAACACATTTCTGTCAAAGGCTTGCACAGCAATTTTATTTATTGAGGCTGTTTCTAAAATGATGATGCGGACAACAGAAATCTAACTTAGTTAAAAAAGAGTATAAAAAAAAATTTCAGCACATACAATAATATATTTCGATACATTTTCGACCAAAGAACATTTTTGCAAATAAAATCATATTTAGTTTGCAACTTTATGATTCCCTCTGTTGACATTTGAAATAAGACACCTGAGTTGGACACAAAAAACAGGCAAACAACAAGCTTAGGAAATTTGAGCCCTTTTTCGACCCCCTGCTGCGCAACAGCAAATCGGATCACAAATATTGTAACAGCGTTTGAAGAGACGTGAATAGAGTGAAGAGGATGAAAGATGTTACAGAACTTTAGTTGAAGTTGTTTTTGACATACGACTGAAGCTTATTCACCACCCAATTAAGAAAATAAGAAACAAATATTAAAAGTAATGAGGTACATGATTATTTACGAATTAGCGTGAAGGAACAAGATGTTACCTACACACTCCGGAGACAACCTCATCCTTCACTGTTGAAGCAAAGTCCAGCAGCTAAAATTTTGTTCGCTACTTGCTCATGTCGGCTGGAATACACGGAACTCTCCACGCAATTTGGCTGAGCAAGGGATATTTTTCTGTGTGAGATTTCCACCACTCAAGAATGTCCCCAATGTTCCCACAACTGTTGTCGCTGTCTAAGTAACGTTCCACCTCGGTGTTGCTAGGGTGAGGTAACCCGGCTGGTGGCAATACGTACTTCAAAGCTGGTGGGTTTTCCTGCTTTCGGTTTTTTTTGTGCATTGTCATCCTGTTCGTCTGGTTCACAAAACATCTCTAAACGAAAAAATAAATCAAATTTATTGCCAGGTTTATTGATGAGCAAGGTTTCCTGAATCCTAGAAATGCCTTCGTAGGGACCGCGGACTCCCATTGGAGAACCACTGATCTAGACGGTTGTCCTAGTTTAGCGGGCTTTGTATAGAACCTGATGACCCGCGGCACAATATCCAGGTTGGCGCATCTTGTGTTAAAACAAACTCTCTGCTACTTTTCTTTGTTTTCGAAGATAAAATAAACATTTACCTCCATTCCGAAATATTTGGCGAGATCTGGCCGTGGGTCACGATGCCTCCAACTAGGCCCGATTCGAGCCCGACGCAGTTCGGGATAAATCGACCCAAACCCGACCCGAACCGTGCTCTCATGTCTGGGCCCAACCCGACGGTCGGGTTGGGGTCGGGCTTTTGGGCTAGCCTGAGCCCGTGCAGATCTCTAGGCTGTGTTGTGTGTCGAGGCTTTCATTGTAAGCTTAGAAAGCTACGTACACAGCTTTACCAGCGTTGCAGGGAAGAGTGTCGGTAACCAGCACCTATGCTAGTGCCACCATCATCGTGACTGAGACTGCCTACGCACTCGCAGTGCCCCAGCCCATTGCTCACATCTGGGGAAAATCACAGGAAAGTCAGTGCCATTGAGGCCCAAGAATGACTGTGCAGCACAGATGAATGGCTGGCAGTCATCCACCACCGAAAACTTTTCCTACGAGTGGTAATACAAAATACGGAGAGATGATAAAACATTATTACGTGCCAAAGATATTCAATGAGGTATTCGAAGAAATCGTTAGGATAAAATTTCCTATAACCCTCAAAACAACCACAGGAAAATTATTTAAAAAAAAAAACTATATTTTGTTTTATCTTACGATGAACTAAAGCCCAATGCTACAGGCCACCAGGTCCAATCACGAGCCTGTTAGATACCACGTGGTGTATTTGCTCCATCGTGCGTATCAGTGCACCAAGATGTATCATGCGGAGGCAAATTTTTCGTCTGCTTATCAAGCCCTCGCAGCAGCTCTGTCTGCTTGCTACTACTAAAGACTACTGAAGGGATCGAATACCATCTGGAAGCGATGTGGCGAAGAGAACCCGAGGTCAGAACCAGTGGCCATCAAGAAATGAAGATGAGTCGGATTGAGTGTTCGACACGGGAGCATATGTACAGACCACGTGCGGAAGGGAGATACGGGTCCGGTTACATACCCAAAAAATTGCATTGGATTGTTATGGCTATGGCGAAATGACTGTATGTCAGTGTTGCCTATGCACCCTCCAACTTCTCCAAACAGTTGACATGTTTATGAAATATGGCATGAATGTTTATGAAACTAGTTCACATGCTTATAAGTGCCCTTCATACGCTGGGTATCGGAATTTCTCTCACGCACTCTTTTGCAATGTGGATGCAAGATTTTCTGAAGTAGTGCTGCGCCCGCCAGCCTTCGGGCCCTAGTCCATCGTAGGGTGAGACGGAATATAGGTGAAAAGTTGGCTTAAGGGAACTTTTCTCAACTATGTTTTAGTGGTTGAAAGCCAGTATGGATCCAAACTGATATGGTTCCGCCAAATCTTTAGTACGCGCAGGTACAGGCAACACTCGTTTCCAGGTTTTGGTAGCTGCATACGTAAAATATTACTAAAATAGTGTGCTTTTCTTTGTTTTGTTTATTTTGTTGAACACCCCAAATCGTGCTCTTGTTAACTTGTTTTCCTGTACCATTACTGCTGTGTCCCACGCACAAGCTTCCTTGGTTTATGTGGGAATAAAACAGTAAAATGTACAAAAAACATAATGAAACATATTTTATTGTATTGACAATGTTTCCTGCTCACACGTGACAAAACCGTGTAAAATGTTGTTTTCAAAACTTCGGTGCTTGTGTCGGTGAAAGTGCCCTAAAAAGCTAACATCTACTGCAGAGAATGGCACTATTGAAACATCAAGGGTCAGGGATCTTATTGGAAGCCTCGAAGTGACAAGACATTATTTTAGCCATCCTGTTTTCAGTGCAGTGAACTGCCTTTGGGTGCTGCTTCAGCTGTGTGGGAGTTCCAGTGCACAATATCAAGATTAATCTTAAAAGTGCCATTAGGCTGACCTTCAGAAAAGCATGCAGACAGATGCTCTTTTTTCCCCCATTTTCTAAGTGGGAAACGTTAGTGTAGCTTGAAAGGCTTGGTGTCGTGCATTTCTAAAACTAATTAAATTGCATACATTTTTTGTCTGGTTACTGTTTCATTATGCTATATTTAGTGTGGCACATGTGATGGTTCATTTTTTTGTGCAAGTGGTTTATCTGTCTGCGACTTGAATTTTGATAATTCACAAAGGGATATATATGGTTACCGTCAATTTGTGTGTCTGAAATTGTTGGAGCAGCAAGGGACCTTTGTGCTGGGCTGCTTCAGCTTTTTTAAAAAATAGTGAACACACATCTCACACTGTCATTATTTTCTGATGCAACGCCTTGCTACTATTTCAGCTCTTTAAAATACTTAGCAAACATGGTGACATGTTCAGCACCTGTTGAGCCTGCGTTATTGCTCACCCATATCCGACATCTCTGCACACTTTAGATGCAATGTCATGCGTCTTCACATGCTTGTTTTGGGAGCTTGGTATAACAATGGAATGAATGCTCAAACCTCTAACATTGACTGACTGAATGTGCATTTAGTTGGCCGCATGCTGACACCTTTTATGCTCCGGGTGATCTTTTCACCACACTTTAAGGGAGACTTGCATAGAACTCTGTATGGCTTGAATTGGCACTGTCTTGAGCCATGCTTAATATATTGGGTGTTTCTGTAAGGATTTTCAAAAATTACTAAAACTAGGGTGGTTGAGAAAACAAGAAACTTTTCGAGAACAAACTGCCAGCCACGGCAGACGTCGGGGACTGCAAAAATACTTTTGAATTAGCAAAATATTGACCTAAAATGTACCAATGAACTTTTTAATTTTTGAAAAGAAACATATGGTTCCAATTAGAAACTTGCCGAGCACCATCGAAAACTCCTAGATGAGTCAGTTTTACGACGGCTTGAAGCGCGGGGGTGGGCTAAAATTACCACTTGTGCAGCAGGCGCAAGGCCGGCGATGCAAAAACAGAAATGATGAGAATATCGCCTTTTCACATTGTCGGCCTTGCGCCTATGGTGGTAACTTGAGTGCACCCACGTGCTTGAAGTCGTCATAAAATTGACTGATCTAGGGGGTTTTCGATGATGCTCAGCAAGTTTCTAATTGGGAAAATATGTTTATTTTCACTAATTAAAAAGTTTTGTATGTTTTTGCAGTCCCTGATGCAAGACGTGGCTGGCAGTTTGTTCCAGAAAAGAGATTTTTTCTCAACCACCCTAGTTTTAGAGATGTTCGAAATTCTTCACTGAAGCACCTGGTGTATGGTACATTGGAAGCATAATCAGTCGATGAAATGCAATGAAGGCACCACATAGTATTTTCGTAGCATAGAAAAGGTGGGCACTAGTGGCGCATAGAGCAACCAAAAGTAGTGAAGTGATGTTTCGGGTTTGTCTACCTTTAGGTTGGCTCATATGTCCACCATCGTCTGCCTTAGAAATCATTCGGAGTACACAGAGGGCAGGGAGGACTTGAAATTACTATATGTACTACTCGTTTTCACCTCAATTACCATGGTAAAAAAAAGTCCGGCTCCTTGCAGAGCATTACTAATTTCCCCTTTCATCTAGAGAATTAAGATAATGTAGGTGCATTTTGGATTAGATGTGTGTTGTCTTATCAAGATGTACACCTTTGGAACGCCAAACGCATTGCTTCTTCCTCCGACAACCAAACCTTATAACAACTACTTCGCGCGGCGTATGAACAATGTGCAAAAGTGAAAAAGAGTATAGGTTATCTGAGTGAGCCTGAGAGGCCTCAAAATTTTAATTGAATATATTAAAAAATATTTAAAGTATCATAAGTCTTAAAATGTTATGTATTACTATTACCTAATGCTCTTTCTTTGACATGTATTTGGAAAATGTGAACTCTGCTTAAACGTCCCACAACAATTTTTTTTCAGTGAAGAACTGTGAATACTGTAATAGTAGCCTCTTTAAATTTGATGTTAAATTCCTTCCACCTGTTAGCATCATGTTCCTTGATGATCCGAGACGTCTTTATTCTACCAAATGTGTAAAAAAAATTCTTAGGATGTTCTCAATAACCCTAGGAAAGTCCAAGGATTTGAAACTGTGATCATAGTGGACACCCTGCCATCTTTCGGCACCCGTGTCAGCCCCTTTCTTGCCTGCCAGAGCTCAAGCACCAACCTCGAATAACTGCCACGTATTGCCACATAACCTGAATTGTGTGCCTGTGACCAAAGGTTTTCTATTAATGGTCTTCTTGTTTGCAAGTGTTAACAGGTGTTACTCAACGTGTTTTTTACTCATGTCACTGCCTGACCGTCGACCGTTTCATTAACAGGTAGAGAAGAAGTTTCGTCAAGAGAATGAGATCCATCCGCTCAGTCTCGTCGAAGAGGTGATTGAAGAGGAGCCAGCTTCATCTGGAAGTTTTGAGAAGAACTGAGACCGAAACTCCGAACCAAGCACACGCACACCAAAGTCAAAAGCCACCTACCAGTCTAGGTGCGCAGCAAGTTCCAGAACGTGGAAGGAAAACAAAATTTATTGCGTCCAATCGCTACAAATTCCTAGCAATTTCGCTTCTGTAGACTGAATGCAAGCCAAAGGTTGTATGCTTTTGAAAGACAATCGTGCACAGCAAGAGTGTGTAGTCATTTCCTCGAGTACCTCTAGAGGGGACGCTGTTGCAACGTGTGTTCTGAATTGATTTCTAGAATGGGGAGTAGTGGGAGGGCTTCAGTTTTGATCGCTTTAGAGTGCTGCAGTTCTAGAAGGCTGCAAATGCAAAGTGTCTATGACAGTCTCGACGTGGAGCATGGGCTGCACGCATGATGGGGACAGGGTGTTGTGTTTGGCAAATGCAAAGGAGACAGAAGGTAGTTGCATTCTAATCGTCCCTTAGCTGGGAGTTAATAATTTTGTCCACCTCTGCAACTCTCTGTCTAACTATTAAATGTTGTAGGACAGCATTTGCACAGAGCTTCTAGTTTTATAAAACTATGATTCTGAGCCAAGTGGGGCTACCTATTGTCGAAGTTTTTTGTACTTTATATAGTTTTTAATTGTGGTATAAACTCATCAAATTGGGCCAGTTACTTCTCAAAACGTTGGCTTATTTGTGTATTAGACTCATTGTTTCACTTGTCTGGCAAGATTCTCCTAATCATAAGCTGGTCATGTCCACTCACAGACAATATTAGTGACCTTCGTGAATGGTTCCACCAAATAGTGCAGGTTTGGCATAATTGTTTGCTGCAGGGCATTTCTCACCGATTTGAGAGATTACTACTTTGTATTTCATTTTGAAAGTTCCAAGCTGCGAGCAGTCTGATCATTTTCTTCACATTGTCTCTGGGTGCATGTCTGCTAGCCCATTGCCTCATTTCTGAAAGTTTTTCATGTTTTGACTTTGGAAGCCAGGGTGTAAAGCCATCTCAGATGTGGAAATTGTACTTTTATTTCTAGTTCAAGCTAGCTATATATACTATATATATGTATATATATATATTTTACACAGATCTTAATATTTGCTAAGAATGCCAGACTTAAATGGTTGCTGCCGTGTTCATTTTAGTTTTATTTCTTCTGCATCAATCAGGTGAATTGGATGTAACTTTGTAATACCCGACTGTATTTCTTTCTCGTCTGGAGCCAAACAAAACCTATTCTTGGCACTCACGACTTGCAAACAGCAACTTTTGCAAGGAAAGCTTTTCCTTGTCATATTTTGTTTGTAGACTTCTTTGTACATTGTGGCTACAGCTCATAAAGCACTTAATTTATTTTTTTTGTGAATCAACTCTGTGGTAGTTTCGGCACTCCCTTCATGCAGGAAAAGTGTAACCTTGTTTAGTGCCGTGGTTTATTCACAAACCTCATTTTTGAACAAAGAGCTCACTCTGTCTGCACAGTGCATATGCTTTCGAAAAAATAAAACTTGTGAAATGACCAATTTCACCGCAGCTTTGTGATACTCAATTTCCATTCGGGGTCCAAGGACTGATCTGAACATCTAGAAGGTTGAATGGTTGTAAAACTTGTGTTCAGACAGACATTCCTCTTCTCCTACTATTTGTACCCTACCCTACAGAAGAAGAGGTACAAGAAGTGGGAGTATGTAGGAAATGAACACCTAAAATGGCATTCAAAGATGCTGAACAGAAGAGATGGCATTGCAGCAGTACCTTTCTCCACGACCACCATAGGCGCAAGAGAAAGGTACAGCAGTACCTTTCTCCACGACCACCATAGGCGACCACCATAGGCGAGATATTGCCCATGGATGGGCAATATCTCAATGTGGCAAATAGAAAAGGCTCAGAAAAAGCTAGAAAACGCCAATTTTTCTGTATGCATCTAGTGCGGGTAGACACACTGAACTCAAAACTCAAGTTGGTTCAATTGTTTCATACTCGAAGTGCTCGTGAAACAATGTTTTACTATCGCAGTCTGTTGCTTGCATACGCACAATGAATAGAGACAACAACTTTCACATATTTTCACAGCAGAAAGACAGCCACAAGCCCAAGCGACCGCATATTTGCTGGTCTAACGGGATGCAAACCATGCATACCCGTCATGATCGCCTTTACCACAATTGGCCTTCCTTGATGGCATCCAACTGAAAGAAGCGAGCAGGTGAAAACTATCATATCTTGGTACAGGAGATATAACTTTATTAGGATGCACGAGAGTTATATTTTGTGGCTCTCGTTGCTCTCACCTGGGGTGGAGCTGCAAAGACCAGAGGCACGCGAAGAAAGCATAAAAGAAACCCGATATGCGCCCAGTTCGTGGCTCTCTGGATGCGTGGTTCCGTCTGGCGCGACTCGGGAGAACCCGAATCTATGTGCCAGAACTGAATACACAACAAAAACATCACACACTTCAAAAGAGCTCTCTAGGCTTGGAATCCTAATAATTATTTAAATGTGCTGCCTTCTTTTTGTGTATGGTTTTGAGAGAGCTCCCAATTGCTTCATCTATGAACTAGCACTAGGTAATGCAAATGATTGTCACAAAATCTGAATGAAGGATGAATAATCTTATGGCTTGTTTGTTGTAATTATTAACGCAAAAGCATTAACTGTCTCATGGAGCGAGCTGACATTAAGTCTGAAGCGCGAAAACGGCAGATAGTTTCCTTCGGTTCCATTGGCCGCTGCACTCGTCAGTTTCCACGACCGCTCACCCCATGGCGCTGCGTGTCCATGAGCGCGGAGCGTCCGAGGTCACCAGGGGAGCACATGCGCCGACCAGCGACAAAAAGTATGCAGCAGACGAAAAAGAGCGGACGAGTGGCTTGCATGCTTTCGCATTCACAACTCATAAGGAATGCTTAGGTGTACCTCAATCATTTTTTTTATTGTACATTTTATATTTCTATATAGAAAAAAAAGTATTTATACAATGCCTGCTGAAAGACTGTAGTAGTATATGTAAATAATAAAATATTGAGACGGGCATTCTTGAGCAATTCCATTGCATTTCCAGTGATGCCCCCTCTCGAATCCAGTCTTTCCTGCGACTGGATCCTTCACCGAGCCTTGGGGAAAACAGAATTGTTTTCTGTCAAAACTGGGATTATATTCAAGGACAAGCAGCAGGGACTCTCAACAGCAGTGCCAACACCAGACACCACTCTGATGTTTTTCTTCTATTGGCTGCATCACAAATTTGCAGCAGTAGAGACTGCGCCCACTTCTTTCTTTTCAAGCTCCTCGGGAGTTTGTCAGTGCCACACTCCCCGATTGAGATCACTGACTACCAGAGATGAATTCCTTCCACCAGACATGATGCATTATGTACAGTCGGCACCAATATATGAGCTGGCCCAGTTTAGTGCTAGCCGAAAGGGTTAAAATGCCGCACGAGGTGCATCCAACATGCTAAGCTATGAAACCAGCTGTCAAAATTGCCATAATAGACTATGTGGCAGTTCATTCCAATTCCTTTTTTTAACAGTTTTATGTGCCCAGGGCTCTCCACATGGCTTTTACGTTGCCCCTGCCTGAACGCATCTGGGCCAGCTTATATTGTTGTACCCTGTACATCACGCACATCCAAATACAGTAAAATGCCAAGCAAGTTCCCACCTAAAATTTAGACTTAAAACACTTGGGGGCGGGAACTTGTTAAGGGCTGTCCACAGAAAATATGACTCCCTCGAGAGGTTTAGTGACCACAATTTCGGGCCCCATAGAAGGGCATGCGAACCCCCCCCCACCCCTCCCAGGTCTGCTTTGCCACTACTCTGCTTTGCATGCACTCCTGTGGGGCCTGAAACTCTGTCCACTAAAGGTCAGAGGGAGCTGTACTCTGTGCGGACCCTTTAGGTCTAGGAGCAAAGGTGCAGAAGGATCATGTTACAGGGTGGGCTTCACCACTTAACACCCAGGTGCTTGGAGAAGCGGCTGACGAGGAGGAGCACCTTGGTTAGGCAGGTGGGCTCAAAAGTCTGGGGCGGGCACTTGATATGTCGTTTGCTTAGTTTTTATAGATTTAAGAAGTAGCGGGTGGACACTTAATGCGACATGGGTGCGTGCTTGGTACTTTGCAACAGTAGTACCACAGGTTTCATTTCACGTCAAAACGTAAGCCTTTAAAGGGCCCCTGAAAAGAAAAGAACTTTTTTTAGACAGTCTGGTTGGGACAACCAGACTGTCTAAAAAAACAACCAGACTGTCAACATATATTAGGCCCATTTTAGAGTATGACAGTCTCATGGGATCACCGTCAGGCCTATCTCATAAGGTCATGGACCAACTAGAAAATGTTCAAAACAGAGCGGCCAGGCTTATATCGCGTAACCGACTTTAGATTGAATGTTAGTCTAATTTATAACAAGCTTGACTCAATCCTGTAAATCTGCAAGAGGTGGTCCATGTAATTAACACTGACAGTATCTTTCATAATTAAATTGGATTGGACAAAATCAACTATATACTTCCTCCCTACTTCACATTCAAGAGGAAAGACCACTCAGAAATGGTTAGAGCATATGTGCAGAACATGTGTGTTCAAACACTTTTTTTTTACGACAAGCGAAAGGAACAAGCTACCAAATGAAATTGTGTCCATGTCCTCTCCAGCACTCTTCTTCAATTCATCTGTTGAGTATTGATCTTTTTCCCAATGTTAGGAGTACAATTAAAACTTGTGCACACTTATGCTAATTTCTTCTGCATTTGTCACTCCCTAAAACTGTACAATCATCCCCTTCTTGCACTTGCCTTTTAAGCACAGCGAGGTAACCTAAATATACAAACAAGTTAGCATGGAAAAGAAACTGCCATTTTTTCATATTTTTCCTTGCTCAACTGGAAGGCCGTAATGAACTATTACTGAAGTGTAATGTGCTTTGTGTAGAGCGATAAGAAGCCTTCAATCACCATCCCATGTCAAATACCACTTTGCAGCACCTCTAAGGTCTCCAAACCGGAATGTTTTAATTTCTTATGAGAAAAAAAAAAGTGACCTTAGTCTTGAAATGAGCTGTAAAGAACCCACTTGTCTTCAAAATTTCAATTTGAGAAGCAGAACCCATTTTTTACCTCCATGTTTTTTTTCTCTCCAAATTTATATCCAATGGATATAAATGTCCAAATGCATTTGTACAGCCAAGAGTGCCAAAAAATGTACAAATCGAAGGGCCGAACATCGACAAGTACAATTAAGCGAAAAACGGACAGGAGCAATACAGTCATGTCCCGGTTATATGGACAACTCCGTATTCCTCAAAAACCGTCCACAATGCGAGTCGTCCATAATAAGCAGACAAAAATGCTTGTATTTACTCAGTTCGTCTCCCTGAACGTTTCGTCTATACACCAGAATATCTTTATTACAGTGAAACCCGTTTAGAACGAACCCACGTACAGCGAATTATTGTTGATATCGAACTCACGGAAAATTTAAATAAAAATGCATGTAAAAAGTACTTTCTATAACAAACAACATATTGGCTATATCTAACTTTTTCTCTTAGAAAGCTACCAAAACGTGCAAACAATCGACTTCTTGCCTGTCCCTTCCCCCCAAAAAACCTAGAAAATTCCAAAAGCTCAAGCCGCGAAGAAAATTGACGAAGAGAAGCAATTCAGAAGGGGAGAAAGCTAAAAAAGAAAAACGCTGCATGCATGCACAGAAAAACAAAACAAAAAAACTTCATTTCAAGGAGGTTGTTTACGAAGAGAAGTGATTCAGAAGGGGAGATAAGCTAAAAAAATAAACTCTGCACGCATGAAAAAAAAAAAAAAAAATCTTTCCAGCGTTTTGTTACAAGGTGGAAGCAAAGAGATGAGAGAGAAAGAAGCTTTCGCCTTACAACGAACGCATCGTGGAAGTTTGTTGTAAATGGTTTTTGCTATATTGAACTCATCGTAGCGTTTACTGCTGTTCGTTATAAATCGGTTTGACTGTAATGGGGTCCATATTAATGAGACATGACTGTACTGCCACACTGCTCGACTCGCTCGTTTCCTCCTTACCATTCGAGAAGCCCTTGACCTCTCACCCGAAGATGACACAGTTAGGGCGTGAACATGTACATGCTTTATTACCTAGCAATGCCTAAAAACTAGACTGGTGTGTCTCCAATTGCCTGAACAGGGTAACCCTGAAATAAATAGTGTGCCTTCCCATTACATCACGGCACCCATCACAGGTCTGCCTTGGGGGACAGACTAAGGGGGATGGCCTTCATCTCGGTCCGTATGCACAGAAACTCGCCACACACGCACGTGACGGTCACGCATGCCGTGTTGAGCAGCCACCACGACAGGGTGTGCGGGAATGCACCGTTGTACACCCAGCAGGCCAGCAAGTGATAAAAGTGAACCGTGCACGAAAAGTCCAGGCACTGCTTCGTTCTCTGGACGAAGTACCACAGTCCAACAGACCTGTGAAAGAGAAGAAAAAAAAAAGCATCCTTTAGGAAAGGGTAAAAATAAAGTGACAGGTGCAACCACCCAAACGAGAGGAAAGCTGAGGGGCATCTCCCTGTTGTGGGTGTCGTTTCCTTTCTACAAGTGCTGTATGGAATCGCTCGATGGTTGCAAAGAGTAATTTGTGTTTTTAAGGGGAGAAATGCTTGCATCGCAGATTCAGCAGGCTTTTTGTGGTGATGTTCCTCATGTTTGAGAGCCAGACACTATGATGTAGTGTTTTAAGTATCTATGATGAACTTGACACTATTGGGGAGGAAATTCAACTGCCGTGCCCCTAGTGGCTAAGCTGAGAACTAAGCCCATGGGAACAGCAACAACATAAATTATTTGCTGCGTTTCTGATGCAGGGCTCGACTATAAAAGCCGAATGCTGCATCAGCACTTGGCTGGGGCTCGTATTCAATCAGCGAAGCACCCATTGGACACAAGTCCCTGCCGACCGCTCAATCGAAGAAGTCGATGTGAAGAATCTAGTCCACACGCCTTGAGTTGGGTAAATGCCAAACTCTGTGGAAAATAAGTAAAGCACTTTAGAAAACAAAGTGGGCCGAGCACCCCCTACAGTCTGATCTCCTCACCAAACCCCTATGGCAGGTAACACTGTTACTGGTTTGCCAGGTACCCGCTACTGTTCCTCAGCATTCGTTTTCACAGCAGTAGCTGTTCGTGCCCCTTCCCAGCAAAAAATGCTCATGTATGAATGCAAAACCAACTCTATAGCAGAGGCACTGCTCTCCCTGTCGTTCCTCACACACCGCAAGGCTCTCTCTCGCTTCCCCTTCCCTTCCCCCCTGTAGGACGCCACTGTTCTTGGTCCTGTGACGGTCTCCCTTCCTCCCCCTCCCCCGACCCTTCAGCAGCCGCCGCTGCGAAATACCCACATGGTCGCGCTGTGCAGATACGCTCCCTCCCCTCCCCACTGCCGCCGTCCAGGTTCCATTCTCGTGTTCTCTCCGCCCCACTAGAGAACAGCTCGCATACATACTTTTGCTTCTTCCACCGCAGGCACGTTTACGAGTGCCCCCATCCTGAAAGAGCATTTCAGCCAACAAAAAAACTTGCGCCACTGTCCCTTCTTCAATACACGTTTCATCAAGGCACACGTCGCCTACATCAATTCCACTAAAAGTAAAGAACCCATTGCAAACATTGTACAGTACACTGGCTGAAGGCAAATCTCCTTCAACATGCCTTTCCACAATGCAGCAGCTACTGCTGTCAATCGCAGCACACTGTGTACGGTCGTTTTCAATTTATTTCTGTCAACTGGAAGGGTAGAAAAACTGAAGGTGGTAGGTAACACCCGACGACGTGAGTGTCGGGTTGTTTACAAGATACAACACTTCCACATTTCATGTCCCCAGTCTATATCACTGCCTAGAAAAAGTGGTTCAAAACTCATTTAAGTGGGCATACAAAAAAAAATGGCACCACCATAAATTAACACAAAAATAATGGTAATTGCACTAAGGCAGTCCTAGCGAAATAAATTTGACATATGTCTGAAAAATAATCTCTCACTGTGTTGCCAAAAACTAAAACAAACCCTTTATTTTTACTAAAAAAAATAAAACCAAAAACATTTTCATACATCATTGATGGTGCTGTGCAAGTGAGTCTGAATGTAGATAAAAGGTAATTAATTAGATAAATATAATCATAATAACACTTCTTGTACAATAATAAACGCGAGAGCGTGGTAAACGTGCAGGTACTACGACACTTATCTTCATATGAACTTCAAAGGTCTGGAAAACCCGGATACAAACATTTGGGTTACAAGATGATCCATGCCACACTCGTTTGATGCGATTAGTTATGCATGTTTCAAGAATACCCTGAAGCACAGATTTAGTTATATATATATATATATCAGGCACGTAGCCAGGATTTTGTTTCAGGGGGGGCCCACTCATGACAAAATGCTGTATGAGGGGGGAGAGGAGGACCCATGCAAAATGGAAGATTTCAGGGGGGGGGGGGGGGGGGGGGGGGGCGGGCGCGGTGGGCCTCCCCCCTGGCTACGTGCTGATATATATATATATATATATATATATATATATATATATATATATATATATATATATATATATAAGATGAACAGAGACAAGAAGCGACAGAAAGATGAACAGTACTTACCCAAAAAGTGAATTGATTATGTACGATCCTATGATGCAGCGTCCTCGGATGTCCTTGATGTGCACCGCCTAGTTTTCCCGAAAAAGCCAAGGACAAATTAGCTCGTCTTTTCCCCCAAATGCAGTGCTCTTGTGTTTCGGGACAGTGCGTTCTTACCTCATAGGCAAACAGCTGGTCCAAAGAGAGCATTTGCCCCGTGAGGACGTCGAGGAAGCAAATCCAGAAGCCCAGTCCCACGTAGTACATGCACTGCAGCGTGACCATTTGGGATATGATGAGAAGCGGATCCCATACCGAGTATCGGAAGTGTCCGGCCATTGCAAAATGGGAGCTCCTCGACAGGGATCGGCACAGGGCGTTGTGCTTCCGAGAAACCTAACGCACGCACCCCGCAGTGCCTCGACCCCTGACCATTCTCCGAGGGTGGAGGGCCTTATCCACTGCGGGGACAACGGACCGCGAACGCTATATGAGGCTCTGTAGGCGTTTCCGAAGCAGCAGAAAGAAACTGGACATCATAAGTTCACAGTTCACTTCAAACGACGGCAATGACGGCAACACGCATATCCAGCACGCCCAACACAACACAGAACCGACAGAACTCCGCGATTGATCGCATGACAGCATAACCAGTGATGCTGCTTGACCATCGGCATTCCGCCAGTTTAGCCGGTCTTTCTAAATTAGGCCGAACGCGTTTTTTTAAATTGTGATGTATACACATATTAATTAATTTTTATATAAAAAACATTAAAACTAAATTATTTTTAATTGTGTTAAAATAATTAATATTTGTATTTTAGTAAACGATAACTGTTTTCCTAATTCACCGCAGCCTGGCAACAGCAGAACACCAGTGCTGCCGCCACTGCCGCGGGCCCGCGGGCACGGGTGATCGAAGTTCGGGCAGTTCTGGTGGTTCTGGTTCCTCAGGTTACTGCATGTGAGTGTAGTTCTTCATTTCGCTTGTACTCGCCTCGGCCCGTTTCACTAGGACATCTCATTTTTCCCCCTATAAACATAATTAGGCCGATTTAGGGGACACGCTTCACAGGTACGGTTATATTACTAATGCGTTCGCATTTACAGGTTTCGGCGCTGTATTGGCGAGTTCCACGCTGCGCCCTTAGGCCTACGTTCCCGAAGGTGGTTGAGGTCACATCATCTTTCCTGGGCCCACATAGTGCGATTGCTTGCAGCATTGAAGCGAATCATCTTCACGAGCATTCAATTATCACGCTTTGCTTGCAACGTTGGGAACGTGGCCGTGATGTAAAGAGCTAGAGGTCACTAAGTTGTACGTCCACGGCCTACCGGGAAGGTGCTGGGTGTAACACCGGCTCTTTTGAGTGCTGTTTGTGAGCTCTAGTAGGCAACTAGTTGGGAGATAGAATGCAAAACGGAAAGTGGTCTTGCTTAGAAAGCTAGTCTGAAATTCGTGCAACTGTGCTGTGGTTGTTTATTGGTCAATCGTCAGCCCAGATTGGCGATAGAAGGTAAAAATGCGATGGCTGATATCTGGTCGCAAATAGAGATTAGGGAACAAGTAAATTCGGTTCGGGTTAAAGGATACACTAGAATTTCCCCTTCGTTCGATTGCGTAATCACTGCGTATAAACCGTGCCCACAATGCGCCCTGAAGATCGCCAGGTTGCAGTATTGCTGGTTGCTTTCTGGCAGTGTTCAAATCCGTAAATTTTAGGCATAAAACTTGGTGCAACATCCAAGCAGCTTTCAGTTGACGTGAAACGTACAGAATTGCAACAAAAAAAGGAGGCGCGAAGCGGTGTTAAAGGGCTCGTTCGAACATTGCCTCGAAAGGGAGGCGGTGCCCAGTATTCCTGATGTTGGGAAATTGTATAATCGTGACGCGCAGCAGTCGGCAAATCGTTTAGTATATACTCGGCTGGACCTTGGGGGCATTTTGTCATTTTTAAATCAATGGCGTAACGGTGCAGCGCTGGTGAATTTTCGCGAGAAACTAAGAACTGAACCAGATTTCCCATGTCATTAGGCGCGACACCTCGCAGCCAATAGTCCAACCTTTTTTTTTTATTCTACAATGTTGGCGTTCACGGCCTTGTAAGGTGAAAAGTCAAAAACAAGGAGAAAGTGTGGGAATGTCCACACCGCTCAAGACCAACATGATCTGTAGCAGCTTTTAAAATGCTCTACACTCACAAAACGATTTAGGGAGGACTCCACTTTCTTAGCCAGTGCAGGTGGTGATGTCAATCAGACAGGCTCAAAGACAGACATACGACCTTGGCTCTTTGTAAAAAAGGTAATTATCTCTCTCTTCCTCATCTCCTCGTGGGTAGGCAAACTCTTGTATGAATATGGGGAGAGCAGAAAGCGAATGAAGGTGGAAGACTGGAGGTATCTGTCTCCCTATCCTTTGCCATCTCTGACAAGACATTCACCTCTCTCAGTGGACGCAGAATGGCGAGCCGACTGCTGCAGCTGAGCGAGCGCACTCTCAAGCTGGCACCCGTCGTGGCGCGGATCCAGCCTACGGCAGCCTTCCACGGGCGGGCGCGCATTGGCAAGCGCGAAGTGGTTGGCTACGGCATGAATGGAGAATATGTGTACATTGATCAGCCTGAGTTCCCCATGCCGGCCATCCGCTACAAGGAGCCCACAGCCGAGATCGAGAAGCTGCGTGAGAAGGAGAAGGGTGACTGGAAGAACCTGTCCCTCGAGGAGAAGAAAGCCTGTGAGTGCTATGCCTTTTTATTATTATTCGAACCTTAGAACTGTTTTTTTTTATTTTGAAAAAACATTGAGGGAACATTTGAGGAAACATCCGAGGAATAGCATGCGCTATTTTTTCGGAAATGGCGTGCGTATGCAAAGAGTCTTTGCGCTGCTCCAAGGAGGATTCGTGATGACAAGTTGGCTAAAGCCTAGACGAGCAGAGTTGAAAAAAATGGCGGCTTCCAGGATTATGGCGGCGTCGTGAGTGGATGTCGGCGGCGTCCTTGCGACTGCAATTTTCAATACGGGACGACATTGTACTCGGTTTGGCAACGATCACCGGCAACTTGCCACAAGCTCATTGGCAACTTGATACTTGCGATGCACAAACATTTCTCAGCGAAGGTATGATGTGCGAATGTCAGTACACAAGACCTCTCTTGCCGAGGCGACACGACCGGTCAGGTCAACTACTCGTGTTGCATTCTCATGTTTAAACAAGTCTAAAATGCTACTCTGGACCAAAAAACTTTTCTTTCTTAACTTGCAGCATTTCGTGTGTAAAATAAAAATTGTTACTGTATCTTTGTGGTGTCTCAAGCGCGAGATGCTTGGGCTTTTGCGTCACGACCGAGAAACGTTATTCTAAAACTCTCTTGCGTTGCGTGCGCTAATACAAGCGCTAAATTTAGCGCTAGTGTGTGCTAAAATTGCGTACGTTATTCTAAGACTCCCTAAAAACATATGATTCTTCCCGCCCTTCTAAGACCAATGCTCTCCCCCTAACCATCGCCAGGCAGTGTGGGATATCACCAGGATGACGTTCGTGGGATTAAGTAAAAAAACATCCCCCCCGGCGAGGGAGCCACCAATTTTCTTCTGGTCAAACCTTGTCGGCATTACCCCAGCACCGGACCCACTGGGAAACAAGGTTAAGACTTGGGGCTGGAGCCACGTGGGAGGGAGTCCCAATTTTCCTCTGTCCCGCCTGTGCTAGTTAGTTGTCAATCATTCAGTTTTCCCTAGATAATTTCCACCAATCTTCTAATTGCCTCTATGTGACTATAGTCCTTTTCTCTTCCGTCCTTCCATTGTCGCCAGTAATACCCAGGGCCCCGGCCAAATCCGTTGCCCCTTCAGGGAGGGCAGGGCGGAGCCCCGTGCATTTCAAAACCAAGTGCTCTAGTGTCTCGCTCTCATTATGGCAGGCAGCACATAATGTGTCTGTCTCCTGAAATTTAGCCCTATACGTCCTCGTCATCAAAACTCCCGTTCTCGCCTCGAACAGCAAATAACTTCTTAGTGAATTGTCAAACACATTCTCCTTTCTTATGTCCTGCTTTTGTGACCTGTACACTGTTAGAGCTGATTTCTCCTGCATCTTCTTGTCTGCCTCTTTCATCCCTTTTTCCACTGAAGTAGTCTGCTCAGCCCATCCCCAGTGTGTAGGTATTTAAATGTAAGCTTTCGGGTTCGGTTTATCCATTTTCTGTAACCTTTTGCCACTAATTGGATAAATGCATATGACTGGACCCTTTTGATCGCATGGTGGCTTCTGCCACTTAGCCAGTTTTTTTTTTTTTTTTTTTTTGTAATAATTGACATCTATTTCATATACAAAACATTGTAGTTAAGGAGACATGTGCCAGGGGAAAACTTTTTTAATTATTATTATTTGCCATAACTGAAATTCTTGCAGTTTATAGTGCTTGCAACTTGCACGCAGTCTGAAGATTCCGCAAAATAACAAAAAAAAAAATGTTTGAATATTACCATAAGTCTGTAGCGACTCTCCTTTGCAGCGGGAGAAGAAATTTTTTAATTCTAATTTTTTACGAGAAATTGAAGCTACAAAAGAGTGATGCAGCGGAGATGGCCAGGCCTACAGGCTACTTCCCATAATAATTGTGTAGGCAGGAGACATCACAATTAGAAGAACTGTGCACACATCACAATTAGATTTACGCATTAAAATATTTTAATAATATTGCAGATCATGGCAATTTATGCCCCCAATTAATGCCACGATCACAAAAAAAAAATGCCATTTAACCTTAATTCACAACCCCAGCTATAGGTGGCACCACTCATTTTCCAAAATGGCGGTTATAGTGAGGGTCGGAGATGCATGCTGCTGTTGAGCCTGTCTAGTGTGCTGGCTTCACTGAACGACACAAATTATTTCTGGTAATAAAAGGGAGCTAGGGTGTTATGAGCGCAGGTCACCTCTTTGTCCTGAAAACAAGAACGGTATTTAGCGTAATGTTTACGCAAGGATGCACGTTTTAATTCTGGAGCGAAACCGAAACTAACCTCTATTTTGGATTTAATTTCTCGATATAGGTCTTAATTTCAGATTCTTTCATAACTCAAGATGTGTCTCGCATCGTAATTATTTGGTTAGAGAAGTTGTTCGCGGATACTTTATTTTGTGACATACATGTTCGGTCCAGGCAGATATTAGAAGTTGTTGAAGAAATCGGTGCTGATATTTGTGCATATAATTGTTCTGGAAAATATTGAACTGCAGGCCTTTTTAATGGGATTTTGGGTACTCTATAACATTTAATAACGACAATCATAAAGCATGTTTTTTAACGCAATTGCGAACGCACTACGGCCCCTCTTTTTGAAAAGAGTTTGGTGTGATGTCGCTTCCTGGATTTGTATCCTCTCTCGGAAAACTTGGTGGCGCTCGAGCAGAGGATGATCGGCAAGTCGGGGACGAAACCTGTTTTTTCCCGCACGACGCCTTTCTATCCCGCCTGCTCACCTCCTCCTCGCTTCGGGTCGTGGTGGCAACGGCGCTTTGCTTCGTAGCGTGGAGCGGAGGTCCGAAAGAAAGTTGAGTCTCGGGAAACCGCAAAATTCGACTCACTGCACTGGCGCAGATTGCGCGGGAACTTCAAATTGGGCATTTGGAAATTGTTTTTTTTACTTCACAAATACTGAATTCCCAAGTTTCGAATTTTTAGGGTAAGGTCCCGGCATCGTTTTCTATCGTTTCGAATAATAAAAAAAAAAAAAAAAAAGATTTTGATGTGTGAAACATGCAATTCAGCTGTCAGGCTCTGATTACGTCTTTGGTTTTTTGTAATGAGAACAGTGTTTTTTAATTGATATGTTTTGTTAACATATTGTAAAAATATGATTTATTCTATTTTTGTGTTGGGAATAATGTTAAAGCAGTTAATCATCTAAATACCCCAAAACCCGTTAAAAGGCCAGCAGTTCATTATTTCACATGACAATTATCTGAGCGAGAAAAGGCAGCGCACAAGTATTAGCGCTGATTTTTTCAACAAATGCAATATTCTATGTTACCTATATGGTTTATGAACGACCCTGTCTTTAAAGGGACACTGAAATCTCCAAATGTTTTGAAGTGCCTGGATCGAACACGTATGTCACTAAATAAAATTTCCGCGAACAACCTCTTGAACTAAATTACGATGTGAGACACATCTTGAGTTACGAAAGAATCCGAAATTAAGACCTATACCGAGAAATTAAATCCAAAATAGAGGTTAGTTTCGGTTTTGCTCCAGAATTAAAACTTGCCTCCTGGCATAAATGCTGTGCCAAACACCGTTTTTGTTTTCAGGATAAAAAGGTGACCTGCACTCATAAAGGCGCATTCACACTGAGCACAAAACGCGCGTTGCGGTCCCCGTCGACGCCGGCGTCGTGAAAGATGAAGCAGTCACACAGGGCCACCCGACGGCGGCGTCTTCTCGGGGAACCTCGCGTCACTCGAGAGAACACTGAATTTTTTTATTCGTCTGCCTCGTACGATTGTTGTTGCCGTGACTTCGCGATTGCATTTGTGGTGGGTGACAACAGTCTTCACTGAATGGACAGCGGCGATGATTATATATACGTTTACACTCCGGTTATATGCAGCATTGGCGAAAGGCATGGACTGGAGTGGGTAGCTTCAGAAGGTGTTCTTTTGCTGCGTTTTTGTCCAAACAAAGCACGGTGCTACGCCGGCGCGTCCGGACCTTTAACACTGCACGCAACGTGTGCGAGAGTGTTTTTGATGGACAACTGTTGTATTCCGTAAGACTACACAGCACATTGGGAGCGATCGCTCCCGCACAGTCAGAGTTCGGAACACACCGTGAACTTCAGTGGCAACTTTCGCGCAAACAATGAAGAGTAGTTTCATGGCGTCGTACACGCACATAAGACACTCCTCACAGTCAGATGTTCCAATCGGCTGGCTTTTTTCCACGCTGAAATACTTCCAGCCACGTTCAGCCAGTGCACGAATCCCCCGACCCCTCTTGCCTTTTCCCCTTCATTTTGGGTAGAGAAATATAGCGAAAACATGTCCTAATTGGAAAAGGGCGACACGTCACGTCCGGACGCTCGCTGATTGGCTTAAGCGTGCGCGTCGAGGGAAGAATAGGGTTCTGAGGCGTCGTCTCCCTGCGTTGTCCTCCTCGGCGCGCAACTTTTTTAAATACAAGAATAAGCAAAAAATTCACCCCACGACGCGTGTCTTTCTGCTGTGTGAATGCGCCTTAACACCCTAGCTTCCTCGTATTATTAGAAATAATTTGTGTCTCTCAGTGAAGCCAGCACACTTGACAGGCTCAGCAGCGGCACGCATCTCCGACCCTTACTATTCTCGCTCTATTAGAAGACAAGTGGTGCCACCTATAGTGAATTGGAATCGCAAATACTCACCTCGCAAACTAAGTTTGGCTCCTTGCGAGGCGTTACTAATGTCCCCCTTTATGTGGTGAGTTAAGGTACTTGTGTGTTCTTGAATATCAGTTATTTCTTATTTTATCAAAACTGACATGTCATCAAGTGCAAAAGGCTTAGTTTTTCCCTCTTGAAACCAAGTCTCTTCAGAACTACTTCGCGCAAGTGAAACATGTTTTTGTTGTAAAGAATGGGAAAATAATTTTTTTTTAAGACATAAAAAGAATTTAATTTTTCTTTAAATTTGCACAGGGCTTCAATTTTAGTTTGGCATGTTCAAGGAAGGTGTGAAAGCATTTGTGTCAGCTGCTTGGATAGAGTGTATTTGAAGGAAACCACTGCATAGTTACTGCTGAACCCCTGGTTGCAGGGAAAAGAGAACCTGTTTTGCATTTAAAATCTCTGGTGAGCAAATGTCAAGATTTGTTTTAAATCAGGTGTGCGCTTGTTTTTGATCTAAATAGAGAATAGGGATGTAAACATTACTATTTTTAAGGTGTTTGGCATGCTGTAGTTTGAGCAATAACTGTGCACGCTGCACAAATGTGTGATGCTTAATGAAGAACTAGTGCAAGCAAAGGTTTTTTTTATCTAAGCAAGAACTTCGTGGTCATTTTTTGGCTGGCTTGTGACGGGCAGGGCCAATGACACAAGAAATAACCTGTAAAGACAAGATCATTACCAGGATGGGAGGAACACTAGGTATGCAAACACGCATGCAACAAGCAGTATAACCAGTCAAAAAGAAATACATTGCAGGTGTGTCTTCATTGGCACTCGTAGCCTGTCCAGTTTGAATGAAGCAGCCGGAATTCAAGGTCAACCCTCAGTTGTTACTCGAGACAAGTCCCAGGTCTTACATGTACCGTAATATTATCCCGAGAGATAGCCCACCTAAAAGCGAGAGCAAATCGGGTGAAATCGAGGAGTGGGCTAACTTTCTGTGTGCAATCAAGAAAAAAAAATTTTAAAATGCTACCAAATACGATATAGCTTCGCCAATACTGGAAACTCCTCCGAAAACCTATGGGAGCAGCGGCGAATGTGACAGTGGCGCCTCTAGCGGACTCTAAGTCTACGGAAGCAGGCGACGCAATGGAAAAGTATAGGCTCCGCGACGTCCTCGAGCTTTGCGTGCCCCGTTTCTTCACCCCAACAGCTGAAACAATTCATTACGGTCAACCAGTTTGCAAAGCGGAATCCACTGATTGCAACTGCAACGACAAACATATAACAACGCGCGCATTAATGGGGTACTCCGCCGATTTCTTCATGGTCCCCGATTTGCTTGAAATTTTGCTAAACTCGCCAAACAACATTGCCAAAATAGTATCCCAAATATTAGGTCAAAATAATTTTTTTTTCACAAAGTTATTGAATTTACAATTTTGGTCCTCAGTGTTTTTCAAACTGAAAGTCTCTACTGGCAACAATGAAAAAGTGACGTCAGTGGAAGTGCAGGGATTCACTCTTTAGACTGTAGAATTTGTTCCCAACTGATTCGAAGCAGTTTCATGGTGTCAAATGAATGCTTTGGAAGCTCGCTCCAGCACGGAACAAATGATTGGCGAAAATCACAAATCTGTGTTTGTCCTTTGTCCCTCTTGTTCCCCCTTCTCCAGGGATTATTTTCGTCATTCTTGCCCAGCTCGCTTGTCCCTTTGCATTTAATTGCATTATAATTATAAATGATTGGCATATTCTATTTTTTAGACTGCTCGCTCGACTGGCAAGCTTACCTTCCACTGACGTCACGGCACTGAAAAGGGCGGGTATATTTGAATGTTTGTTTTTGCATCATTTTCATTTGCCGATTTCGCAATAACTATTATGAATTTCACGATACTAAATCGCATACCAGAAAGGGTAAAGGCCGGGGAGTCAGAAAATATAGTTAGTTGAGGTAGCTCAAAGATCGGCGGAGTACCCCTTTAACGAAGATAGAGCAGTTTATTTAGAGGTCTCAAACTCCACTCAGGGGGATCACACGAGTTTGAAGCGCATCTGAGAAGCGGAAAGAGGCGTTTAGCCACTCGAACTACGTCGTAAGAAGTTGCTGTTTATCCGTTATAAACTGCGTTGTCACAATTTCTTACCTGAATAGGTGATTATTAAAACGTGTGCAATCAATATGTTAAAATTACCAGAGCAAGCGTACCAGCCTCTGCAGCATTACAAAAACAAAAAGTAACAAGAAAAATAACCGTGCAAACACTTTCCGAACTTTGCAGAAAAGATGGGGTCCCCATCCCAGACGAAAATAAAAAGAAATGGAGAACAGTCGCGAACAGCGGCCCGCGATTGCAACGAAAAAGTTGGCAGACGATACAAAAATACAAATCACCCAGCAAAGACTTCCTTCAGCGACGACGATCGTGCGGGGCGTCGGTTGAAAATTAGCAGGTGGTGCTCGCCCTCGGCGTTGAGTCCACAACAAACAAAGCAAAAGCAACACGACGAAACTATTAAAAAAAAAAAAAGAGCTTCACTTTTTTTTTTTTTTTTTTAGCTGCACGTTACATGTTTGCTTATTCGCTTTCGCGGCGTTGGTAGGAACTAAGAACGAAAGAGCTGCAATCTGCTACGTGCTAGTGGTGTGTGACCTTTTTTGCTTTCACTTTTCTTTTCCCAGTGACTTTGGCAGGTTGTTTGTTTGCTCGCTTGGCGCAGCAGTTCAAAAGTACATTCCAGTACTTGTTGGTGTATATGTACAGGCAATCCTTTCACATTGTGCCTTTGTTTTGAGTGTCGATCAGCGGCCTCTAGTGCGTTTTCAGCTGAACTTTGTGTGGTGAAATATTCGTCGGTTGAGGCGTCAGTGGAGATTTTGAAGCCAGACTTGGATAGCTGTTCCAGCTTAATTTGAAGTAACTTCAGTACTCACGTTTGTTCGGTTTTCGGGAAGCGGAAGAAGGATTTTCCACCACATCAGAAAAACTTGTTTTCACAATGGAGATAGCAAGCACATGGCATGCCTGCTATCTCCAAGTATGCGCTGGTGTATGCCCGAATGCGGCCGGTTGATCAACCAACGATGACTCATAGCAGACGTGACCGCATACTCAAATAAAATCTAAATAGAAATGTATAACGAATCTTACACTTCTTAATATATTTATTAAATATCAAAAAGTACATATGAAGGTTTCGGATCAGAAACTCAATCGAAGGTGAACATAGGAGGGTATCATAGATGACAGTGGAAAAACAACAACAACAAAGTTGCAGACGGCATAGTGTAGCAGACGAACCGGTGGTAGTAAGCGACGAAGGGAAGGAAAGAAAGTAAAAACTAAGCCAAACAAGGCAAAGCAAAATACACGATGGTTCAAACGTCAAGTAAGCACAAGAAAGAAAAAAAGCAAACAAGAAACATAAACACGGGAGGAAGAAAGATCGCGGTGCCGTGAAGAAAGATCGCGGTGGCGTAGCGTCGCTTCAAACATAAAAAGAAAGTAGACTTTGAGATATGGAAGGAGGTGCACGACCGTCCATCGGGTGTTCTTTTTAGTAACTCCGCTTTTTATTAGTTTCATTAATAGCGTCAGATTTGCATGTGCACAATCGTCTTTTCCCAGAGCATAGTGACATTGCAGTAAGGTACGTGGTACGAAATTGCCTTTTGCTTCTTCATCCAGAGACTATCGGGATATAGCCAGCTCGCCTATTCGACGAAACGGTTTTAAGCAATACAATCATGAGAAATTGAAATTGCAATAACAAAAAGAACTGATCGATATGCACAGTAAAGTTGAAACGTAGCAGTGTTCTAAAACATTTTTTACATTGCCCTTTTCAAAGAAATAGGGCGAAGTTACATTCGTGTCTTGCCTGGCAGACATAAGTTCCGAGTCTCCTGACTTTCTTCGGGAGAGCCCGAAAATTGCACCCTACAAGCTGTAACATCTTCCCCTCGCGAAGAAAAATGCCATTGGCTAATGAGGTGGAACCTACTTTTTAACATTTAAAGCAGCGAATACCAGTGACATTTTTTTTTTTTTTCATTGCTCACCTCGCACGGAGATAGGCAAAACCAATGCATTGTGGAGAATCCATCTGCTACCGGAGACTCCGAGCTCGCCAGGGGCGCTGCGATCACTTTTCGCCCGCGATCCGCGGGAGTTGCCAGTATTGGCTTACATGGTATTTGATGCTACTTTTGTATTTTGTGACAACTGGTTTTCACTTTGATGGGCAGTGGAGCATAGACGACAGTCCTTCCCAGTCAGCAATGTTTGCTTTCTCCCGCCTTAGCTAAGTAACCCAGTTTCGACCGATGTCACCATTGGCCAGGGAACTGCAACTGCTAGAAATAAACTGTCTGAGCGTTTTTGCAAAAAAAAAAAAAAAAAAGAAATGGCCAATCATGTAAAAAAATGGGGGTGGTTTATGTTTTGGGGGTGGAGCATCTTTTGGGATATTATGGTAGTCTTGCAAACATCAGTTTTGTAGCCCCTGGTGGATTATATTCACCTGTGTTCATACAAAATAGCCTCTTTCCCACTTCCATTGATAAGTACATTTTCTGCAAAAATATATTCTACTGATTGGCCTTCAAGTGAAAGCAAGTTATGACACCGATAAAGGGCGCCTACTTGTGTGCAGTGTACCGGTTCAGCTTCTGCCAAACATATGCCGAGATGAAGGCCTCTCGCAACGAGTGGAAGCCCATCGTTGCCGGAGTTTTGACCACCCTTGGCGTGACACTGTGGGTCTGGATCTTCCTCAAGAAGTTTGGTGAGCTGGCGGCTTCAATATTTGCCTATCTATGTAAAGTTGCAAAATTTCACCTGGCTGGCTGAACGAGAGAACTGAGCTTGCCTTGACTCCCTGACAGTGTATGGTCCACTGCCGGAGTCATGCTCGCCGGCAGCGAAGGAGGCGCAGCTGAAGAGAATGATTGACTTGAGAGTGAACCCCATTGATGGCGTCGCATCCAAGTGGGACTACGAGAACAACCGGTGGAAATGAGGGGTCGTCTGAAGGCCTTCAACATCAGCGCGCCTGCAGTCGCTAGTCGGCAGTTAAAGTAGGCACATAGATCTTGTCTTGTTCTGCAATAAAATCACTTTTTTTTTCTTTTCTTTTTTTTTTTCTCAATGTAAGTAAATTGCAATTGTTTCTTTTTTTGTGCTGGCAAATAAGAGGTATGGTTTGGGGCCTAGGTTTTAACTGAAACGTGATTGAACAATCTAGAAAAATATAAAACAGACTTATTATGTTCAAAAGTGTAGCAGAAGCCGAGGGGAGCAGCTTCACATGCTGGAGTTGCGAGAAGGTGGAGGATGGTTTTAGGAGAATAGGAGGGGAATAGGCGGCTATGTTCGAGGAGTTGAAGCGGGAGATACGGGTAGAGCGGGTTCAGCTCGAGGCACAGGTCGGAGATCTGATTAAAAGGGCCGAAGCGGATGTGAAGGAGATGACCAGGGAATGGGAAAGCAAGGTAGAGAGCTTCGGCAAGAACAAGAGCAGCGAGCCGAGCTTGAGCGATAGGTAGAGGAGTTTAGACGGAGAAGAGTGGAAGGCTGAGTTGAGGAGCATAAGAAGTGTGAGGCTATGGTGCAGCAACTGACAGGAGTAGTTAATAAGAAAAAGCAGGAGGTGGCAGAGAAGACTCCGGTAGGGGCCCAGGGGGACAGTTCACAGGTGACCAGGTAATTGTCAGTGCAAGAAAGGAGGCTGCACAGCTGTATAGTGCTGCAGTACAGCAGGGTCCGAGGAAGGTAGCAGAGGATGAGGCAGAGAAAGCACAGATAACTGGAGGAAGTGAACACAGATAGTCGGTGGCTAAGAGGGTGCTGGTGGTAGGAGACTCAAATATAACAAGGGTTAAGGAGGGGCTGCTGGACAGGGTGAAAAAGGATTGGAGGGTAAACGTAGTGGGCGCAGTCAGGGAAGTGCATCGTAGATGCTATGGCCCAAGCTAAGGAGGAGGTGTGGGAAAACGGGGAGGGAGTAGTAGTACATGCAGGACTAAATGATGTGCGGAGCCAAAACCTTGGCAGGCAGATGGAGTTGGGGCATAGCCTCCTCTATACTGACAAAGCCTGGCTGATCGCCATGAGATGCGGCCGCCGAAAGTGAAAAGGTGGATCGGCAGACAAGAGTCGTGTAACGGGCGCCCCGCTGCAGCGAGAGACGCCGAAACACACTTGTCCCGAGCGATGGAATGTCCGCTCGTGCTTCTCGCATCCCTCGGGCGCCCCGCTTCTTGTCGGGTTTGAAAACCATGTTTCAGGTTCTCGCCGCTGCAAAAGCTGTGCGCTGAATACCAGACTCCCGAGAAATGCTCTGTGTTACCAGATCCTCGCACTCCAAATCTGCGACCGGGCACTCTTTGGCTCGGTCATTGAACTGCCAGGCTTTGTGAGTATACACGTTTGCAAGTCCGGTCTCAGGGCTCCGCCATCTTCCTCAGTGGGGTGCGCTCTTGGGCGCGGCCATAATTCGATTACGACTAGGGATGCCGCAAACTTTTTTCGAACCGAAAGTTCGATGATCGAATCAAGCGGTTCGAAGGATTTCGAACTTTCCATATCGAGAAATTCGGCGGAAGTCGAATTTTTGAACTTGTTGAACTAAGAAGTTCAACCCTTTTCAAAATTCCGAACATATTACGCTGCAAAATTCAATGCTTGTCGAACTTTCGAACTTGATAGACTTAAAAATTCGACGATTTTCGAACTTTCGAATTTCTTGCACTAAAAAGTTCAAAGCTCTTCGAACTTCCTATGCTAAGGAATTCAATAATTTTCGAACTTGCTAATCTAAAGAATTCGAAAATCGTCGAACTTCCGATTCCTGAAAAGTCAAAAGTTCGACGAAGTTCGAACTTTTAGGGTAAAAGTTTGAAGTCCGTCGAACTTCGAAAGGCGGTTTCATTTGGATTCAAGCTGTGAGGTACCTTCGTAATTTTTTTTCTCGCATTTTTACATGTCGTGCCGCATTACTTGCAAAGACAATGCCGTTTATTTCAATCGTCTGGCATGCTTGGTTTTAAAGAAATAGATTCCCGAAGGAGCGAGGAAGGACGACGGGTTTTTGACAATTGTCGTTTGTGCCATATTTGAAGCGCACTATAGACATTTTCAACAGGGGCGCCGCCATCTTGAATTGTCGTCACTTCCAGTATGGGCGACGACAAAATAGTAAAACGTTTCAACCTGTAACTAGCAAAAAAATAGAGGGGAGCCAAAAGGAGAATGTGTGACGGTTAGGCTTATATCCAAACTGTCTTCTATTGACGTGGCGACGGCAAAGTAATGTTTTCGCCCATACTGGAAGTGACGACGATTCAAGATGGCGGCGCCCTTGTGGAAAAGGTCTATAGACCTTTGCAAAAAGAGCGCTCTGGCCGCCGCCATTTTGCGAATCGAGTGACCCCTATCAGCCAGAACCCGCCTGAGCTGTGGAAGCCCGGTCAGCGTGACTCCCCACCTGCATTTTGAGTTCGGCGGCTTTTCTTGGAAGTTTTTGCTTTATTCGCCTGTTTAGGATGCTTACCCTTTTTGTGTTATCTTCCACTGTGAGAACCAGGGAATACCAGGGCTCGTGGCCCGCTCGGCCTTCGCAGGAAACGAACCAAGAGAGCGAACGGCAAGCAGCCCGCGACGCAGGCAGGTCGACGTGCTTGGAGGATTATTTCCGTCGAGATAATCTCCAAAAAGCCTTCCAGGCTGTGTTCCGGGTCTTCGCAAAAAGTAGCTGATAGGGTCGGGTCCGGGGTGTGGCGACGGAATAAGCACGTTCGTTCATTTGCTATGAAGGTGTGCAAAAAAAGGGGGCTCCCTTCCACATGTTCCCGAAAACACGCCGGATTTCGTCCGGTCGTCGTGAAGTGACTATCGTCGACACTGTATATTGGATATGCTGTGTTATTTGAGACCTTTCTCAAATCCTGTTCGGATAACGCGGCACCGTGGGGTACGTACAATATATTTTTTGCTCGATTGATGAGACTCGTTGAATTTTATGTTGTGGGCCGAGAATATCCATGCAGTACGGATATCCTGTGTGGTCAAATATTTTGACCTTTATAGATTGACACGGCTGAGTGTACGGTGCCGTAAAACGACGAACATAAAATGAAACAAACATTCCAGTTGCATTTGTTCTGTCGCGCACGGACTCACCAAAACAGCTTTCATTTTTTTTTTTATTTTGTTCCTAAAAATAGAGCACTGCTTTCTTAAAGACCTCTATAAGTTATGTTCGCCACAGAACACAAGATAAAAAAGAAAACGCGGCAATTCAGCCCCATTAGCGTCCGGAATTGCGCCTACGCAGGCTGCCACAGCCCACTGACGAGAAGCTCCACAGCTCAGCGCAGTCGGGCAACACTGACGTGCACTCTCAAAACCAGGGACACGCGCTGTAAATCGCTTCGTTCGAGACTGCCGCTGGAAAGGTCTATAGACCGTTCCATTAGGGTCATAGCAGAAAGGGTAAAAGAGAAAAAAATGCACTCCCCCTCTCACCCCGCATATCGTCCGCTCCGCCGAGTGGGCTGTAGCTAGCGTCCGGCTGGCGTGCAAACTCTGTTTAAAATCGCGTCATTTTGGAACTTTCAAGCGCAGATGCGCAGATTTTGGTATGCCAGTTGTCGTGTAATATTATGCTAGGTAAAAACACCCACAGGGTCCAATTGCGCCCTTACTTGCGTGCAAATAAAAAAAATAGGGAAAACTGTGTCAGATTGGCCGGTCTCTTTGGCGAAAAGTAAATCCGGTTGCTGTACCTTTTTTTACTATACAAAAGTTTGTACTAGTGTAGGCCCTTAGCGATCATAAGTGGAAGTCTGAAATGATAAATAAAACGTGCTCTCCTGCCGCAATACAAGCAGTAGTTGAGCGTAGTACTGCCGGCTGACTCAACTGCTATTTAAGTAACAGAAAAAAGATATGCTAGTTGATCATTTAGCAAAATAGAACAACAGAGAGCTATAGGCTGATTTTGGAGTAGCCACAACTATTCTAAGAACGCGAACCACTTCACAACGGCAGCCACGAGCGAGAGTTCGATGTTCGGTAGAGCCCGCCGATACAGCCCAAAGATGGAGAACGGCAACCTCCCGGTTTGTCGTCTGCTAGCGGAGTCGGGCGCGTGCCCTCTCTCTCGTTTTACCCCGCCGAACCCGCTGAACTTCCCGGATGTGTGGAGAGGGCGCTGCGGTGGAACAAAATGGTGCCGCCCAGAGAGCGCTAAATGGAATTTTATGGTAGAGATGGTTAAACTAGTCTTAAGATATGATTATTATTCTTCAAGACGAGTTTCGAATAAATATCCAAACATGATACATGTTTGCATATTTATTCGAAACTCGGCAATTTGGGCAAATTGCCCAAATTTGGGTTATGGGCAATTTGCCCTAAACTTGGTAATTATTTTGGTCGAAATTGTTTAAGGTATCGCATTTAAATTAACACCACAGACAGTACATATCATTAAAATCTGCAGAATACAAATTAATGTATATATTGTTATTTTTATGTTGAGGAATAAATTAAATCGGGGAAAACGATTTCTAATATTGTTCAAACTCTGCACGTCATAAAAATATATATATATATATATTATTTTTTCATTTCACGTTTTTAAGACTTGTTTCTTTTAGCCTGTACAATTTTTGGTAGAAGAAACTTGTTTCGTAGTTCTGGGCCTGTGAATATGCGAGAATACAACACTTCCGGTGGATTCTTGATAGCTTTTTTTTTTTCCTCCAGCTTTTTATTTGCATTTATTGTTATGTTTATTTATTATTTTTTACCAATGGCACAGTTATTTAGGTCGAAAAGACATAGCTTTGAACTTCCGAACCACCGAGCATGTGACGAATAGCGCCTTCTGACAACGCGTTTCTAAAAATGACCATCTACGCGATCTTTTATGCAGTGAAGAGCGACAGTAGCTATACATATGCATAAATAATTTCAGATTAAAATAAGCTCGACCATGCCCTCTTTCCCCGTATTGTTTTCTTTAACAGTCCGAAATATCTGGGGGGGGGGGGGGGGGGGGGGAAGAGAGAGGGAGACTGGAGCCCCCCGCCCCCCCCCCCCCCCCCCCCCCCCTGTTTTTCCTC